TTATCAGGTCTGTAGCGAAAGATCTCGGCAATATCATACCTACTCCGTATGTTCTTCAGGAGGAAGACAGAAGTATAGACCGGAGTAGATCGCGATCCTCCAGCGATGAAGCGCCCCGGTGCCGCCCGGGAGGGGACCAATCAGGGTGCGGCAACGCCACCCCAAACAAAGCGGTGCCTCAGGCCCGCCATGCGTCTGCCTGAGTCCTCGGGCAGACGCAGTCTCTTGCAGTCCTTCTCTCTCTCTCGTGCGCGCTCTGTTGCTCTCTCTCCCTCTCTCTCTTCTTCCCCTTCTCTCTCTTTCTCCCCTTCCTCTCCTTTGATTGCTCCATCCTGGTCTATCTCGCCATCGCTTCTTCTTTTGTCCAAGACCTGTTCGATCGCTTTCGTTCCCACTGTTTGGCTCCTCGGATTGAAGTCGCTTTCGATTTTTCTTTCCCTTGCTCCTGTTCAGCTGTTCGCAAAACGTGAGTCGCAAAAAATAACCGGGAAAAAAAAACACTAAGAGAGAAGAGATCGCAAGTCCCTTGATTGCCGACCAAAGCAAGTCTCTTTCTTCGCTCGCTTTTCTCTCTCCCTTCCTTCCACCTCCCCCCCTCACGCCACCAAACCTCTTGTCGCTGTTCTTGTGTTCTCATCAAATTGTGATCGTTTTAGACTCAACTTTTTTTTTTCTTTATCGTCAATCCCGTCGCAGTTGTCCTGTCGCCTAGTGTATTTTTTTTTTTCTTCCCTTTCTATTTTCCCCCTTCTTTTTTTTCTCTACCCGACCCGGCCTGCAACGCCATCAACGTCGCTTTGAGAGGTTTTTTTTTTTTTTGGTCCGCCGGTGCCGCATCACGTCCTTCCCAACGCGCGTATTCAACAATCCAAGGGAGAAGCCATTCATCTTCACGTCGTCGGGCATAGCGTCTAGATCCCTCCATCTTCAAAGGCCATTTGGCCTATCTCCGCCTTTCGATCTCGGTTTTCTTCTATTTTCCGTTTGGTAAGCGCACCGCCCCTCTCTCCCTCTCCCTATCGCCTGCCCTCGCCTACCCCCCAAGAAAAGAAAAAGAGAAAGGGGATAAAAAAATAATAAACTCCCCGAGCGCATCCATCACGCGTGTTAAGCGCCCTCGGCCTCCATTTACCTCCTCCCTTGGGACGGTTTCGAATTTTTACTCCACCTCTGCTAACCAGGCCTTTTGTTATGACAGTCCATAGACGCCGCGTCATCAGTTTCGAACGCTTCACCAGCTGCCCGTCTCCGTTCCTCTTTCCTTTCGTCGCTTAACGCCTGTGTCAAATACTTCTCTTTTTCCTTTTTCTTTTCTTCTTTTTTTCGGGTTCGGTTTTTCGCTCGAGCCAACACATCATGGCCGATCAGGAAGTGGATTTGGATTCGATCATCGATAGACTTTTGGAGGTGAGGGGCAGTCGTCCTGGAAAGCAGGTCCAACTGTTAGAGTCGGAGATTCGCTATCTCTGCACGAAGGCCCGTGAAATCTTTATCTCTCAGCCCATCCTGCTGGAGCTGGAAGCGCCCATCAAGGTAAATACTGCAATCCCTTCCTCTTGAGGGGGGAAATCTTGGCAGCCTCCGGGGCGGAGGCAATGGCAGCGTTTTTTCCGCGAACTAACACGATCATTTCTGACGGACAGATTTGCGGTGATATTCACGGCCAATACTATGATCTACTCCGCCTATTCGAGTACGGTGGCTTCCCGCCGGAGGCTAACTACTTGTTCCTCGGAGATTATGTCGACCGTGGCAAGCAGTCGCTCGAAACCATCTGCCTTCTGCTAGCTTACAAGATCAAATACCCCGAGAACTTCTTCGTCCTGCGTGGCAACCACGAGTGTGCGTCTATCAACCGTATCTACGGCTTCTACGATGAGTGCAAGCGGAGGTACAACATCAAGCTGTGGAAGACTTTCACCGACTGCTTCAACTGCCTACCCATTGCCGCCATTATCGACGAGAAGATTTTCACCATGCACGGTGGTCTTAGCCCCGACCTGAACTCGATGGAGCAGATCCGTCGGGTCATGCGTCCTACCGATGTAAGTTCCTCGTTCATTCGCTCTTCTTACTCCTTCATTTGGGATCAAGCGACTCTATTGCATTGGTCGCGGCGAGATTATCTTCGGCGAGGGAAATGTTCTTTGTTTTCCGCGGGGCTCCGAGAAGCTCGAGTGTTGACTTGCTAACCAATTTAGATCCCCGACTGCGGTCTCCTTTGTGACCTTCTCTGGTCCGACCCCGACAAGGATATCACCGGGTGGAGCGAGAACGATCGCGGTGTGTCGTTTACATTCGGCCCCGATGTCGTCTCCCGATTCCTACAGAAACACGATATGGACTTAATATGCCGCGCTCACCAAGTCGTCGAGGACGGCTACGAGTTCTTCTCGAAGCGACAACTAGTCACGCTTTTCAGTGCGCCCAACTACTGCGGTGAATTCGACAACGCTGGCGCCATGATGAGCGTAGATGAGAGTCTATTGTGTTCATTCCAGGTATGTTACCACGGATCTGACTTGCCGTCGTCACACCAACTAACATGATCCCCTTCTCTAGATCTTGAAACCAGCAGAGAAGAAACAAAAGTACGTTTACGGGGGCATGAGCTCAAACAGACCCATCACTCCTCCGCGAAAGCAAAAGAAGAAGTAAGGAATCATACGAGCTTTTCCATGTGCAGCAGGTTCGGGCGGAGATAAACACGTCATAAATCCAATCCAATTTTCGCCATAACACGAGAGATCGAAAAACGCCCACTCCCACCCTCCCCGACGACATCGATGGCTTTATGCATTAGACGAATCGGCAACCGGAATTACATATGAGGAAAAAATCTTGACCTTTTTCGAAGAAACCGCCCGCGACCTTGTTCTATCTTCCTATACGCCATGAAATGCAGAGTCGGTCCTATCTTTGATTTACTCTCCCCGAATACCAATCAATTTTTGTTTTCAGCCAAAGGATTTTCGACTGTCATAGTGTTCTTTTTTGCGCTGAAAGGTGTTTTTCCTAACATTCTCTCTTCGGAAGGGTACTTTTTTTTCTCTCTTGTCAGTAGGGAATTGGTGTTCTTTTTTTCTCTTTTCCCCCCTTATATTCTTTTCTACTTTTCGCCTTGTTTATTTTCCCTTTATCCTTTTTCTTTTCCTTTTTCCCTCCCCATCGTCAATTTTTTCTCATTAACCACCCGCGTGTTGTCTAAATTCTTTTTGACAGAGGAAAGGGAAGCGACGGGCTGCATCTGGTGTTTACTTCTCCGTTTGTCTTTTTTTTTTTTCTCTTTTTTCCTGATTCCTTTTTGAGAGATCTTTCTGTGAGTGTAATGCCAACCAAATAAGCAACGACATTGTCTATGTCTTTTGAAATTACTCGGCTCTTCCACCTTTCATGCACCTCTTATCCGTGAACCGGCCTCGATTCACGGGTATAAATAGGTAGATTTCGTCCTCGAGCCGAGCTACTTGGTCCTGCCCAGGTCTAGATCTAGGTCTTGATTGGATTGGATATGGATGTGGATGTGAGGATGAAAATGGATTTCGATAACTTGCTTGCTTTCGAATCACGACATGCGCTATTATCTAAATTCTCACGTTCATACTTGCGAGAAATGAACAAAACGATGTGACCTGTTCGTTTCCATTCACTTCCTAGTCAATCTAACATAACCTGGATGAACATGCACGTCAATCAATATGGAATGGATATCTTATGGGAATGCAGCCTGGGGTATGTATGTATTTTTATATTTACTTTTCGGTGCTTCTTTTCTGTTTGTATTATTTTTTGGTTTTGATTGTGGTTGTATTTGTATTTGTATCTTTGTTTGGATTTTGTTGATATGAACTTGCTTTTATGTTTGCACTTAACTTACACTTGGGCCTGCCTGTATACAGTCCGAGCGAGGTAAGTAGGTTGAGAAGAGGATGAATGGCTAGATGAATGGATGGATGGGTGGATACAATGAACAAGCACATGGGTACATAACTACTCGAGCTGGACGCTGCTGGCTGGCTGACTGGGGGATATCTTTTGTTTGTTTCATGTTTCTTGTACCTTCTTTCTACTGTCCAGAAGCACGGGTTTGAATGGGTACGAGTATGAGCTGGAAGGGCATGTATGTATCGTCGTGTAAATCTATAAAGTTGTCTTTTTGTTGTCTTTCTTTTCTGTTTATCGGGATGGTAGGTATCTGTATGGATGGATTTTGTTTAAGCTGTGGTTGGGACCTATCTATCTCTATATCTATTGTATTTCATTATCATAGCGACCGAAGTATAGTGAAATCGGAGTTATATTGATGGTGAAGTAAAGTGTGATTGATTGATGGTGACAGTAGTGACATAGATTCAATTCATCCCAGTTAGTTTGGTTGTATAATTAGGTAGGTAGGTAGAGCACACGATTACCAAGCTTCAAATTCTAGGTTCTAGCGAGAGCAGAGATGAAAGCAAAAAGAAGCAAAAAAATATAAAGTAATAAGTTAATTGAAATGAGCTAGATCGATAGATAAACGGACATGGGCAATAGGCAGACAGGATTGAAACAACATGACAAGAGAGCAAGACAAGACAGGTTAGAACGGGGAAAGGTAGTAGCCAGCCGGTAAGAATGAATGAATGAATATCACAGAAAGACAAGCAGACAGACATCCATTACCGCAGAGATAGAAGACATATGTAGTCGGAGATAGAATGTGTAGATTGTAGATTGATAGCTAGCAATTAAAGTCATGCATAGGCTATGACGGAGGCTAGCTTGGACATGATGGATTGCGCTGGGTATGAGACAGAAGATTCGATGAAGAGATGACCAGTAGCAGTAGTGTAGGTAATGTGGCAGTCAACATAACAGAGTACGGAGAAGAGAGATGGGGATGTGGTAGGTATCGAGACAAAACAGAAGAATCAGTCAAGCAAGCAAGCTATATACCCTCGAGTCTGTCCTGGGTCAGACTGGGCAAAGCTGGACTCGACTCCATGCGACTGAGACTCGATTTAAACGTATTGCGACAACCATCTGATACCCTCGCCGTATCCTGGTTCGATTCGTTAGAAGAGATTGACTTAAGCGGTAGGCAGAATAACTCACCCTGTCTCATGACAACACTGCACATGAAAACCTCGATGGGTCGGATTCCCTCCAAAGGAACCTTGCCCTTACCCGTGGTCTGATACAGACCGAGCTGGTGTCTCAGTTCGTCCTCGCTGACCGCATCGGGGTGGTCGATCTTGTTACCCAGCACCAGGAAGGGCACCTTGGACAGCTCCTCCATGGCGAGAAGGGCGTCGAGCTCGGCCTTGGACTCGGGGAATCGCTCGTGGTCCTTGGCGTCGACGAGGAAGACGATACCGCTGACTTCGGGGAAGTAGTCCTTCCAGAGACGACGGGCTATTTGGGAGATATCCGGCGTTAGAATGGGTTCTGGAAGATGTCGGAAGAGGTCTGCTTACCCTGCTGGTGACCACCCAGATCGAAGGTCGTGAATCGGTTGTTGCCAATCGCAAGTTCTTCCGATGCTAGATGGATCCATCCGTTAGTTCATATGATCCTTCTCTGAGCATGATACATCCATCCAATCCATCCATATCATGCCAATGCTATGTTGTGGTCTCGGGTAGGTAGGTATTGGGGAAAACGTACTCGGATGGGCGGTAGGCTGGAGAAGCGCAACCCGGTCGTTCTAAAAGTATCTCGTCAGCATTCAATCCCATTGATAGTAGTCACTTCCTCCGTCCATATGCATCCAGCGGTCACGACATAACTCCTCCCTAGCTCCCTGCCAGACTGACTGCCCCTGTCGTAATTGCGGTCGAAAGACAGCTCATTCCTAATCCCCCATATCATAGACCGCCACAATGAAGCAAACGAAAGTAGAGCGCAGGGAAAGCTCACCTTCAACATATGCAGGAGGGTGGTCTTTCCAGCGTTGTCCAGACCGAGGAAGAGAAGCTTGGCATGCTTATTGAGCAGGCCAAGGGAGGCCAGCATGTCATAGACTAATCACAAACAAACGAGGTCAGTACCATTTCAACCAGAAGGAAACCAAGTAAACAAGGAAGAAACAGAAAGTAAGACAAAGAGCATAACAAGAAAATGTCCACCCAACAACAGCTCTGTCGATCGACTGGGGAAAAAAAGCGACCGAGGACGATCGGGGAAGAAACCAACGCCACGGGAACTACTCACACCAGTTGATGATCCACATGGTGGAGAAGAGCGAGAAATTCAGACCTCAGGAAATAAAAGGGCTCTGACAGGACGTTGGGAAATGTGCAAGAGTGCGTAGAGAGCGCGGTGGGAAGAAGGGGAGATAAGACGGCGAGGAGAAAGAAGTGTTGCGGTGGCCCGACATGGTTGACGTTGGACTTTCGCTTGTCTGCACGGCTTAGCCGAGCGCTAAAGCCACCTCACGCAACTCCTAACCGCCGGAGATCTACGGCGGCAAATCGTCACATTCCGGTTCATTCATTCACCTTAGTTCACGTTAGACTATTAATGCTACTTCAAATCATGCAGCCAATTAATTGAATATTTTGCATTAAACTGGCTCCAAGGCCTGTCATGGAACCTATCTACGTCTCAACAACCAAAGGGGTATACTCCGTTTGAACCACCCTCCGTGCAAAAAAATAAAAAAAACAACCCAACCCAGGCAATGGTCAAAAGAACCTTCCAAAGACAGCCACCTCTCACAACCGAACTAAGAGAATGCTCCGTAACAAATATGTATAACGAAGAAGTAAAAAGAAAGACAAAGAAAAGCCATCGCCCCGTAAATGCAGACAGATGCCCTCCAAGAAGAACAGAAGAAAAGAAAAGACCATGGGACACGTTAAATAAATAAAAAAAAAAAAAACCAATAAAAATGTAAGGCCGGTGCATAGCGAATGATCACGCAAAAGCCTGTACACCATTTTTCGACTCCAGGTCTGTCCAGTGGAGCGAATGACCGATACCGATATTCAATATTTACAAGAAAGACACAGATCCCCTATTCAATCTATCCAGGTTGGAAAGAGAGAAGAGAACCTAAACAGATAGGACGAGCTGAGCATTTTCTCCAACGCCGTAAGCCCGGCACCTCTCAGCAACTGCGAGGCCAAGGTCCTTCATCCGTTCGGCTCCTTTTCCGGGAATTGGTCGTCGCCGCTCCATCTGCTCTTTGGCAGCTTTGCGGCAGTGCTGACGCCAGAACTTCTCCTTGCGTTTCTGGCGCTTTTTCTCGAGACCCTCAACAATATCGATGGGGCCACGATGGTGGATTTCACGCGTGCGTGAGGATTCACGCTCCGACGAGTCCCCCAGGGAGGCAACGCCGGGCCACTTGTGAGACTTGTCGAGGCTCATGAAAAAGGGGTTGGGAGTCCGAGGCAGAGACTTGGTGCGGGTCATGTGCGGCCGTTGCACCAATTCGCTGATGTTGAGACCCTGAGGGCGGGAGTTGGGGGCTCCCTCCGCCGGCGACCGATCACCCTTGGTAGGAGACTTCAGTTTCATCGGGGGAGGCGGGGACCGCAGACGACGGGGGGAGATGCGACCAGTACGGCGAGGTGGGGGCGAAACCATCCGCCTCGGAGAGCCGCGGGGAGAAATCTTGCGAGCCTGCTCCAGGCCGGCTCTCCCGCGCGGTGCCTCGTCGACGATGATGGACTCCGCGACATCGTCTTCCTCGGCGTCGTCGTCGTCGTCGTCGTCCTCCTCCTCCTCCTCCTCCTCCTCATCTTCCTCCTCCTCCGGGTCCGAGGTCGGGAAGCTGGGGTCGATATCTTGAGGAATGAGGATCTGCTTGGAGAGACGACGCTGCTCCATGCAGGACTTGTAGGCAGCCTCCAGCGGACGGTCTTCATCGAAGGTTCCACAGACGAAGTCCGTGCTGTCGGGGAGATGAGGGGTGCTGGGACGCATCTTGGGGATCTTGGTTGGACGGCTGCCACCCTGCACGGTGAGAGCGGGGGGCCACCTCCGGTGCTTGTTATCGTTGTTCAACGAGTCGAAGGACGTGTTTGAGTCCCGACGAGCGAAGGCGGGGCGAGGGATGTCCAGAGTCTGAGGACTGGTGGCGGCGGTGGTCGTGGCGGGTGCCCAAAATTCGTATTCCGAGCCGTCACTCTCATCCGAGTCGGCGAAACCAGCCTCGTTGTCTGATTCGTTTCCATCGTCGGACGAAAGGTCGTGGATGGTGGAATCGCCATCCTCGTCCTCATCATCCTCGTCATCTTCGTCATCGTCATCGTCTTCATCCTCGTCGTCCAGGGCCTCCGCCTCGGCTTCCTCTCCCAGCTTCCGGATGGCGATCTCCTTCTTCATGCAGTCGTTCAGAGTGATCTTCTCCTTGTAGTCGGCGGACTTGGTGACCCATTCGTCATCCTCCTCTACGGAGCTGGCGAATTCGTGGAAGCGAGTGGCCTCAGACTCCTCGAACTTGCCGAGTCCGCTGGTCGGGATACCTCTACGGTCGGGCGAAGGGTTGTACTCCTGTTGCTGCTGAGGGATGACGATCTTCAGCGGCGTCTTGGTCTCAGGAGAAGCCTTGCGGGTAACAGGAGCGGGGGATCCACGGCAACGGGGCTTGACGGCGGCCGCACGAGCTGGAGAACGTTCCCGGCGAGTGTCGGGTTCCCGAGCCGGGCATACGAAGGTGAGAACCGTCTTCCGCTTGACGGACTCGGTCGAGATGGTGGTAGAGGTGTTTTCCGTGTTCTTCGCGGCGGGTCGCTGCGGGGTGGTAGGCTGGACCTTCTGCTCCTCGGCTTTGCGTCCGCAAGCAAAGCTGATGCATCTCTTGCGGCCCAGGTTCGCCTCCACTGCCGATTCACCTGCTTGGCCCCCGGTCTTCTTTTCCTTGTTGTCGGTCATGGGGGCGGGCTTGTCGTTCAGTTGGGATGGCATGGGGGGGCTCGAGGTGTTGGACAAAGACGGGCTGGTGAGGCCTCCGTCACTCGTCAATTCGGCCGTCGAGATGCCACTAATGTTGGAGTAGTGGTAGGAACGGAAGAAGGTGTGTTCGGACGGTTCTTGTTCAGAAGGGCTCAGGGCGGGACTGCTTTTGAGGGCACGGGTGAGGAGCGATTCCTTTTGTTCCGTCATGGGGGACTTGACGCGGACGACATCCTCGTCATCGTTGATCGGGGAAGAGTTCAGGAACCGGTGATCGGGGGGTTCATCGACGTCCTCAGCCATGTCGGCGTCCTGCTGGACCGGCTTGTTGGACTGGTGGGGCGAGAGTAGCATCTTCAAAAGGTTGTGTATGGAGGCAAATGGTCGGTCACCACCACGCAAGTGAGCCATCCCTTCACAATTCGATTAATAACAGTGAGGATTCGGCTAAGAGATAATTGAGGAAGCGAGAAAGAATAATTAAAGAAGAGGTCGGTCCAAAGTTATAGGTAAAGTGAAGAGAAAAGGTCGAGATAGTATGACTCGAGGCGAAGTCAAGTGGCGGACGGTGAGAAATTAAGGAATTATACAACACGAAGGATAGAATCTCATCGATCAAATATCAGATAAGAAGATGCAGTCTCTCAACATCGATCAAGTAGAACCAGATCGACCCAGCGGGCGAAAAAAAAAAGAGGGTGTCCCGTCAAGGACGAAGATTGTCATGATATACAACACATAGCGGGAGGTATGTGAGGAGGGTAAAAGGAAAAGTAGGGGGAGGACAAGAGCTTCAAGTATGCGGCCAAGACTTGGGGTTTACGCCTTCTTCAAAGAATGGCAGCTCAAAGAGCGCCAGAAGAAGACGCGTCGAGAAAGGCTCCAGGAGGCAATGCGTTGGCAATGCTGGGTGGGATTCAGATCGAGAGAGAGCGAGAGAGAGGGAAAGAGAGGAAGAAATGTTCCCAAAGTAAGTATCGGGGAATAAAAGACAGAAAAAAAAAAAAAGAAAAAGAAATAAGAAGGGGAGGGGAGCAAAAAAAGGTAATTAAAAAAAAAAAAAAAGAAAAAAGAAAAAGAGGGAAAAAAGAATAATTATTAAATGGGGGTGGTTTAGCGTCGGTATAGTAAGTACGCCGTATGTAAGAGAGAGAAGGTGGGAGGGAAAAAATAAAAAGAAAAAATCGATGCAGGGTAAATTCAAGTAGATGGGGCGCGGGAGAGCAGCGCCAGGTTTGGGCTGGTTGAGGGGTTGGCGAGAGGGAAAACCTGACCACCGGTGTGGTCACTGGTCACTTGTTCAGGAGTGGTTGCCACACTGTCAACGACAGGGCAGCGAGGGGAAAGAAAATTCGAAATCCAAAATAAAATTAAATAAAATCCAAAATGGAAATCCAAATTCCTAAAAAATACAGTTTTTCCTGATCTTCTCTTGGGCTTCTTTTCTTCTGCAGCCGGACTAGGAGACGCTCGGTCCAACCAACCCCGCCAAGACCCGACCCACCGCATCGTTTTTTTCTCGCCAAACCGATGCAGACTTCGGTTCCTGCGGCTACCATACGTGACGTCGAGTGTTACCGTACACCGAGGATGGTATTTCGTATCAAGGAAGCCCGGACTCCCTTACCAGTTCAAAATAGAAACAAGGAGGCAGAGGCAGACTCAATAATAGCGACCTAGGGTCCCGACATCAACAAAGAAATTCATGCTGCGGATTGACCGGGGTCTGACGAATCGAATCGACGGTAAACTATGATGACAGGGATAACAGGCCGGTTTCACTCGTCGGTAAAACTGGTACCGAGAGTCGTCGAGATAACTATGAGGCATTTTGTAGCAGCACCACCGACAGTGGTAAATTCGAGCGGTAGCCCTGAGATGAGTAATCGGTGGATGTAACCAAACTGAACCAACTGCGCAGCCCGTTAGAGATGGCTATTACTAAGGAGTTGAATATTGTTGAATCGATCTGAATCCAGTCGTACGGATAGGAAAGACACTGACATGAAGATTATCCTCCGGTCACTTCTACAGTACGGTGCTACCTAATCGCACCACGATCATGAGAGGCAGACGCTGTGCCACCGGCTCAAACGTCAGGCAGGGGAGAGACCGAAGCATTATTGAACACAACGGAGAGAAAGCGACGTGCCCCCACGAGGCCGGGCGGCATGAAGCGGCCAGCGGCCAGCGGCCAGCCCGGTGTGCTACTCTGCGCGGCACCACGTGACCTCGACAGACGGCAAACCATGCCGAAGCCTCGTTTCACATTACACACTTACAGTACTGAATACTCGACCCCCCTGTAGAACCATCAAAGGTACTCCATTTTTGCCCCGTAACTAGTCTACTGGCAGCACCATCCCATGATTACTTACTTTAGTTTCTCTAGTTAGTTAGTTTGGGACTTCTTTAAGGGGATATACAAAACACTAACTAACTGCTCCTGTAGCCCGTGGAACTAAGGCTCTAAGGCTCTAAGCCAAGTCAACCTTCTCCAATTCACCCGTCGCTACTACGGAGTACTAGCCAGGCTAGTACAAAAGCGTCTGAAAGCGTAGACCACTCAACCAGGAACGACTAACGAGCCTCGCGATGGAGACACACTAAAGTGCTAGGAGTAGAACCAAAAATGATTCAAGCCGTCAGGACGGGCGCTCTGCGCGCTTCATCTTCATGAGTTAGAATTTAGATTTGGGAACTAGAATAGAATTTAGGGGTAACCCCCCTTTTCCCGTCGTACTGTGTAGTACGGTGTATATACTGGTGGATAGAGATACACTGCCAAAGACTAACAATAGAAGTGTTTTAGTTGAATAGCGTTCAACTCCAAGGCTTGGCTCTCCTGACGTAAGGCAATCACTCTTGACTTGTGAGACTAGTCGTATGGTCGCGGTAATCGAGGTACCCCGACGGTATGCCTAATGTCGATACGGGCAACGACGTCAAGATTCGCCAAAGGGAGAGAATGGAAGCTGCAATCGAATCCGCAACGAAGGCACCGAACTTCTCGGACCGGGAACCCCTTGCGTTGCGATGAACTGGACAACGGTACACGGTCCAGTGCGTACACCTGGTAGCTGCTACGACGACCCTGCCAACCCAATTAAACCACCCACGGATGGACACCGATCGCTCCTCGCCATGACGCTATGGCAATAATCCGTATCTCAGCGCTATGGAGCCATGAAGTATGAACTGCTTCGCCTCGATTCCAAGATTCAATGATCTGGCATGTCGATTCCATATTGTTTGCTCGGTCGCGGGCAGTCGATCCCAACTTGCCGCCAAGGGAATGAAGTGAGGTGGTCAAAATTAATCCCATCGAAAATTGCTGATACTATTGCAAACTACAGACTCGGCAACATAGTCTGATCTTGGCTGTACAACATGGATATGAAGATCCGTCGAAAAGCCACCCAGCCTAAAATAACCACCCGGGCGGATCTTGATCTGAAAAGTAAAAAGTGCCGATTGGAATTGGCCCTTGGGGTCCCACGAGGATTTTTGCAATTCTGTCATCGTTCGCTCTGGCAGGATTGCGGCGCCTGTCCGAAACCACATCTCGTCATGTTGGTTACTTGATTTTCGCGGTGAGAACGGCGAAGGGCGCGCGTTCTCCACCAGCGATCGCCCGAGGGGTGATGAGTTGGAGCGTTCTCAAGACCCTGCGTTGACCAGTTCACATGGAGCGAAGGGAAGAAAAAGTTAATGATATCAAAATTTAGATTTTAGGCATTCATGACAAGAAAGGCGAAGCGCAGAGGAGAACTGATCAGATGAGGCAGTGTTGGAGACTCTCGTGAAGATCGGCCGCCATCCCACCCGTCGCCTCCAAGTCGTCCTTCGGCATCGAAAATCGAAATTCAATCGTACATGCGCCGTACAGACGGGAAAACTGCGCCAAGCTCTTGTGCCTTTTTGGCCCTTTGCGCTGTAAAAGATCACATCACCAACGGCGAGATTCGTAGTTCAACTGTGCCGGAGGGACGATCTCCTCTCCATTCTGACTTCATTCAACCACCGTGAGAGTCGTCGGCCCCTTAATCTCATAACCTAAGGGAAATTGAAGGGTGACGACGGACGACGAGCCATGCCCAACGGCAGAGAAGCGGTCAGCGAGCGAAAGATTCGGTGACAGGCGAGCAGCAGAAAAGCGAGCGGGGACCGGGCGACGGAGGTTGGATGAACCAAAGACTTGCGGGCGGCTTGCGTCTTGGTCTCTTGGTCAAGCTTCCTGCGACTCAGGGATGCCCCCACTCGCACGTCGCCTGCTGGGAGGTCCTGATTTTATTTCCATTGGCCCTCGTCGTGGGTCCTGGGTCGTCCCTTTTTCTCTTTTCCTCCTGCATTCCAGCAATCAGGATCGATTTGGACGTCCGCCAGTCATGATCCGATCCTGCGAGAAAGACCGCTAGGCGCCCTGGGATGAGGTTTCCGAATTACAGACTACAGAACTGAGGAGAGAGCATCGATACGAACGACGTCTGCGATTTCCCTTTCGAGATTAAGGCGCTTTGTCAAAGGATTCTCTTCCCTTCCCTCTGGACGGAGCACTGTTCGGCGTCCGCATCGTGACAACAGCATGACCGGCAGACACGACAAGCAGAAACAGACCGACAGATTCAGATTGACAGATTGACACTGATCTCTCTCTCATCTTTCTCACACACGGACCAACAATGGAGCAGGAAGGATTTACGGATTGACCCCCAGTTGTTCGCTTTAGGCTCCGATCCTTTCCCCCCTCCCCTCCTCTCCCCCATGCCCGAACTATACAAGCACCACATAAGCGGATTGTTTGGCGTTTGGAAATATCATCCGACCCATAAGTTTAATTGCTCGGTCTATTGTTGCATCCTACCGGCTATATGGCTACACGGTCATGGATACTGGACACATACAGGGTTTACGGTATGGCATCAACAAGACCCGACATGGGGAGGGGGCCAGAGAACTCGTGGACATTGCCGGCACCGCTTATCCTCCGTCGCAGCTCGCCCGGGGCTTGCAGCATCGTGGTCATCCCACTAGTCACCGGGCGACCCGATGGAGAAAAGGACGTATTCGGCGGACAGGAAGTTGCCAACACCTTGGGGAACACTCCCACCCCAGCCGTTTCCTTCTGCATCAAACCATCCAGCGGCCAGCATCCACCGGTGGAGAGGTTGTGTGAATTGTCATGATGCGGAGCACCGGGTAAAGCCTGCGCTGCGGGGGTAAGAGAGTCAGAAGATGATTGCTGTTTCGCCAGTGAGTCGGAGTTGTCGTGAGTAATGACGATGACTCCGAACATTTAAGTGGTTAGTGTAGTTAGTGAATGGAGGCACTGGGATAAAAAATAGAAACAGGCATTAATTATGAAGCACTACTCCGAAATAAGTCCAATCGAGCCCATGCTTTGATAAGCAGGGCTCGGATGAATCTGACGCCAGTCACAATTAAGGCCGAGGTCGGCCAAGGGCGTTTCGCCGTCTCTCTCAGTATGAGGGATTTAATGAATGGCACACGCAGCACGGGAACACTCGTGGAGAAGTCAACTTCGATGCTAAACAGCTAAACCCACTGCACGTCGGCCCTAATCCGGTAAGCCTGAGGCATTCGGCCCTCGTTTCTCGTTGCCTTTGACAGCTGCATTCCGAAGTCTTGGATGTTGGAACCTGGAACCTTTTTTCGTCGTGATTGCCAAATCGCCGCTACCTGGAACGGATTCACAGACGAGCTACTAGCTTCCTCGAACACTAACTAATTACCCACTAGGCTGGCTGCGGTTAAATGCGAGTCCCGTCCTGACAGCTGCACCGTGCCTTTTCGGCCTTCTCCATAATAATTAATATTCATAACCGATGGCGAGCAGAGCCAGTTTCCAAATCCCTCTCTCCTGTCGTCCATTGTCCACGGGAGCACAAAGTACTGGATCGTGGTCATTATAAGATGCAGGAGATAAAACACCACGGGATACTACAACAGTCGGTATCATCTCTGCGTTACACCCAGGATGATCGTGAAATACGCCATCTTGTAATGCAGGTAAGGGTAGGTAAGCAGGTATGGAAAGACAGGACCTGACAGAAAGATCGAGACTCGTTCGTTATCATTCATTCCAGTCGGCCGCCGTGTAACCTGGCAAATTCGCACATGGAGCCTCGCTCCCTTGCGTGGGCCAGAACTCGTGAGGGGCGAGCAGAGAAGAGAAGATGAGATGAGGGGGGCAACATATTTCCAGAACATTTGTGCCCCTTGATTCGGCCCGATTTTTGCACCTACAATCCTTCCTACCATACCTGTCAGTGTCAAAAACCGAGGTAGCATGTCTGAGCAATGCCAAGCGAAGGGCCAATAATGCGCGAGTCGTGAATAGCATCACCGGCATCCTGTTCTGAACTATGGCTATCTCTAGTACCCTCTCCCGTCGCACTGGCACATCGTGGACCGCATGATCGTCATCGTCCAAGACCCCCTGGGGAAACACGGCAGATTCTCCTGAATATATTGATCACCGGCCAGACCCCTCCTCTCCTCTGATCCCCCCTTGAAGCTAATAAAGACAGCCAAGAATCTCCGCCAAGAGTCGCCAAGGCCCGTCCAATATGTATGCTGTACGGAGTACGCCTCCTCCATAGTCCATGCATCGATCGATCTGAGGGAGAATGGGGAAAAAGAAAAAAAAAACAATAACCCTTTTTCTCGCTGGCCCTCCCCCTTGCTTCCTCTCAACACTTAGGAGGACCATTCCACAACAGCGCTTGGCAACGTCCCCTATGACCATGTAATATGTGACTATGTGGACGGTAGGGAGTTACCTACCTACACACTTTACCAGACCACTCCTCCCGTACAACGGGGAATACCGCCAAGAAACCCCCCCCTTCCCCTAAAAGCAGGCGCGCAGAAAAAGTCGCCGTGAGTCTATTGAGTCTGCCAAGTCTGGGTCTGTGGAAAGTCGTGACGCTCAAGAGTTGTCGGGGCGCGAGATTGTCCGGTTCCCGATTCGCGCTTCCGCTCTCTCCTCTTAGTTTACTTCCCCTTGCGGCGTTCACTTTTACACTTTCGCAAATACTACTACGCTTCAAGACCGGTCCCATGGCCCAAGTCGAGTTGAGTTGAGTTGAGTTGCTCATGCCAAGTCCGCCAAGATCGCTTGTGAAATTCCTGTCTCTCTCCCTCACTTTTTTGCCCCCCCTCGATTTTGTTTCCTCCCTATTCCACCCGGGCCCAGCCCAGCCCAGCCTAGTCCTCCCTCCCTCCCTCCCTGCCCCTTCCTTACGACGAAAACGAAAAACAAAAATGGCCATTTGACTCCGAACTAGAATGTGTCTGCTTCCATGGTAGTAGTGGTAGATCATCGTCGATCATATGCTGGATGAGTGCATATACTGATCTTGGCGATCGAAGCAAACCAGGAGAAATCAGTGCCGACACTGCCTCTACTGTCTATTGAGTTGGAGGGAGGCGGAGGCAGACGCAGAGGCAGCGCAGCGCAGCGGCGACCTGGTATTCCGGGATCCTACAGCGTGGCAGCGGCGAGTATACTGGACAGCGATAAGAAAGGGTTGAATCGATGAGGTAACATTGATTTTTGATGGAAATTGTTCCGCGGGAGTCTATCACTTTCCTGCGAAGACTAACTAGGTAAGTTAGTAGTAGACATTATTATTATTGAGTAAAGTAATAGTAGATACTACGGTGTTTGTACGGTGAGCTTCGTATAGAAAGTCAATTCTACGAACAAGCTACTCCTACAGGACATACATTCATCACGGGCGCTCCGTCCGTTCGTGTCGCCTTCGTACGAAATGAGAGGCAAACGCAAAAGCGAAGGCAAAGGCAAGGCAACGGCAACGGCAACAGCCTATGAGTAAGAAAATGAAAAGCAAGCTAGAAGATATCTCGGACTTCTTCATCTTATAGAAACCTCCCCATTTCCGAATTTCCTACTTACAGTAATCAAATCAAGTCTGACTCTAACCAGTCAATTTCTTCAACCTGTCAGGCTACTACGATCTTACATGATAAGTTTCATTCGAGAACAACTTACTAAATCAATCATCTAAGAAATTAACTAATTACTTACCTAAATTCGCCACCAAGATGATAAGAAATTATGTAACCCTCGCTGACCCTTCTGAATCGGGGATCCCGAGGATGGTCCTGGTCACGGTACCTCGACACCTACTTACCTTTCTACAAAGGAAATGCAAAACCCCATGACCAGCTTTCTAACTTCCCTACTAAGTAACTAGTAATCTAGTTTCTTTATGTAAGTATGTACGGACTACCTAACTACAGTATAGCATAAACCGACCTACCTACTTTACCCAGCATAACCTAACCCACCTGCCTACATAAGAATATACTTTCGGAACATGTCCATCTTCTACCAACAAGATCTCTCATCGCCCATACATCAAGACTCACTAACTGATGCACCCTGAGGCAACGAGAACACATGAACAGGCTGAGCGATCGATACTGTAACCGTGCAGTAGGTTCCCCGCACTTATGATAACTACCCCGTAATGATTTGATATATTTTAGATGCGTGATTATGAGAGAGAGTTATCTCATCTTGCACATAAACAATCAAGTAACTAACTAGGTATATGGAGACCATGGACATCATATCCCGCAACGAAAGACACCAAAATTCAAACACCTTCCAACCGTCAACCGACCCGATGACCGAACCCGGCGCCCGTAGCCTATAGTTGGAGACACATATACCCTCCACTCCATTGTCTATTTCTGTTCGAGCTCGAGTCCAAGTTCTTATTCAAAGTACGGAGTACACTTTGGGAAATTTCTTTTGTTTGTTTGCTTTTCTTTTCCGTTTCTTTCTTCCGTCCAATCTGGGCTCGTAGTCGGTTGACTATCCCCCACACTTGATCATAATCATCCTACTGTATAATCGAAAGATATACACGGGAAAATGGTCCGACGTCATACCACAGATAACCAGATTAAACAAGTGACTGGCTGACGACAAAGATGAGGTTATTTGATTGTTTACTTCATAGATAGAGCCATGCGTACGTACACAGAGATGGAGATCATAGTATCCGTACCCTGAAAATACTCCGTAGTAAGGTATCTATCTCAATTGGGTAATTTATTTGGTGTGTTGTACAACTACATTACTGAATGGGGTCCGGTTGATGTCATAAATTGCCATGACAATCCAGCCCGCCTCTGTTATTATTCTCATCATTCGTTATATTATTCTTGTTATTAATGATATCAACCTTAGCATCATCATCATAATCGCTATAGATAGAACACTTACCTAACTACTCCGTACTTAGTTACGGAGTACACAGGATTAGTTATCCACGAATAATTTAGTTAGTTAGTTCGTAACGCAAACCGCGCAAACACCAACCAAGTCATTATTCAATGACAGAATGACGTCACTTAGCCGCCTGAGCCTCTGCCTCGCCCCTCGGGACCGCGTGGTGGCGATGATCTTTCTATTCTCTTACTCACTTTACTTCATACGGTGTACTTCGTACGGGCCGGTTTATTCTCTAACGTGGATGGATCCTTCGGGTTAGGTTGTTTGCTTTTTTCTCTTTTTTTTTTTTGACTTTTTCTAAGACTGGATTGGGTGGCTGGGGACAGGGCTGAGGCTTTTTTGTCCCCCAGTTTTAGTTACGGGGTATGACTAAATGGGAGTGGGTGGGCTGGGTATATTCTATCCTGAGCTTGGCTGTGACTAATCCATGGTGTAAACTAGCTAGCTATGATATAACGGTTTGGGTGTTTTACAGTAGGTAGTTAGTTAGATAGGTGGATGTGTCGTTCATGTTTACACTGTGGTTGGTTACAGGTAACTGGATATTCGTCCTGAGTACAGAGTGTATGACAGTAGGTAACTATGACTAGTTACTACATGTACTTGGATTAACTTAGTTATGAGTAACTAGATTGGACTTGGCTATCTATCATTGGTAGTCACTGCTCAGTAAATATGTATATGCCTAGAAAAATTAGGTATCCGCGATATCTAAATATATTCATTCATCATCATCATCATCAACAGTAAGTGTCCCTAGTCCTAGTTACACCTACAGAGTATGCCAAACTCCAGGCAGAAACGAAAAACTAAAATAGAAAGCCACAAGAACAGTTACAGTAGTTAGACATACACTTTGAAAGGATACCCCCGAACCCGTCCCTGTCCTCACTCATCCACATTGCTTATTTCACCTCACCCTACAGTAATCCTCAGGATCGTCCTCGGGGTCGGTCTCGGCCTGGCAATCTCGCACGGCGCGCCGTGGAACAGATTGCGTAGCCATCAAACAATCAGCCTTCAGCCTTCAGCCCTCAGCCCTCAGCCATCTATGTATGCTTTGTCGGCCATGCCAATATCAATACCCCGGAGAATACAAGCCGGTAAGATCACAAGAGTGGTACCTAGGTACATTACTGTAAGATCTCCCCAGAGTTTGTGCAAGATGACGCAGGATAAGAGATGAGATGTTTTTCTTTGCTTTTTCCTGGGGTTTGGCGCCGGGATAGAAAATACTTACTTACCTGCGTACACAGTAGATACTGAGTAGGTAGGCAGGGACAACTCAGCTACGGTTGGTGCAGCGACTCAGAACAAAGGGAAAGTGATTGATTGACGCACAGCACAAGAGAGGACGCTAAAGAAAGAGATGTTTTATGTTTGAAACAGACAACCATTTAACCGCCCGGTTCCACTTCTCGGACTCGGGTCGGTGCTGGTTGGTTTGGTATTATGGATAATAGAAAATAGACAAAGAAAAAGATGAGGTGGAAGTGAGGGCAGGAAAAGAAAAAGAAAACAAACGCCTCTCCCAATCATCCAATCCAACAATGCTTAATGCCCGATGCCAATAACACCAATGATCCTCAAACTCCGAAATCCGTAGACAAACAATTCGTCGCCTCGTAAGCACCCAATCCTATCCCGGACTGATGATCACCGCCGATGCTGCTGGCCACGTAGACTGGGCAAAGTAGACGCTCCGATCATCCGTCCATCCCGGCCGTGTATCTTGTTTCGACGCTGCTGTTTCGTTTTGCCTTCACGTTGCTCCACCATTGTACAATAAATGAAGTGGCCCATATGACTCGCTCCCGGGTCTGTACCACTGCGGCGCACTGCCTGGCAACATCTCGCGCGACGATCCGTCGTTGCAAATCGCGCCGTGCAAGATTACGTCGCCATGCCTACTGGAGCACTGTCGCGGCGCCGGCGCGTTTGCTGGCCGAGAGGAGGCGAGAGCAGAGGAAGGAAAGAACGCCGAGTGTGGAGTCATTGTCTAGGATGTGAGTTTTGGACGTGCTGGGATGGAGAAGGTTCGCTGTGAAGCAGTCAGTGAGACGTTTCATAATCGTAATAACGTTGCTTTTTCAGTCGCAACTCACCGAAATGTGCACTGCATCCTAATGCTCGAAGACGGGACTGCAAGGACAAGGGATTTCCACTATTCCAGGGCTCGGGGTCTTCGTGAAGTATGTACTCCGCGTACTCATCTACAATACTTTGGTAGATCTTACCATCTCCGAAGCTGGTGCTGATGTTGTCCAGCTGTAGGCCCTTAAGGTGTGCGAGAATGGATGCCCATTGCTTGAGCAGCAGAACAGGAGCATCACTCTCGCCCAAAATGTCCAAGTTTTCGCCTCGGAACCAATCTTGATTCACAACCTGTTCATATCCAAACTGCTGGCTGGCTTTTAGCTTCAGCCGCTGAATCTCTTTGCTCAAGTCATCCCAATTGACGAGCTCATCGTGAACCCATTTGCTAACCAAGCCCCAAAGAAGCGAAATAGTTTTCTCACGGTGGCCATTCACAATGTCTTCTGCTCGTACATTTCTCAGTAGCCCTCTCGAGCCTTCCAAGAAAGATAAAGCATTCAAGGCAACTTCAACATTGAATTTCTTGACCGCGCGGCTCAAGCAAGGGAACTTCAAGTTTTGAGAAAGGGGCCATGCACACTCTTCGGAATGAGCATTGCCCGAGCGCGGCGAAGGAACGAGAAGCAATTCCACAATCCTCGTCAATCTAACGCCATCTCTCAGATCAACGGCAAGGTTGCTTATTCTGTATTCGTACTCCTGGAGGGGACGCTGCTCGTAGGTCAGATGGCAGTCCAGATGATTCAACGCTTTGACGACATCCCCAGAGGAGGGCAGCAGAAAGCGACCCAAGCCTCGGATAACAGCAGAGGAAGACTTATAAGGCGATGACAAGAGAAAAAGACGAGGTGGTTTCTCCTCTGACTCTGTCGCCGCTTTGTCCAAGAGAATGATCAGCATGATGCTGCGGAAAACCGTTCGGTGATATGCTTTGCCGAGTAGTTTAGCATCAGATTCCTTCGTCTCTCGCTCCATGTCCTGGTTCTGGAGCAGAAAGCTATCCAAGAATCTTTCCACCTTCCGCTTCAGGATAGAATCTTCGGAGCCAGCTGTGCTTTTCTCCGTCTCCTTCGAGCTGGATACTCTTCTGCCCGTGATTGTTTCCAAGCCCACTCTCAGTACTCCAAGGTCATACGTTTTCACCCAAAAATCAAGGAATTTCCTTTTCATTCCAAGGTCTTGCTTGAGCCGGGTGTTTCGGGCAAGAACATCCTTTGGGATTCTCAAAGCACCGTACAATAAGGATGCCTGAACTCGTTTGTAAAGGCGCGCAAACGAGGGGTGTTGATAAAGCGCTAGGAAGCTATGTCGTTGAGCGAGAGGGTCACTGATAGTGGACTTCTCCATGGATTCGAAAAGCTCGTTGACCAGTTGCGTGATTACAATTTCCTGGTGCGAAAGCCAGTCGTCCTCGAATAGAGCTGGATTTTTGATTTCCTCCTTGATCAGCGGATATTCGCGATCTAGTTTCTTGCTGGTAACTCGCGCAGCCGTAGCCTTGGAAGTAGCAACGGGGCCTTTTGATCGCTTCAAAGAGCTGGACAGGGTTGATCCGGTGGACTCCGAGATTGGTCGTCTCGTCGTGTCCATCTTTGGCTTCACGTTATCTTTCAAGCCGGCCTTGACCGAAGATCTCTTGACATTGTTCATCGCTGTCTGGAGAGATCCGTTGACCGACTTAGCAGCCAATGGCTTGACTGCCTGTCTCGTGGGAGCGCGCTTCTGATTGTTCGCTGCTTGTTTATACGGTTTCGAAATGTCGAAGATGTCGCCAGACTCGGCCAGCGGAAACTCCTTTTCCTTGCCGTCAACCAGAAGTGTATCCGGAGGAATGTTCTCCTTTCCACCATTTTTCCCGACCACGTCTACATGGATGCGAGACTCCTGGCGAACTTTTGCGCTGGGCTGCAACGGAGCTTTGTGCGTGGAGGCGGCGAGCGACGATTTCGCTTGTTCTCTTCTTGCAACCCGCGGTTCGTTCGTATTCTCAGAGGACTGTTGCGGGCGGTAATCGGACTTGAGCGGACTGAACATGCCCATAAAAGAACTGGCCGCTGTGGGTTCATTCGGAGGGACATACACCGCATCACGATGGACATCCTTCACCTCACTGGCACGTGGCTGCTGAGAGACCCCATTGATCCTCATCAAGAGCTCCTTATTTTTATCCACATCGACCTTGCGAGGCTGAGTCCTCCCACCCATTTCCACTTGTGATCGTGTAGGCTTCGCAGGCGAATTGGCAGCGAGACTAATTTTAGGTCGGAATCGCTGAGCCGGCTGGGCCAGGAGTGAGGACTTTCGATTCGAAGGCGCAGCAATTGTTCCATTCTCCTTTCTTCGCTTGGTGATTAGCGGAGCGTGCTTCTCTTCGCCCTCGTCGTGGATAGCAAAGGACGATGACGACGAGGAAGAGCTGGTCTTGGTTCGTCGTCGGGGTTTGGCGCCAGTTAGGACAGGGGCACGGATTTCGGTGGTGAATTCAATATTTGCAGTGTCTTCGCAGGAATCGAGACTGTCTTCCCACATGCTATAGATCGAGTCGCTTCCCTCGCTGCTGCGGTTGACTTGGAAGGTCCCCAGCCTGGAGGGGCATGGGGTGGGTACATCTTCAAGAAGGCCGGACATGGTGGCGGAGGCGAATGAAGCTCAACCGGGCCATGCAGTATGATTTCAGAGTTAGCTATTCCAGGATGCAAGTCCCCTTATATGAGCATATCTAGCGTGCTGTGGTCATCCAGGCAGGAGAGCTGGGCTCTAGTTAAAGGATAAATCGAGGGATAGGCAGCCAAGAGCTAGGGACAACGCGGGGGACAAGAAGCGGTGATGAACGGGATAAGGGCGCAGTAGATAGCGTTTAAGGTGGTGGAAGGCTGAGTCGTAATTTTAAATTTGTTGATCTTCGATGACGAGGAGGAATGCTGGAGCTGCTAAAATACAAGTGGTTTAGGGGGGAAGAGTCGAGCCGGGGAGGTATGGAGACGCGATGTTGACGTTTGGTTGCCCCCGCAACGCGCCCCACGGCAGCTTCCTGGCTGGCAGAAGACTCACTGCCGGAATACACCTTTAAGTGCTCCGTACATACTTGGAAAATTCGAAATTATCTAAGAAATGTACCCTTCACCCTTGCTCGACATCCATTTTAGTGTTGTCTACTCCCTTTCGTTGTCACATATCGTTGATTTCTAAAATTGTAAACTCCAGCAATACTCATGTCTATACACCCACCCCTCGAAATTTGTCTTGAATCTTCTCCATGATCGCCTTTTCGTCCTTGTCAGCGACGGCGCTCTCGCTTTCGATAATTTGTTTCTTTTCAGGAGCTCGAACGTGGAAGTTGGCCTTGAAAGAGGCTGGATTCAACTGGTCACCCAACTTGCCGTCAACGGGGGAGATGTCATATGCCCAGAGCAAGCGTGCAGTCACGACATGCAAACTATTCCGTGCCAGATGATGTCCTGGACATAGGCGTCGCCCAAACCCAAACCCCGAAACAGGAAGTTCCGGATTTTCGAGATATCGATCAGGATTGAAATCTTGGGGCTTGTCAAAGATCGTCTCGTCCTCGTTCATCCCCAACTGATTGGCAATGACCGTGGATCCTGCAGGAATGGCGTAACCCATGTACTCGTCGTCCTGGATCGCAGCGTGAGGGACTCCGATGGGAGATATGGGCCGCCAGCGGAGAAGCTCCGAGACCAGCGCGCGAATGTACGACAGGCTCTCAATGTCGCTGAATGACGGTATTCTGTCTGCGCCGACGACCGAGTCAAGTTCCTCCTGGGCCTTTTTCATGACTTCCGGCTTGAGAATGCAGATCATGATCATGATTTCCAGGACCATCTTGGTGGTGTGGATGCCGGCTACGTAGAGCTCGCCGAGCGAGTAGCACACGTCGTCCCAGGGGAGCTCCTTGGCTTCGCTCCTCTGCAGAGCTTCGTGGCTCCAGTTCCAGCTGTCGCCCTGAAGAGCAATATTGGAGCATTCTGTATACACCTTTTTGGTCTTCTCGTGTAGCTCAGAGGCCTTCTCGCGCCACGTCAGAAGGAACCTCGGGAGCCAATCGAGAAAGGGGAAAAGATCGAGCAGCAGCATTCCATACGAAGCTTTCTGAAGCACAAACACGGCCATCTCGTTGATCTGGTGGAGCCGTTTGTGGTCACCATCATCACTTCCTCTCCCCTTCCCGTAGATGAGGGTAAACATGATGTCCGAGGTGTAGCGAAGAAAAGCCTCCGAGAAATCATGAGATGATAAGAATCCATAAAGCATTTGCTTGCTTTTGATGTCTTGCAGGTACTGATATGCATTTGATGCTTTCGCGCTGAGTAGGTTTGATGACAGCCGCCGGTGAAGCTTCCATTGTGGACCGTAGGGCATGAACGCGGACGCAAGTCCCTTATGTAGGTAGTTGTCCAAGAACTTGGACGGCGGACGCGAGCTGTATATGCTAGCTCTCTTCTCGAGGAGATCCTGAGCGGCTCGGCGAGTGCCTAGGACGATAAAGTTCTGGCCTGCCAGTCTAAAATGCACGACCGGTCCGAATTTGCGTGACCAGATTTGAAATGTCCTCGCGATGTCATTAACTGGCATCGGGCCGGACAGAAGACTGGGGCCCGGTGGCAGCGGTAATCGCGATCTGCGTGGAGTCAGCCATCCGCATAGATGTAGACCCAGCAGCAAGGCGACTGCCAGGGAGATGATCGCGATCGGATTCATTGGAGTCCTAAAATTCCGCAGAGACCGGAAGATTGGGATTTTCCAGATAGTTCGCGGGGGAGAATTTTGGAATTGTCTTTTTGGGGGCAGAAACCGGGTTTCGTGCGAGGAGATGGGAAGTCTAAAGCTGCGATCTTCACCAGCCCCGCTTATATACACCTCCTCACTGAGGCTTCAGGCCGCTAGTCAGTATCATGCAAGACCACGTCAAGATGCATGCGATCCAACGCTCTGGCCGATCTACAGCCATTGTTATCTTTCACGGCGCCTATGGCCCTATGCCCTGCATATGGAATAGATCGATTGTTCTTTAATGGAGATCTATGAGACCGCGCTTATATCGTGGATGTAGCAACGAGGCTTATGCTGCTGACAATCATAAGCTATCGGAGAAATTCCCTTTGAGAATTTAAGAATCGAGGCTTAAGAGCACTCGGAAAAAGAACCCTACCGAGTCCTATTAATCCTGTGTCAGCTAGAAGTACACATAAGTGCAGACGAAGGAAGATAAAGCATTTCGGATGTAGATCATGACGCCTCAATTTCCACACCTGGGAATTACTGTATCATCAAAGAATATGTATTACTGAACTTCCTCGTATGATGACTGCACGCATGACATCAGCAAATTTGAGAAACAAGGATAGCCCACATACGCAAATTGCGTGGTGCATGTTGCCATCCGCCCTCCATGCGTCGCCCGTAGGACGAGGGCCAGAGCAAGAGCCAATTTAGCGCTCGGATCATGACCGGCGATAGATTGTAATGGCACGCTACCAGCATCTTCCTCCGTGCGACATCCAACGGTCTGTAGTTGTGTCCGAAGGCTCCAATCGGAGGACGGTAGACTCATCACGGAGTTATGCCTGCCAGGGTTCCTCCGCGTCAAGGTGAAACGGCCAGGTGCCTCCGGAGCAAATGACCGAAGGGGAAAGGAGAATATTATTAATCGGGGCAAGTTTTTGGATAATTTAGCGTTTTTGGATCCCTCGGTCTGCCCCGCTAGGAGGTGTTCATGGAAGTACAGTACTTCATCATCGGACTCGTTCGCGCATGGCGACACGAAATCTAGGCAGCGAGATATATGAATTATGCAGTCGGGCAGAAGGGGAGAGACTCTTACCCTTTGGTTGTGCATTATTTATTTCGAGCATCCGCACAGTTCCTGGAAATGACAGGAGAAAAAGGCACCGACCAAGCGGGTTTGTCACTAACGCCGTAGTTCCAGACTAAAGGAAGGAGTGGGCCTGCCTTAGTGCTGCCTGGAAGCCTTGGGATCCTCGTGATTTGCCCTCCCCTTCACTCTTCCGGGCGTAAAGAGAACCTCCTTTCCCCAGACAACTTGAATGAACGGATCTTCAACGTGGCCCTCTCTCTCTCTAAGCTATTTTTGTCCGTCGCAATTTCCATCTATCTGCCAGGGGGTGAAACTCTTTCCTCTCCCTAAGATTCAATGGTCAATCATATTCTCACCTACCATTTCATGCAACCTCGTTTCAGCCCTTTCATTTCGTGCTGATTGCTCCGAATAACCGCGCTGACCGGCCTGCGCCAAATTCCGATCTTCCTTCCCATTTTGTTGGATCCTGCGGAGATGGTTCTCGTTAATTGATCTCCGCCACCCTGCTCCCATTGACCCATTTCACAATTGACCTGAACCCCCGGCGACCCGGCGATCGACCTCTCTTGTCCTGGCTAACGCTATCGCTCCCCTCTGACCCCTCTATTGTGTGTACGAGCGTTGCGGAATGTGTACTGGCCATGGAATCTCTCGTCTATGAAGATTCGCCGCTGGCAGAGTACCTTCAGGGTGAGTTGCGACTAGTTCCGATCGCCACCGGAATAATGAAGACTGACCATGCTATCGTGCATTCAGGGGAAGGCGAACTTGACCCGAACTGGCCTGTTCAGGAACCCGAGAGCTCCAACGATGTTTCCGACTCGACCGCAGCAGACTTCGCCCCCCGAGGAACGTCGAAGTTCCAGAGTCGGATTCGCAATAAACTCCCTAAACCCTTGGATTTGAAGGTATCACAGCAGAGAGCGGCCCTGGGGAGGATTTATGACACTTGCACGGTATGGCCTCGCCGGTACATTGTGACTGCTATCAGCAGCAGGCTGACGACTCACCTTTTCCGCCCGCAGTCCGCTTTGAACGCACGTATTGCACGGAGCGACAACGAGAGCTTTCTGGAACAATTCGGCTACGTTATCGTTGCGTCCCAGCTGTTGAACGAACACAGCGCCCCTTCCTATACGTCAGCATCCGACGTGCTGTCAACTTCACAGCCCGCAGACCTTCCCTCGCTTTCCACAACATTCGGACTACAAGGGGCGGTTGTAACTGCCTCGACTTCGTTCTCGATCGCTTGGTTGTTACATTGGAGTCGATCTCGAACCGGAACTGGCATCAATCCTCGCAAAGTGGGTGTACTTCTAATACTGGTACCGGTGATTGGGGTTTTTTTCTACGCCTTCGCAAAACGACAGTGGCTCAAATATCTGCGACACCAAGCCGTGGAAGCGGCCGCGTCGTTCATCAGCAATGCTCAGGGTTTCGATTCTGCCGCGTCTGCATCGGTTGTCTTCATTCAGGAGGTTGAGCTGGTCTCAAGAGGCTACCGAATGTGGGTTCACCCCGGTTTGATTCGTGCTTGGGGGATATTTTACGAATACTAACGTCTATCTAGAAGCACGCCCATGCCTCCTGTCAGTCGCCTTGAAGACCAGGCACAAACGCGACGGTGCCTGCGCCTGCGTCGGACCGTTTCCGAGAGTTTCTTTTCCATGCTGGGTCGGTACATTCGGGCGCAGCGCATTCTGCAGCCGCTCACAGACGACGCCAATTTGGCCAAATACTACGACATCTACGATATCACCGAGGAAGAGCTCATCGAAGCCGAATCAACGTTTAACGAGCGTGTGACCGATGATCAATATTCTCTGCGTTATCTCCGCACGCTGTTCGGGAGACTATACATTGTCAGAAAGAGCATACTCTGCTGCCTGCTGGCTCTCGGCGCCGACGGCGGCGGATCGGATATCGCAAGATGGAGTACTGCCGTTGAACAAATGCGCGACTTGTCCGAAATCACCGGACATAATGTGCGCAAAATGAGCAACATCCTGAACGAGGACGACCGTGAGTGTCCATTCCCTTCACGCATCGCAAGACCTTACGTCTAATTCTCTTTCTGTAGGCGAAGCTATCCCCCCTTCACCTCTACCTACCGCTTCTCCGAATAAGGACGGCCTCCGTGCCCAATATCGGAAACTCAACTCTCTCTCACAAGGAATCCGGGCGCTCCATGCCAAAATGCACATCATCCGGGAACTCTCCAGCGCCAGTCTTGAGCGATCAGACGCTAGTGAATTCGAACCCACCCTTCTGTCGCAATACGAGTCGATCGGAGCGGACATCAAAAGCATCCTTCAGGAATGGGAGGCTGGAAAATCGGCTCTTGCCAACAACATGGCCAAGCAGTCGAGTGTGGATCGTCTTTCGCGACCACCGAGCAGTCTGTCTCCCATGCCCATGTCTCCGACGCCTAGCCTCGGCGGTGTGACGGCCGTGGAAGGTAGCCCCACAGACGCACTCAAAGCCTTGAACGGCGAGCGACCGGACTCCAGCCTTATTCAAAACATTGATGACGAGGAGATCTTCGAGGCCGTGGCTCTCCCGGCTCGTGCCAGCAAACGGATGTCCATGACGAGAGAGGAGCGCATCGCCCGTGTCAAAGAAGACCGAGCTAAACAAGCCGCCGCTAGAGACCGCGTTGACGCGAATACCCATATGTTAAAGGAGCTCGAGATGGTGATTAAACAGCGACCTAAGACCTCGCTCGCTTCAAAACGGGTTACAAGCATTTAGGCTTGTTTTTTCCCCCGGCAATTTTGATTGCCTTCCGTTCCTTCTTACCTTCCCTGTGTCTCTCTTCCAGGACACGCTTGTTCATATTTCCAGTATTCTTGTCTATATTGAACAGAACTGCATACGTGTTAATAAAACTCGGATGCAGGGTTGATACCCGATGTGCATAGATTGGCCTGGTGTCAGCGGCGTTTTTCCTCATTGTTTTTTTTTTTTTTTTTTTTTGGCTAACTTCATTTCTGCTTGAGTCTTCTTCGTTATCTTTAGTCTCTTGTATTCTTTCGTTCCTGCACTATAGCATGCAGAGTGTATATTTTGTTCTCTTTTGTCGTATCACATCCCTTCGTTGCCTTCTACTTCTCTTCTGTATTCTTTTCTTCTCAGTTCTCTGTGTGTCATTGGGGACTATGGTGTTAATATGCAAAGTACCGCTATCAAATTGGCTGCACCATTGGGAACAACCATGTATTTAACTATGAAATCGAAATCGATCTTGGATCTACCATCTGCCACCTGCCCGTGAATTGGTCCACAGGGGCACGCGCGAAGGCAGTCACGTGCTAGGCGCGGCTGCTGCTGCGGCTGCCTGAGGACGTGCACGGATCTAACCCCAAATGGTCATATCAGCCTAAGGCCAGACGCGAACCCGCGAGCGCGTTTCCCCACCACGCCTCAGGCGAACCCTCGTACGCGATTTCATTTCTCTTCCTTTATCCCCGTCATAACCATCCTTCTTCCCGTACTTCCAATTCCAACCTCCTCTCGACCTGTAAGTCTCTTAAGATCCCTTGACCACCCGACAGGACAGATCGACTAATTGCAACCGTCCTAGTTTCTTTCCAACTCCAGTTCCGCACCTTTCTTTTCTCCCTCCTTCACCGCACCACCACCTAGCACATCAAGAGTGAGTATTTCGAGAGTGATGAACGCCATAGGATTGCATTTTGACAGTTGAATCAGTGTTGGAAGCCCGCCTAGAACAAGCCTCTCTCCTGAAGAAGGTATGAGAACGCCAATCCCTATCACTCGTTCACAAGCACTCAAAACTAATCTTTAATCTCGATTTCTCTAGGTCGTCGATGCTATCAAGGACCTTGTGCAGGACTGCAACTTCGACTGCAATGACTCTGGAATCGCTCTCCAGGCCATGGACAACTCTCACGTTGCTCTGGTCTCTATGCTCCTGAAGGCCGAGGGTTTCTCCCCCTACCGATGCGACCGCAACATCGCTCTCGGTATCAACCTGGTTTCCCTGACCAAGGTTCTCCGGGCCGCCCAGAACGAGGATATCCTGACCCTGAAGGCGGACGACTCGCCCGATGCCGTGAACCTCATGTTCGAGAGTGCCGAAACCGACCGACTAAGCGAGTATGATATCAAGTTGATGGACATTGACCAGGAGCACCTGGCCATTCCCGAGACGGAGTACGCCGCTACGGTTGAGATGCCCTCGGCGGAGTTCCAGCGGATTTGCAGAGATTTGAACGCTCTGTCTGAGTCGGGTATGTTTTTTTCTCCCCCTGTCGATTGTAATCTTTCTCGGAGCAGACGCTCATCTCTCGTTTCTAGTTGTCATCGAGGCCACCAAGGAGGGCGTCAAGTTCTCCTGCCAGGGTGACATCGGCAGTGGTTCCGTTACCATCCGCCAGCACACCAACGTCGACAAGCCCGACCAGAACGTCTCCATCGCCCTCAGTGAACCCGTTGCCCTCACTTTCTCCCTCAAGTACCTTGTCAACTTCTGCAAGGCCACCAACCTGTCTGGCAAGGTTTCTCTTTGCCTGTCTCAGGAGGTGCCTCTGCTTGTGGAGTACGGGCTCAGCAGCGGTCACTTGCGATTCTACCTTGCTCCTAAGGTGCGTTTCCTCCCTTCCCATCATTCCTTCCGAATATGAAAACAATTGATGCTAATATTTGCTACAGATCGGCGACGAGGAGTAAATGGATTGAATCCAAATATAAAACTAAAAAACCCAATAAATTACGATGATGAAGGTGGGGAGCATAAGGAGGCCACGATTTCAATTTTTTTTTTTTTCATTTTTTCTTTCACATTTTTTTTTGTTCAAAATATCCCTTGAATGTTGCGCACCATACGATGTCCAAAGCCTACATATAATTTCCAAATTAGATATCAAGCGATCAACTTTACAACTACATTGGTTTAGGATGGAATTTGAGCAGTATTACCAGGTAATTGACTGATGTGAAGTCAAGGCAATTATTTGTAAAAAAAAGAATTCATATTCATAGAGACCTATACCAACATCCAACTTATCGATAGTCCACCAAGCAGCATAGTACTAACCAACTCTAGACACCAAGCCCCTCACTAAAATTAGTCAAGGACACACACAAAGTAGAACCCTTCTCAGTCCCAAAAACAGGAAGACACGACTGACCTTGAAGAAAAAAGAGTGAAGCACCACCCCAACCAGAATAATCGGAATCGAATGATACCACCCCCTCCCGCAAAAACAAGAGGGGGACAAGGTATGCCGCGTATTGCACTAAAGTGTCACACTGGCGCCGCCAGAAGCGCGCCGAGTTGCACACAATCTTCGCAACGACTCTCCCATGGGGTTTTTGACGCCCCGATGTTTCTGATGCCAATTGCAGATGCGTAAACAGGGTTCTTCGCATCAGGCCCTTGCGGGCAGTACCGGTCTGATTGTCATAGAGACTATGATGGTCAGGCGAGTCCAAGGTAGTGAAGATTCCTCCGAATTTCTCATTTGCAAGATCCTCTCGAACACTGTCATTGACGGTTCGAGAGGGACAAGGACAGCTAGGAGCTGTCGGACTTGTCGTGTGTAGCAAAGAAACGCAGCATTGGTTGGGATGGTGCTTGGAGAGAAGAAAAAAAGAAAAGGGAAGGGAAAGAGAAGGGGAAATATTATGGGGGGCGAAGGTTGTGCGGTGCCGCGAGTGACTCACCGCCTGCTTGTTTCTGATTGGGTGTGGGGGGAGCTTGGATAGCTTCTTTTGATGCCTCAGGTGTCTGTTTCTGTCTAGTTCCCTCCCTCTCTCTTTCTCTCTTGGTTTGGCGGATCTTTTATTCTAGGTCCCAATAGATGGAGCAGGCTTATTGTTTGTTTCAGTACGACTTCTACATGAGGTGTACCGGGATCAAATTAATGTGGGGCCTACTAAACAAATGTTCTGGGACATTATCACCTCTTTCCTGACGAGAGAAGCTCTTGGTAGCTGAAGCCGTGAAGGAGACTTGTCAGGTTCATATTGTTATTGTGAGCTTTTTTTAATATATATAAATTCTATATCCGTATCCAAGGAGCCCTATCATGTGATTGGGCTCAGGTATCTCGGGGAAAATGGTTCCTTCATTCAACTACAGCGAAAATTGTTTTTGATTTCGGTATCCTATACTAAATCTGTAGTGTAAATCTATATAAGGATCTCCTCCGCGGTGGTATCGTTCGCCACCAGGCACCGTATGCACGGTCGAATCCTTGCTAGATCACTCCTTTTCTGACTATTTCAGAGGCCTGGCTACCACGCACCCTGCTCGTATAAAATAGCGTGTAGCCCAGACATCTATCACTGTACCTATCTTTTACTAGTGATCAATATACCTTCAAGGTCCTTGTCCATTTCCTCAGGGTGCCTCATTCTCCCCCCTCTGACCCTGAGTCTGGCTCTAATACCTCTGGCTCGATAAAATCGGGATTCAATACCGTGGCATCAGGGCCCTGTTGGGAACTTAATCCTAGCGGGTGATTAACATCATACCTCTTTCAAAGAGCGGTCGTTGTACCGGACATTCTTATATTCTATTTGTGCGAGAGACTCGCTATCCGTTCAGCCATCATCATCACCCAGATCCCTTGGCGGTAGTATTCAGTAGCCACCTCTGGCTGCCACCAGCATTCAGTTGCGGCAAAGGACTAGGACAAATAGGCCGTCTAGATATACTACATCGTACCTTTTAAATCTAATTGAGCTATACTACTAGGCCATGACTTTCAAGCAACAGAGCAGGGGGAACGATTCCCTAAGTTGAATGAGCAGATAGGATTGATCTCGTTCAACAACATCATTGACCCGACTAGGGCATCATTTGCCATTCTGGGGAAAGCCTTAAGATTGCAAAGGGTGATTGTCGCCAGCATAAAAACCCTATTCTTTCACCCCTATTGGAGACTTCCATTGAATCAAGCTCGTACCCAAGAGCTTCATCCAATATACTTGACTATATTGATTTCTTCCGGTTCCAAAAACCCAAGAACACAGTATAAATATATTCAGGCAGCACTGAATATAGTCAACACACGTCTAGACCATCTCAACCTCACTATCGCCACCTATTGACAAAAGGTAACCGAAATGTCTAACCGCAACCTATCTAGCTCGTCTCCAACCCCAGAATCGAAACAGGAAAGTATCACCTACTACTGTCTAGTCGACTTCTGCCCTGCCCTGAACGGCTACGACAGCGATTACCACAGCCAGGTGTTGGGAATGGTAATGCTAACGCTAACTGAGTGGGTTTTTTTGCCCTTGCTTTGGCCTCTCTTTGCTTTTCACTTGATTTGGGCTCTCTTTCATCATCACTCGATCCTTTGCTTAGACTCCCTAGAGGTATGTACTCTATGTGAGGAAGGTAAAAAAATGGAAGAAAAAAAAAAAAAAAAAAAAAAACAGAGAGAATAGAATGGAATTCCTTTTAACTCAAAGCTCTCATTAATATTAAAATGTTCATATGACTGACACTTGTTTCATTATGAAGCTTTTCAGGCTCTAGTAAATCCTTTCGCGTTGTCATAGATATCATAGCTCCTTGTGTAGTTTCTCTGCTGGCCGTTTCCTAACCATTGACACCTTATATCTTGCTCGAAATCCTACTACCTCATGGAGTGTGAAAAACTGTCTGCGATTAACTGACAATTCTTCTCCTCCAGAACAGTATCTAGGCATCCACATTGTTCAGTTGCGGCAATCTTCCGGATTCTACCAGCCATACAGCGAAAGTTGTTTTTGATTTCGGTAAGGTCCGAAGTCTGTAGTGTAAATCTATAAAGGACCACTGGGATTCTACCAGTCATAACCACGGCTTAGTTGCTTTTTCGGACATCATAGGCCGGTCAGTCCTTCATAGCAAGCAATATGTTGCAAACTATAATGGATAATTTCATCGTCTTTTCTAGAAGACAGCTATACCGCGTAACTCCCCGATAAAAGTTAGACATACAATCACCAATTTCACATGAAGAAACCCACCCCTGATCCCCAATCAGTCAGTATATAAAGCAGGAGACGCAGTATTTATCTAGTTCTTTCCCCTCCTTCAGTGTCGAATTTCATTTCTCATTCCTCGAATGCGAGCAAATAAGATCCCAAAACCTACACTCTCACCGTTAAAGATCTCCTACAAACCAAAAGCCCAGACAGGAAATCATGCGCCCCGACTCTGACTCTGAAGAGTCTTGTCCCGACATCATCGATGCCTGGGTCTGGATCCACATTCCTAAGATCAAAGACCTCGAAGAGAGGTACTGGGCGGCTAGCCAGCAGCTCGAAAATGGCAATTACACAGTCTACTACATGGATCCCAAGACACTTGACAACAAAAAGCGTGAGTTGGTCATGAAGCTTAAGATTCAGTACCATGTCGACCTGGAGAATCGATCCGATGAGATAGAACACCAACTGGGAGATGATATCGAAGGGATCCTGGAGATTCTGGAAGCGCGGCGCGGCGCGCAAGGAGCTGATCCGTCTTCTGATGATGATGATGGAGAAAGTGAAGACGAAGAGAATGAGGATGAGCCCCAGCCCCAGCCCGAGCCCCAGCCCCAGGTGGACAACCAGGACTACGATTCTGAAGCTAGCACTATGATTCTCATTGACGGTCCTATTTACCATGGACCCAATAGTGACGCTGATGATGACTCTGACCTTGAGTCTGAAACGAATCTCATTTTGAAAGGAGAGACCCGTTATGTAGCCCAATCGGGCCCAGTGGGGCCTGAGTCCGACGTCGATACTGATGACATTGTTGGGGGTTTATAATGGCGCGGAAGAGAGTGAGAACGAAGCTGAAATCCCAGAAAATACTTCCAGGATATAGACAGAATGAAAGAGGTCGTTGGGAACAGATATCTCGTTCCAGTTTAATCTCGTCTGCTTTTTTATTTTTTTGTATTGAAGATGATCCTGTGGAATCTTTCTAAGTTATGTTAAGTTATGTATTCAGCAGATTCTGATCTTTCGTTTGACATACGTCTCTCCTGCTGGTGCAACGCCTTCATCCATGCAGTCAAAATGAAAGAAGCTTTAATTTGTAACAAGAGACGTTAGTAACTTGCATTACTACTGATTGAGATTATCTGAACACTATATACACTATACGTTACATGATCATCAAGCGACTTGTTTTATTTCTCTCCTTATGTTATTCATGCATGTGCTATCTTAAAGTGAAGTAATTCATTTATCTTTGAGCAATATTACTGATGGTGACGCTCCTGTTCCTCATACAATTAGGTTCTTTCTGAGCGAAACCAGAATTTTTGACATGATTCTTGACGACATTTCTTGAGCTTGCACTAAACACAACTCCAGACAATCACTTGCCGCCCTTTATAAAACCTACTAGATGAGGCTCATGAACAATGCATTGTAGAGCACATAACCCAAGTCCCCGCCCCTTTCTTTGTGAGTATATAGCCTATAATTGACGTTTTCCTTAGAATTACACAGACGCGTCAAGGCCACCGCTATGTAGTCAACGTTTACAGATACTGCTTGACTCCCCTTATCCATTGTTGTGTATGCGTATATACCTTCCTTGAAACCACCCCGGTCTTTGATGTTTGATATGCCATTGTATTAGAAAACAATACCGTGGTTTGATCGTAGCTAACATTGACATTCCGTCAAGTTAAAGCACTATATACGGATATATCCAGTTATTCTTCCAGTTCAACTATAAAAGCACTCCATCGAAGCCCTCAAATTGAATAAATCCCACCGAAAAAAACTCATACACACACCTACTTACAGAGCTTCATCGCCTATATACCAATCAAGCAGATCCAGGTCTATGGCAACCAACAAGATGTCCTCCTCTGCTGACGCCCCCTCCGCTGACACCCCCTCCGATAAAACCATCGATCTATGGGCATACATGGCCTGCAAAAACACCCACGGGCCGCGAGTGCGCCGATACCTCACCGCGCGCGACGAAATCCACTGGGGATGCCTCGAGATCCACGAGAAAGAGCCTACTCTGAAGCCCGACGACAATGGTATTCTCTTGCAGGTTAGAATCTGGGCTGATATTCCCAAGGGAGACTGGAAGGAGACGATAACGGAGGCGGCGTATAATCATGTTGATGGAGTCATTAAGAAGGAGTTGAATAAGAAAGATGGGTTGGAGAAGTTCAAGAAAGATGGATTGGAGAAGTTTCTGAAGGAGTTGGAGGAGAAGAAGTCAGCTAGTTCTTAGGGGCTGGAGGCATTTTTGGTTTCTTGTTGATTCTGTTAGGATGGCTTAGGTGGGTGTGTTTGGTTTTGTGGGTTAGTATTGGAGTTTTAGAATGATTTTTTTTTCTCTTTTGAAGTTTTGTCTTATTCTGTTCAGTGTCTTTGTAGGTTTCTAGAGGTGTGGCAGATTTGTAATATAGGAAGTATCTAAGTGCAGCCGATTTCCTCACTATGCATCACATCCTGCTTATGTACAACTTGAATTCTTGAACTGGTTATATACTGTATTTCGCATCGTAGTCTACCTACAAATGAGCAGGGGCTTTTCCTACCTAAGAATACAAGCCTCCTCGGCTGCCTTTGACAAACATCAATGCATCTGTTAGGGCGCGCCGGATAAAATATCCGCACATTCCTTAACCACCTAACCTGCAAGAACAGACATCAAGGCAACAATACCACAAGGCTGCTAGAATTGCCTCCATACCTCAGGGAGGCCTCGAAAACATGCATAAATTATAGACTGATCCCATCATGCCACTATGTCGATCACCAAGGGATAGGTGTCACAATTCAGAAATGAGGTGGCTGGGCGAATGGCCTCTCCCATTACTTTGCCCCATGTCAACCCTGTATCTGGCGAATCAAACAAGTAGTTCAAGGGTGCCTAGTCTGAGGCCTAAAGTGACATGTCATAGTGGGTATATGTATGGTTGATGGTATGGAAGGGAATATGTGATTGTTGTATTGGAACTGTCCGGGTAGGATGTACACATGATGCCTTGAGACGATGGTGAATGGTATTCATTGCATGCTTGCATTCCAGGAAATGACTCAAGGTAGGCATTGGTGTCTGCCTTAGAAGTCATCTATAGAAATTGTACTTTATTGAGAGTGAATGGCTACCTCAAATTAGTCCATATAAATCTGCCTGGGCCGCTCATCCTACACCCTCATTCAACCAAATCCAATCCTTTACCGAAACCGACCTCTTCAAGACATATCTACACTCAAGTTTCCCAAAACCTAAGATCAAAACCAACCTAAGCAAAAGTCAAAATGTCTTCCCCTGAGCCCTCTACTCCCGAAAACAAAGCCTCAGTCCAAACTCCCTCTGCCCCCCGACACCCCTCGCCCGAAAAGCCCGGCCTCTATCTCCCCACCGACCGCACCGGCAACGAAGGTTACCACGACCGACGCCAGCGTCTCGAGCGCCTCCAAGAAAGCATCCATCTCGACGCAAGCTAGCGCTGTGAGATCATCAAGCGCATCATTAGATACGAACACGCCTGCCGACCCGTCAACTGGAGAGCCGAGATTCTGTACAAATACGTGCCGAGGACTTTTGAGACGGCCGAAGTCACGGAGGATCTGGCGTACGACGCATTTCAGGAAGCGATTGATCTGTCGCTAGTGAGGATTTATAGTCCTTTGTTTGTTGTCCCATCTCCTTCTGTTCTTCTCTATGTCTTAGTGTGGACTTGGGGCTATGTGACTAACTATTTGATACGCACTGGGTACAGTGCATACGATGTCTACCGCTACACCGTTCGCAAACCAGGTGATGGAAATCCTCGGTACACCATTTTCGATGTCGTTTGGGACGGATTTGCCCCTCAGATCCCTTCCGAGCTGGAGGGCTTGCCGACCCTGAAGTTTCATGAGGAGAGAAGAAAGGTGTTCTGGTATCCTATGAGGGATTAATTGTTTGAGCAGTTGAAGGAGCTACGTTGGTTTGTCCTGGTCTGAATATTACGATGGCCAATCCAATCAGTCTCTCTTTAACAGAGAGCATTGGTCTGGTATGATCCGAAGATGGTAATTCAACTTACCTATCTTTACGGCTTGCGCTGAATAGTCCGTTTGGAATTGAAATCAGTCATTTCTACTGGGTTGCTTGTTAGGTCATTGAAGCTGTTGTGATTACACACTGAGTGCCTTCCATTCCTGAAAGAATTTACAATCATCTTCCCTAGGGATCAATCACGACAAGTAGCCAAAAACAAAACATAATCTTGGAACCTCACTACAAATAAATCAGTCATCTTATAGTGACCATGTCAAGATAGGCTGATCCCTTAGATAAGATAAGATTAGATAACCCATCCAAGTTATCTCAGATCAAGATAGACAGACTGCTTACTGTCTCCAGGATCATCCCAGACTCTTAGCCCTTGATAAGATCTGAGGCAGAAGTATTCCAGGTGCTGATTGGCTTTGATCCTGCAGATAAAGAGCGTCGTGCGTGCGGGGTTCACGAATCGTGAAGTGATATCTCTATTTGTACCCCTCATCCTTCATTTCCTCTTCTCCTCTCCTCCTACTCCCTCTCACTCTCTCACCTTCCCTCTCCTGATCTACACACTCATACCTCCCCCAAGACACCATCAAAATGTCTACTCCAATCCCCCATGTTTCTAACTGGATCGACGGCGCCCATACCACCAACGCATCTCACCCACGCATCCCCGTCATCAACCCCGCCACAGAAACCCCCCTAGCGACCATCGACGCGACCCCCCTCTCCACATGCACCCAGCTCGTAACCACCTCCCTACAAACCTTCGCCACCAGCCCATGGTGCCAGCCCTCTTCCTCCGCCGACCGCTTCACCGTGCTCTCCACCGCCGCCCGGCTCCTGCGCGAACGCATCCCTGAATTCGTCACGCTCGAGACCCAACAGACCGGACGGCCCATCCGCGAAATGCGCGCCCAGTTAGCCCGCGTCCCCGAATGGCTCGAATACTTCGGTTCTATTGCCCGGGTGCACGAAGGTCGCGTGACGCCGTTCAAGGGTCCCGTCGTGAATACGCTCACTCGGCTCCCGCTGGGCGTGGTGGTGCAGATCACACCATATAATCATCCGTTGCTGATCGCGACTAAAAAGATCGCTGCTGCCCTAGCGACTGGGAACGTGGTGATCGTGAAGCCGTCGGAGCGGGCGCCGCTGTCGGTTCTGAAGCTAGGCAAGCTGTTCCAGGAAGCTGGGTTGCCTGATGGCGTGTTGCAGATTGTGAACGGGTATGGGTTCGAGACGGGGAAATATCTGTGTGAGGATTCTCGGCTGGCGAAGATCGATCTGACGGGTGGGATGGGTACCTATCGTGCTGTGGCGGGCTCTGCGGCTAAGCATCTGATACCTATCACGGCGGAGCTGGGTGGGAAAGCGCCGGTGTGTTTTTTTCAGAGTGTGGAGGTGGAGGTGGCGGTTAAGGCGGCGCTGTTTGCGGGGTTTATAGCGAGTGGGCAGACGTGTGTTACGGGGAGTCGGTTGCTGGTGCATGCGGATATCTACGAAGCGTTCGCGGCGCTGTTAGAAAAGAGGGTGAGGGCGTTACGAGTGGGCGATCCGTTCGATGGACGCACGCAGATCGGGGCTGTGATATCGCGAGAAGCGGTAGATCGGTGTGCGGCGTTTGTGGACCGCGCGGAGAACGAGGGAGGGAAGGTGTTATGCGGTGGTAAGGCGATGAAGGTGGATGGAAAAGGGTTTTTCTTCGAGCCGACAATCATCGAGACGCGCGCGGATTCGGACCTTGCGTGCAATGAGGTCTTTGGGCCGGTGATTGCGCTGCTAAAGTGCGAGTCTGAGGAGGAGATTGTGCGCGTGGCGAATGGCACCTCATTTGCGCTGGGGGCGTCGGTGTGGTCGAACGATTTCGCGCAGGCGCATCGCGTGGCAGCGCAGATTGAGGCGGGCATTGTCTGGATCAATGGACATCACTTGAACGATCCCTCGTCGCCGTGGGGTGGGTTCAAGGAGAGTGGCGTTGGAAAGGAGAATGGGATAGAGGCGTACGAGAGTTATACGAAGGTGAAGAGTACGGTGATGAACTATGGAGTGCCGCCGGTGTGGTTTGATGACGAGCCGGAGGGAGCGAGATATGGTTAGATATTGAAGATATAGATCATAGTCACCATACAAGAGTGTGGTACAAAGTCCTGATATTGATATTAGCAGCTTATAGAATCTCTATCCATACAATACTCTGTATAAAATAGGGATTATCTCGACAACTCAGAAAGCCGACGCCGGCCAAATTGCGTGCGACGGGAGCCACATGTCGTCAAGCGCTAGTCAATTCAACCCAATGAGAAGTCCACGACATACCATCTTCTACCAGTCATACGACGACATGATAAGCCAAATCTAAAATGGCGGACTAATACTCAATAAGTCTCCTGCAAATAATTGCAGCTATCGGCTATCGGCAGTCTGTCAGCGTCGAATACAGCATTGCGGGTGGGTAGTAGACTTAGGGCTTGTCGGGTCATGCTCCATTCTCCTATTAAACAAATGAGTACAAATTCGCCATCCAAAACTAGAAATAAATAATCCCGTTTTCCAATCCATAATTACTCCCTAAAATGTCCTCAAATAACAATCCCTCATTCACCGACACCACTGATTTCGCCGCCACCTCACGCGGCTTCATTGCAGCCCTCACCCCACCCGTCATCAAATCCGCCTCGGGCAAAACAGTCTGGGACATTGACGCCTACTCCTTCCTGAAGGATGAATGTCCCGAAACAGCACACCCCAATCTCTGGCGCCAGGGCCAGTTGACCGCAAAACATGGCCTGTACGAGATCTGTCCCGGAATCTACCACATCCGCGGCTACGACCTCTCCAACATGACCATCGTCGAAGGAAAAGATGGAATCATCATCATCGACCCACTCATTTCATGCGAGTGCGCAGCCGCCGGACTGAAACTGTATCGCGAGCACCGCGGACCGCGCAAAGTCACAGGGATGGTGTACTCGCATTCGCACGGGGATCATTACATGGGTGCGGCGGGGGTGTTAGATCTAGACGAAGGAGAAGAGGCGGAGATTCCAATTATCGCCCCAGAGGGATTCATGGAAGCGATCATGAGCGAAAGTATCCTTGCTGGTCCGGCGATGCGGAAACGTGGCGCTTTCATGTACGGTAATGCCCTTCCGCGCAGTCCGACGGGGCAGATTGGTACCGGTCTTGGGCTGGCATCGAGTATGGGCACGACGAGTTTGATCACGCCGACACTGTTGATTCAGAATACCGGTGAAGAACATGTGGTGGATGGTGTACGGATCGTGTTCCAGATGGTGCCGGGTAGCGAGGCCCCCGCGGAGATTAATTTCCATTTTCCTGACTTCCGAGCTCTTTGTGTTCCTGAGACGGCGACGAAATGTATGCATAACGTCGTGACGCTGAGGGGGGCGCAGGTGCGTGATGCGAAGGCCTGGTCGGGGTATCTGGATGAGGCGATCGTGTTGTTCGGAAGAGACTCCGACGTGATGTTTGGGAGTCATCATTGGCCGACGTGGGGAAGAGATGAGCTCATTGCGAGACTGGCGGAGCAGAGGGATCTGTATGGCTATATGCATGATCAAACGGTGAGGTTGATGAATCTGGGATGGACGGGAGTGGAAATTGCAGAGCGCATGAGGTTGCCCGGGAGAATTGAACGCGCGTGGCATTGCCGTGGGTTTTATGGGAGTTTGAGCCATAACGTCAAGGTATGCCATGTCAATCTTCATGTCTGTGATTCGATCGAGAGCTAATGGTCGGTAGGGCATCTATCAAAAATACATGACCTGGTTTGATGGCCGGCCGGAACATCTATGGCAATATCCACCCGCCGAGGAAGGCCAGCGCTATGTGGAATGCTTCAACGGCGTCGATGGGCTCTGCGATAAGGCAGAAACCTTCATCCAGAAGCAGGACTATCGATTCGCCGCGACGCTGCTGGCTCACGCGGTTGCGGCGGATCCGGACTCAGCAGAGCCCCGGGCTAAGCTACTTCTCGCTTCAGTGTACGAACAGTTGGGATTCGGCGCGGAGAACGCCACCTGGCGGAATTTCTACCTCACTGGCGCACAGGAACTGCGGAGTGGAAAGAAAGCAGGCATGGTGGCCGGGGGTAGGACGCCGCTGGGGGAACGGTTGAGTATCGACCAGTGGTTCGAAATTATGGCGGTGCAGTTGGATGGGGAACGAGGAGCAGATATGCAATTCACGATTGACTGGGAGGTTACGGACGTCAAGCAGCGGTTGAGATTAATCGTGAGCAACGGAGTCCTGACGAGACGATTGTTGGACTCGGAGATACAATTGCAGGAAGCGAAGGAGAATCCGGCGGACTACGAGATGGTACTGACGAAGAGTCAATTGTTGGAAGTGATCCGCGGACATGAAGTCGAGCCGGAGAGGAAGAGTGGCCGGGCAGAGGTCCTGAATCAGTTGTTAGATTTGATCTCGGTGCAGGATGGCTCATCTCGAGGGCCCAGTCAGTTGTAAACTTGACATCATTAAATAAAAAGCTAGAATACTACGGAGAATATCTGATAAGTTCTTTTGAAAGAAATCTCATGTATGCATGTACCATATAGATTAGCAGGTGATGGACAAGTACCTCAGTCTAGATGATCTTCCCAGCTCTTAGGGCCTATGTGAATAAGCCAATATTTAGAGCTGTTAGCATCAGTAAGGATACATTTCTTGGAAATAACAGGGATGAAGAATTATCTAACTAACTAAATCAAGAGGAGAGTCAGCATGTTTAGACTTAAATTCAATTAAATCAGTATAGGATGAGATATCATCAGATAAGATACCCTGAGCGGGGGATCCTCGTATTCCCCACCCCGGATAAAAGTATTGCAACTTCTCTCTCTCTCTCTCCCTACCTCCCTCTCTGTGATTCATGACTCAACCCACGCCCTTTCATACTCTTGACTCATTTCACGCTCTTCCGTGCCCTTCCGGGCTCTTAACTAATCCTTAGTATTAAAGCTGAGCCCATCCACCTATAGAGTAACTTACTCCCTACCCTCCACATATCCAATCCTCCCACCTCAATCAACCTGAATCAACCTTCGATCCAAACCCCAAAATGCCTTCCTCCAACCCCCTTTCCCTCCCCGAACCAATCTACACCCTCCTAACAACCCTCCACGGCAAATCCCTCGCCCAAGAAGCCGCCCTACCACCCGATACATTCCTCATGAGCCACCAATCCAAACCCTCCTTCGACGCCCTAATGGCCGATAAATTCATCGCCCTGGACCAGGATAAATGCGAGTTCGTGTATCAGGTTCTCCGCGCTAGCGGAGCTACCACGGTCGTCGAAGCGGGGACTAGTTTCGGTGTGAGCACGATCTATCTGGCGCTGGGGGTTTGGGCGAATGTGAAAGCGAGGGATGGTGGATCTGAAGGAAAACCGAGGACTGGGAAGGTGATTGCTACCGAGAAAGAACCGGCTAAGGCAGCTCTGGCGAGACAGTATTGGGCGCAAGCGGGGAGAGAGGTCGAGGGGGTGATTGATTTGAGGGAAGGAGATTTGAGAGAGACGTTGGTGGGGAAGCTAGGGGATGGTGAGGAGGGGGTTGGGTTTTTGTTGCTGGATAGTGAGTTCCTTCGCTCTTTACTTTCTTTTCTGTTTCTGTGCTAACAGGTTGTGTGTTTAGTATGGACACCTATGGCCCTCCCGGCTCTCAAGGCTGTTCAGGATAAGTTGAGACCTGGGGCTGTTATTATCGCGGATAATACGGTAATTGCGAAGGACGGATATAAGGAGTTGTTTGAGTATGTGGATCAAGAGGGGAGTTCCTTCAAGAGGGTTACTTTGCCGTTCAAAGGGGGGATGGACATGATTGTTTATAAGTAATTTGTTTACTTAATTTCGGGGGATCACTGAATGCTCTGATTCTAGACCCTCCGTATAATAATGTACATTTCTAAACGGCCGAGACGACGCAGCAGCAACAGCAGTGTGCAGTTAAGACAGCATATCAACATCACTATGAAGAGAGCCATTCGCCTAACCAGGCCTCGCTAAACAACATTATCTTCTGATATGACCATGTACTGCAGCCGCTCGCTCCATCAGACATGAAACCGTTTGCATAGTAATACTACCCTCTTGGAAGTATTTACCGACCCAGCTAGTGACGGCCTTTTCGACCACAACCCAGGCCCCCTGAGTCTCTGCGGTCTGCGGTCGAGCGCAGAGTTCCATGAGCACCACCGCAGCGGCTTGCCATTGTGGATAACCCTCAAACAACCAAGACCATTTGCTCGTTCGCGAATTTGTCTCTAACAGATGGGCGAATTCTACTACTTCAATAGCAGTCAGAAAGAGCTGAGCTCGTTTGGGATCGTCGGACGTGATCTCAAGAGACGATATCTGCTCTGTCCCGGTCCGCTGGCAGATGTGGGCTGTTAACCAGGATCGAGCGAGTGCTAGTCGTATGATGGTTGCTGTCGCCCATTGGAGAGGGATTGTTACGTCGCAAAATTTAAGATATTGCTCCCGAAGATAATCGTGGATTTGTTCTAATCAATTAAGAAGTTCCATCGCGATATAGACCTATCCCCTGCGCCATTCGATGTATAGCGCCCGTCATGGTCCATACAAAATATGCATGTCCCGGACCGCGAAGACAGGTAAAGAATAGAACGGCAGCTTGAAGCACGGCCAAGCTGCGTGTTTGAAGAAAGCCAGCGCGAGCCAGGGCTTGTTGTGTTGCAAATTTGTAATATTCGTGGAGGGATGACTGGTCCTGAGCTAACTTCTCTGCGCATTCTTCTGTGCCCATACTGTTCACGGCGGTGAAGTAGACGGCGAAGACCACGGCCTCCGAGGCATGGTCGATATAGCTCTTATTTGAAGCGGCTTTGTAAATGAGTTTGAGAAGGGTGGGTTGGTGGAATATCATCATCACTGGAGCGACATTTTCTTGATACGCTTTCCACAGGATCTGACTGTGTGTCATGCTGGGGTGGAAGGCCTCGAGGGAGGCTGCCATGCAGGAGAAGCCGAACAGGAATTGGGTTCCTTTTTCCGAATAGTCATCGTCGCCATATGGATCTCTTCAGATCTTTGGACTTCGTTTCCTGGGAGATCCATGAGATCTTTCAACTCCTCAACCTTTCCGCATGCGTCCTAGGATTAGCCATATCTATTTTACAACTCGTTATGAATACGAAAGAACCAACAGGTGTTCATACCTGGTTTACAAGATTAACGAGAACCATGAGTAAAATACTGCGTAGAGCTTCCTTTCACGAACAACTTCCCATGCTTGAGTCCTTCATCTTGATGGTTTTCTGCGCCCTAGGCTTCATGACCCGAGGGGCATGGCGGAGGCGCGTCTTCAGAAGAAGTCGTCGCTTCTTCCTTAGTCAAGATTCGAAGCTCCTGCTCCAAGTTCTTCACGCGAGACACAAGCTCGGCTTTAAGGGCTCGCTTTTTGCGTCGCGGAGCACGACCGGGTCCTGGATAGACGCACTCCGAGCTGGCTTTCACGCAACCTTCGCATGGCTGGACCTTGTTACATCGTATTTTCTTTTGTTACATCGGTGGCAGCTACGAAGAGATAGCGGAGGGCCTTTGTCAGAATCTGCAGCCTCGGGCATGGTCTTCGAAGAATTCGTCAAATTCTAACACATGTATTTGGTAGTGGAGAGAACTAAACGTCATGGATGGAATTTGTCATCGGCGGCATTAACTTAGTTAAAATAAGGCCCGAAGCGGCGATGGTTAGTCAGGCACGTTAAGGTTAACTAAGGTTGAACCCTTCGATGTGGATTTACTCTAGGATTTGTCACTTCTTCTATTGAGATTAAGTGATTATCCTAGTACGGGCCTCTAAAATGGTCCGAAGTCCAAATGGCGACTGCAATTTATTACCTGTTCTCTGTCAAATGACCCTCCTGACCCTCTATAAATCCTAGATGTACTTCTGTCCCGGGAATCGCTGCACCTGCGCGTCAAAACGATAATCATATTCACGCCCTCCTACCAAAAATGACTGCTGTGTTGATCGCAGTGGCAACAGGAAAGCAGGGAGGCTCACTCATCAGAAGCCTCGTCTCGCGCAACGCCCCTTTCGAGATCCTAGCCGTCACGCGAAACCCGGCATCTGCGTCTGCCCAAAAGCTCAAAGCCCTGTCATCCAGCATCAAGCTCGTCGAAGGTGACCTGGATAACCCGACCGGCATCTTTCAGAAAGCGCACGTGTATTTCGTTTCAAATAACGCCTTCAGCCATTCGCCTTTCGATAAGGCCCGAACAGTTCCACGGACGTTGTATCCGCGATGAAGAAGTTGATCGGCAACATGAGAAGCGATATAATCGTTCACACCGATGACGACAATCCATGAGCCTTTGGGAATGGCAAATCCTTGAGCAAGGAGCTTAGCCATTTCTGTCAATTTCTTGGTCGCGTTTGAAGATGATCAGTTCTAGACAGACAACTAAACCGCAAGATCCGGAGACTTCCAAACTTTTTTTATCGGCAGATTTGCTATTTTTCATATTCCTCAAGGGTCGCTCTGATTAATTCATTCTGTAAATTGGTCATTCTCGGGAAGTATTCTATGGCCGACTTGGTGGATAGAAAGAGGACGAATCTCCTCCGGTCTATAGAGATTCGGGTCGCCACCGTTCCCGGGATTAGGTATTTTAGGTACCTCCCGAGATGATCAATCAGGGCTGGCTCCACCTCTTTCTTACTCATGTCAGTATGCCCATACCATGTAAGACCGACATGCGAATAGAGTGTATAAAAAGATGCTGTATTCTTCCAAAAAAAAAAAAAATCAAGCATCTTCAATCCGTTTCATAAATTCCACATCTCACCTGATACTCAACCATGACCATCACTAGACCTGGGCGGCCGAGCCAACATCAAAGAAATCGCCGCATCATTCGAAAAGTTCTACGGTGTCAAACCAAGCTTGGAAAGTCGCGAGTCTCTCGATGATCTGTATAAGACTATGCACGAGAAGCGCGCGCAGAGTCCAATGGATATCTATGGCTATATGTCGATGTACGTTATCGTATGGTTTCACTGTGGATCTCTTCTCATGGGAATACTAACTCGTCCGATTTTCCATTAGGTTCTTCTATTACTACTGGGTCAGTGGTCAAACCCTGCTTTCCACGGATCTGGATAATGAGCGATATGATGAGGTCAAGCCCGTTAGTTGGGAAGGCTTCATGGCCCAGTACCCTCTGGAGACGTTGTCTAGTGCTTTCTTTGCTCTGAGTGGCTAGGAGAGCGAAATACGACTGTGCATGAAATTCAATTGAAACCCTATGGTCTACATGTTCGGCATTCAGATACAAAGCGCAAATCAGCAAGTAAAGTGAACATAAATTCATAGCGGCTTCTGGTTGTTACGGGAAGGGTTTACTATTATCCAACACGAAATGTTGATGAGTAGCATCAAATGGAAATCACATATATGTACAAATTATGAATTAACTCGCCATACATCCCACCACACAAGCTATATATACAATCTATAAACTCTCCCTATCTCTAATCGGCCTCGACGACGCATCAGACCGCCGCCGATCATCCTGATACTCAACCTTAACATCCACCACCTGGGTGATCTCATGAGTATGCTTATGATCGCGGAGAGTAAACATCTCGAATCCGCGCGTCGAGACAGAATTCGAATAACTGCCTCCGCTGCCGTGGAGTTGTCGCCAGGCACTATCCTGCGGATCTTGTAGGTCGCCGTTCGTCGCGTAGCCTTGGCCCTTGCGGCGCGTTTTGCTGCGACTGGTCGGTCCGGTGCTGTGGTGCGTTGAGCCAAAGAGGCGGGGAAGGAGGTATTGCAGTGGTTGTTTGTAGACGGGAAGGCAGGCGCAGATTATGCCGGCGTTGGCTTCGATGACGCTCCAGATTGTGGCGGGGATTGGGCCGCCTGGTTTGGTTAGATTTTGAAGTTATGGGATGAGGATAGGATGGGTGTGGTGGTCTTACTTGTTGGGTCCTTGTCCTCCGCGGATTTGGCGAGCGTGGTGGTTCGAACAATACTCGTTACGCAGACACTAGCAGCTTATGAGTCGGTTGATGATTGGAAAGGCCATCAGGAAAAACTCACAACAAACCAAGGCCGAAGATTAGCGCCAGCGCAAGTTTCTTCGCCCGCGCCAGTTTCAGCTGCGAGACAGGGTATAGTGGTAGGGCGAGAATCGCGACGTCGCTGAGAATATTGATGACGGCATATGACAACCATTGCGACTTGCTATCCACGCAGTGTGGATGCTTGATGGTTTTATCCCAGAACGATGCGATTGGCTTGCACTGGAAGATGGTGACGAGGATATATGCCAGACTCCATGCCAATATAAACGCGATTCCTCCGTAACATAGGCGACGGAAAACAGGCTGGATGAAAATGCGCAAGTAGAGGCAGAAAAAGGAAACCTTGGTCAGACCGATGACGACTTTGTACATGACCTGGGCGGCGAAGAACCACTACATAGATCAGTAAGACTTTCCGGGAAACGTTTCGAGAATCTCACCTTCAGCGCGATAACCCGGTCATGCTGAGTGAGATACGAAGAATGCTTTCCATATCCATAGTGGACCGCTGATTGAGTCGCGAAAACGTCAGTTTAAAGATATTGAACGGTCAAGAAAATAGAAAACTTACCAGAGCATTCAGTCACAGTCAGAATCACCGAACTAAGCTACTCCGTACAAGCATCAGTTAGAATCGGAAACTTGTGAAACTGACGATCCCTTACCATTGACGCAAAGATAGTCCAATCATCCGCCCCTAGTCGACGGTTATGGAACCGAATAGCCAACCTGGTCACGACAAAAAGCCCCGCCAGTATAATCATAATCACACTCCAAATCCATAATGTGAAGCCTCGGTTTGGCACCGTTGGCGTGCTCAGTCCAATCTCCCAGGACATGCTGCTGAGAAGGCGAAGTAGCCGACCAGGGTAAAAAGAAAGAACATTGGCCAGGCATTGTTGATATATATTACCCTAGGTCTCACACAAGGCCTAGCACATAGGGAAAAATGTTCAGCAGACGCGTAGGGTACTAATTATTCTTGGCTAAAGTAGTTGGTGGCAATGGCACAATGCCGTAGACATTTAGGTTTATGAAGGATTGGAGTCGGTAATTCTCCACGAGGGTTGATTTGTTCCATCAGACCCGGACCCTCCTTGTTGGAGAGGCTTAAGTGGATACTGACTCAAATTTATAAGCCCATTGCGGTAAAGGCCGCCAGAGAAGGCTCTCGTAGTGACTGGGGGCAGGAATTCAAATAAAAAACACGGGCTGCTAACTGTCAACTGCCCTTTTTTAGCGGCCATAGTCGAATGATAGGTGGTCCGGTGGATCAACCACGCGAAGATGCCAGATGGGTAAAATGTCCGGCCGCCGCTCATGCCACTTGTTTGTGGGCAACTCGATCCCGAGTCATGCTGAAGGAAATTTTGGAGGGGTGTAAGACCATCTGTTCAGCGTTCGAACAAGGTATCATGGAAATAAGCATGAGTCAATTAGAGCTGCATTTCTGCAACTGACAGCCACGACAGGGGGTCAGTATGGGTTCCCGCTTGGCTAAGCCCCTTACGGTAAACCGGAGGTAAGGGGCGCAGCCCTCTCCGTACCAGAAGGCCACTAACCTCAGTGCTAGACATGCTAGACTCAGAGGTCAAAATAGCCCGGGTTCTCCCTACCGAAGAACGTCCGACAAAGCTGGGACTGCTCTGGGATGGTCCTGGCTGGGCAATCCATTTACCAATCGTTGACGGTTGAGACAAATGGGTCCTAATCAAACCATTTCTCCAAGTTTCTGACTCGTGGCTTTGCCCACTGCGAATTGCCCAAGATCCGATTCCTCTTTTATATCTGAGCTCTCCATCCATCTTTCCTTGCTGTTATTTTTGTTTCTGGATTGCCGCAAGAAACGCTTCTCTGCCCAGTCATGGCGGGTTTTTGGAAATCCTTCGCGTCGGCCTCCCTGTTGGCTACCTGTCTCCCGACATGGGTCCAGGGCGCTGCTGTCCAATCCGTCGGTGCGCGTGTCTCAACCAGCAGTGGATTGATCGAGGGCCATGCCGCCCCTGGGGAATCCAGCGTTTCCGAGTATCTGGGTATTCCGTATGCGCAGGCCCCCACGAATGATCTGCGTTTCGCTTCCCCAGTGGCGTATGAGTCCAATGCCACCGTTCAAGCAAAAGCCTATGTATGTATTCCGTACTGTGTACCGGTGTCCATTCGTCGGAATAAGAATCCGTAACGGCAGCAACTGACTTTTTCTTTTCACCCTTCCCTGACAGAGCCCGTAAGAGCACATTTATCTTGGCCCAATTAAACTTGAATAGCATCATGACCAATACTTTCGCAGGGATTGCCCCGCTACTATCGGCACGACGCCCCTTGATTTCCCTGGTTTCACTTCGCAGGCTGTGACAATTATCAAGTCTTTCGCTCAGCAGCTGGGGACCTCTCAGAGCGAGGACTGTCTGTATTTGAACGTGTGGACGCAGCCCAAGACCTCGACCCCGAAGCCCGTTTTGGTTTACATTCACGGTGGTCGTACGTAGCTCGCTTATTCTTTCTTGTGCTGAGAGTTGACATTCTCTAGGATTTGCTGTCGGCGGTGCCAACAGTCCGTTCTACGATGGACAACACCTGGCCGCGAATGAAGATGTGGTTGTCGTGACCTTCAAGTCAGTGGCCTTCCCGACTCCCCTACCTTTGAGAGATCCTCCATCCACCTAACGGACATAGCTACCGCTTGAATATCTTTGGATTCTCAGGCGCTCCAGGACTGACTCAGAACGTGGCGCTCCTCGATCAGCGGATGGCCGTAGAATGGGTTCATAAAAACATCGCTGCGTTTGGTGGAGATCCGGAGCACATCACCATTTTTGGACAGTCAGCTGGCGGTGCGTCTGTTGACTACTATTCGTACATCTGGACCGAGAAGCCGCTTGTCAGCGGTCTCATCTCCCACTCGGGAACTGCGCTTAGCTTGAAGCCAAACACAGCCGAGGAGTCGGCCAGCTACTTTTATCACGTCTCCAAGACCCTGGACTGCGGTGATAGCAGCGACGATGTCAAGGAAGTCGTAAAATGTCTCCGTCAACAATCATACGGAGATATCCTGAAGGCCGTTGCCAAGGTCCCTGCTGCTTCATCGCCAGCGCTTCCGCAGCCGGTCTTCCATCCGACCGTCGATAACGTCACCGTGTTCGGTGACTACGCGGAGAGGTCTGCGGCCGGAAAGTTTGCCAAGCTGGTGAGTTCTCAGTTCTTGCCGTCCAGGATGGAGGATACCAGCTAATTCGTGTAGCCTTATCTGGTCAACAACAACGACAACGAAGCCGGTTACTACCGCGTCAACGCCTTCGCTGCCAGTCTGACTCTTACCAACGAGGACTGGAACCAGTTCAACTTGGCCGCCTTCACCTGTCCCAGCGATCAGGCCGCCAAAGACCGTGCTGCCAATGGAGTCCCCGTTTGGCACTCGCGCTATTTCGGTGACTGGGACAACATGCGCCTGTATCCCACCAGCGGTGCTTACCACGGGGTCGATTTACCCATGGTGTTTGGCAATTCTAAAGACATCAGTGCGGTTTCTACCTCCACGGGGGAGCGACAGTTCTCCAAGCATATGGCCTCGGCGTGGGTAGCGTTTGCCCGTGATCCTCAGAAGGGATTGACCACGTTCGGATGGCCCCAGTATGATGCCAAGAGTAAGTATTCCTTCTTCACCTCCTGGTAGCCGTTGGTTCTAACCCCTTTGCAGAGAACACTCTCATTGGTCTTGCACACAAGAACAGCATGAAGGTTGAGTTCCTCAACCCCTCCGACTTCCAAGAGGGCTGCGCCGCCCTAGACGGGGACACTACACCTGGAAAGGGTGCTTTTTAGTGTTTAGAACGGGACGAATATACCATATTTTGACCCATGGACTGCCTGCTGGAAAGGATAAATTTCTCGCATTGTCAGATACTCAGCTCGTAACCGAGCACCATGTAGCTGGTTGACAACTATACATAATTGATAGCCGGGATTAGTCGCAGTATTGGTTATGATGTCGGGCGCACGCAGCTGCAGTCCTCGTAACGGTATGTAGGCTCGTATTTCAGATCCCACGAGCAACCATGGTCTTTCAATCCCGGGCAAATTCTGTGAACCTTAAACCAGCCCCGTTGATCAGAGCCAATAACCCTGATTTCCAATGTTATATCAAGCATACGGGGTATATATCGGTTCTAGGAGGCCCGAAATGACCATCACGTCAGCTTGGACCGTAGAGAAGATCTGGGTCTGGGGAAGTAAGACAGGACCTAGTTAAGTCAAGCGTGCCACATATTGCCTACCAGTGACCAATGCATGACTGCATATATCAAATCTGACCTAAAGGAGATCCATCCCAAGACCGATCCATTAGAGTTCTTACCGTCAATAGATCGCGGATGGATGCAGACACTAGATTCGGGGTGGGGATGAGGAAAAAGGAGGCTTACAACCACGGATGGACGTCATCGTCAAAGGAAAGAGAGTTGCGTCGATAGGAAGAAGAGGGAGAGAAAGGAGGGAACCTAACTTGGTGAAGAAGAGTGTACTTCGTGCTCTGTAATTCCGCTAGTCCTGATCTGGCAAGGTGTCACCTGCGTCCGTGATCTAGCCACATCAGGACTAGCTGTGGTTCAAAAGGGAAAATGGCCACAAAAAACCATCGTTCAGGATTCATCAATAGTCCCATTCTTCCTTTGGATGGTGTTCATATCAAAATTAGCCATCTCGTTGCGATCTGTGCTTCGGACACTATGGACGCCGGATTACATGGATCCCCAATGATCAGCGGAAATACACAGGAAGGCTCTTGGCCCCGTCGATAACCAACCGATATCTATCTATAGTAGTCTGTCAATCTCGTCCATCACTCGGTGCGTTACGGACATGGTCCTACTGTACATGAAACCGGGGGTTCCATCACCCAAGGTGCAAAGGAAGGAAGATCCCAGAGGACAGAAGATGACGATGATTCTAAATCACTAGTGTCCGCTGTCATTGGCTTGGTTTGAGCCACAGTCAGGGGCGGCTGGAAAGTGGCTTACCTGAAGTCGGGGATGGAGGCGACACTGCCACAGCCAGCGCCGCGGTGGACTGACCGTGACGGGCTCGATGTGGACTGGTTGACCTGGCAATGACAGGATCTTGGGGCAATTTTGTTTAATGTTTGGGCTGTGTGGATCGGAAATCGCGTGAGATTGAGAGGGTAGGGATTTTAGTGTCTGTGGCTCGACGACTGGGGGCTTGAAGTTGAGCGAAAGGCTCGCTAGACAGGGCCAACTACTCCGATGTATGTACACTGTACATGTACGGAGACTACACTACCAAGTTAGTCTCAGACGATGCGGCTTGATGTAATCAGTAAGGCTATCGACGCAACGAAGTGGTGCATGCACAGGGATGAGGAGACCACCGTTCCGTCGGGTTTCGGAGCAAATGCTTTCCAGGATAGGAGGCCTATAAATAGACGGATCTTCCCGAGATGACGATGAGATATTAAAGCTTGAGACTGAGTCCGCGGACCTTCTACGGAGTAGTTTCTACATATGTGCTCCGAACTGCAACTGTACCGAATGGAAGGCGGAACGCACTGGGAGTCTGAAGGGCAGGAGAATGGAAATAAAGTAAATTAAACTGAAATTAACGCGGTGCAGACAGGCGGAGAGATGGCATTCGTAATTGCGTCGGGAACGACGGATGGAACCAAGCAGGGCGAGGGTTCTGGCCCCCCGTCAATCCTCCCAACAGGCTTGAAAGTACGCGGAAAACTGGGTCGGGCTCCACCGTCGAAGATGACTTGTTCGGTTCAGGAGAAACTAAGGATTTTGCGCTTTTGCATCTAGTCAGGCACGGTGGGTTTTGTTTTCCCATTTCTCAGCAGCAGAGCGAATGCCTTCTTGGCGACTACAAATATTGACAATATTGCCGTTTGAGTGTTGAGGGTTTCTAATTAGAGACAGAGGGGTTTTAAATTAAACGCGGGATATGCCGATAGAGTAGAATAGATAGAATTGCATTGCTCCGTATACTCCGTGAGTCCGGAGGTCAGATTTAATAACTAGTCGGTGCCCGTTAGCTGTCAGGAAAGAAGTTAATAACACGGGAATTGAGGCGATGAGCAGGCATCGGTGATACTTCTCGAACGAATAAGCCAGATCCTCCTAATCTTCCCCAGCCCCAGCCCGTCCATTCCACAGTCTTACAGTTACATATGGGAGATTCTTGCGCCACCACCAGTCGCTCATTTCTCCGTTGATTAATATTTTCCTTCTTCTTCCTCCTCCTTCTTCTCCTACTTAGCTTACGCAGTACGCATCCTCTACTGAGTGCTCGCTGCCCCTCGTCTCTCGCTCCTCACTCCCCTCACCAGTCTTCTCGTCACCAGTCCTCTCGTTTTCCATCCGCCTGACCTATTTTCTGCCAGCCTCTGCCAATCTTCATCCCTGCGTCTGACTCCGTCCTCGCGTGATTCCTACATGTGCTCCTTCTCAGCCTTACCGACTTGAGCGTTCGATCGGAGGGAGAGCCTCTGCCCCCCCGCCGACCCAACAACGCGACGTTTCACTCGCGCCTTGGCAAAGTCTCTGGGGGAAAATCCCCAAAAGCCGATCTTCCCTTCTGTTTCCCTTTTCCCTCTCGCCCTCCCATTCACTCGCTCTCTCGCCCACTTCCGGTGCGGGTCATTTCTCCTTCCCATCCTTTGTTTGATTTTATTCTATTATTATTATTTTTTTCGCTCGTTTTTATTTTTTTACCCTTTTCCCTGGGTCCAGAAACCAGTCAAGTGGAGGCATTTGTACGTGTCTCTGTACTCAGTAAGGGTTGTGTCCGTCATTTTTTCTGGAGCCCATCACCGTCCAGACCACACCTCCTGAAAGTTCAAAGACCCTTTGACCTCCCAAGAAACTACTGTCGTTCCCCGGCCCTTTTAGCAACTCGCCGGCCAGACATTCCCCTCGCCGACCCTCCATTAACGCCCACCGCCCGCCTGGTGGTGAAACCGTCATATTGTATCCCGAGCCTGAACCTCCGGCGGACTCGAGCTCCGTAACGGAGCATTTCGGCAAGATTTATTCCCACAACTCGCGGGCTTCCCTCCTGGGAGGAAGTTCTTTCGATCCCTCATTCCGCCGTGGTCCCGGGGGTTTTCGTGCGCGAGAAGGTTATACGAATGTGCAGCCGCACCCGCGAAAACGCAGAATGTACATGCCAAATTCGCTCTGGACGTGGTCCTTCGTCATCGTCACCCTCATCCAAACCATCGTCACTCTGGCCTTAGAATGGTATGTCCGCTCTTGCCATCCCATCCCCTCCCCTCCCCCTTCTTCCCGTCACTAACGCGACCGGCCACTTTTCCAGCTACGTCTTCGCAAATTTCCAGCTTCAACTCCGTCCGAAAGCCGACCAGGTGACCGCGTCCAAAACCATTCCATGTTTCCTCGCCCTGTACAGTTTTGGTTTCATTTACGAGCTGGTGTTGGTGTATGATGCCCTGCGGATGAAAAACACCATTCAGGTCATCGGCCTGTGTATGTGCAATGTTGGACTGTTGATCTATGGAGCTGTGCAAGTGCAGCAGATCAAAGAAGCCGTGGGAGTCTTGACCGACAACAACGCCATCAACGAAGATATTTGGGGGGAATCGGAACCGTTCCTGATCATCATCCCCTGCGTGGTGGCGATGGGCACCCTCCTGATGACGATTATCGCCTGGAGACTCTACGATGAATTCGCGTGGTCCATCTACAAGCACATCAGTGCTGATTTGCAAATGAAGCGTCGATATCTCACTTATCAGGTTCGTCGCTTCGCCCGACAACGTCGCGAGCCGACGTGCAGAAAGCTAATGACCCGTGGATAGATCTACATCGCCCTCCTCAAATTCGATTTCTTCTTCTTCCTTGGATTCACCGTGCAGTTCGTCGTGATCGTTACCGAACGAGCGGATATCGAGTTTGGACTCACGCTGGCCGCTGTCCCCGTGACCATCTTGATCTTGGTGTGCGCTGCCGTCTTCGTGCGCCGCGAAAGCACTTTCGGCATGATTGTCATCATCGTATGTTTTCCGCCTTTCTGACTCCCAGCAGACATGATGCTAACCTTAATCGCAGCTTTTATATTTCGCCGCCATGGCGTACTTCCTGTTCAAACTCGTTCGCATGTACGCCCCGGGAACGTATTTGATGTATCTGCCGGCTCGACGGTCACTCACCTTCTTCGCCGTGATTACGCTTGTTCTGATCGTCATGACCATCGTCAACGCCAGCATGTGCATGCACAACTTCCACAAGGGTCTCAAGCCGCATATCAACAAGAAGAAGGAACGCAAGGAAGCGGAGAAGTCGACGACCGAATTGTCCTCCAACATCACCGGCCAGGTCCCCAACCGAATGATGATTGATTGAGCATGCGTGAACCCGTGCTCTTGACGATCAAAGAACAGCAAAAAAAAAAAAAAATCAATGGTCGGTACATATCAATCAGATGCCGAAGGGACCGTTCGGCAATATCCATTCTATACGTCCGCTATTGGGCCTTACCTATAGAGGAACCATTCAGGTACGAAATTTTTCAGGTGTTTTCCGGGAACTGCGATATGATACCTTTTGCGTTGGCGATTTATTCACGAATTTGGATTGTCTTTTTCTCTCTCCTTCATCTTGCCCCTCCCTTTCTGCCGCTGATAGCGTTTGATTGATCATCTTTTTTCGCCGAGTCTCGACCTCCGGTCCTTTATGTCTTATTTTTTAACGACTGTGCATCTCCTTTGTCATGTACTGTAGCTATCTCTTAATTACATAAAAACAATCCCAGTGTTTATACGGACTTAGATTGAATGTTGAATTCCATGAGATCTGTCGATGTGCCGGTAGTGAAATGCCTACGGAGTACGGAGTTAGTCCCAAGGCCTTCTTGGCAAAATTACCGCAGGATGGGGAAGCGTAACGGAGACGGTAATAAGCCCCGGGAACCGGTGGTGGTGACAATACGGTAACAATACTCGAAAGCGTGAGCGTGGCCTCTTTCTGGCAACTCGCCGACCTCAACTTCTCCGGCTCGCTCACGACTTGCATTTTCCTTCCACCTCCGCTCGACCTTCATCTTTCTCCTTGTCCGTCTGGTCAATTCCCTTCTTCTCTTTAAGTCCTCCTCGATCCTTTATAACGCTCTTTAATCTTTGTGTTTCGCTGATTTCTATTTCCAAATTTCTTCAAAATGGTGAGACTCCTGCTCCAAATGATCGTCCTTTTCGAAAAGGGTCACATCCACACGAGATAGCTTGACCCCGTCAACTTGGCCAATTCACCCAGATCAATTATACTGACTGCCCTGTCGTCAGGCCTCTCCTCGTGCTACTTCCCCCTTGACCTCCGGTGCTGAATCCGGCCCTGACTCCAAGTCTGCCGGCGCTGGTGCCGCCGCCGGATCTGCGTCCGCCATCAACCGTCCTTCGTCGCCTACTCCCCCCGGTGGTCCTCGCGCTGCTCTGCGTCGTCGCGCCGCTGCCGACCACAAGGAGTCTCTGCGCAATGTCCGACCTAGCTCGACTCGCTCTGCCGGTGCCGGCGGTTCCTCCGGCACTATGCTCAAGCTTTACACTGACGAGAGCCCCGGTCTGCGCGTCGACCCCGTCGTTGTCTTGGTTCTGAGTCTGGGATTCATTTTCTCGGTCGTTGGTCTGCACGGTATGTACCTGTCTGTAAATGTGTGCATGGGATTTTCCGGGAAACTAATCGATCCTCTCTCCATCACAGTCATCGCCAAGATCACCCGCAAGTTCTCCGCATAAGCGAACCTCTACCTCTCAATACGATCGCATCGTTTAGTCCTTGCTCTTCGACTTTGCCGTCGTTATCTAGTCCGGTTCTAACGATGGGCACCTATGCGACAAATCCTGCGGTGCTTGTTGCCATGATGACACGTCGAATGAACCGAATCGGTTGTCTTGCGTGGAATCTCCGGTCCTAGCGAGGCGTCCCGATCGACCCGTTTCCCCCTTCATACGTCCCCTTCAAAATCATATACCCCTTGGCGTCCCTTCTTCCTGCTTCTTTCCTGTGCGTATGTAGTTGGAGACATCGCACGGGGACGTCTCTAACCTCTTGTTTCAATGCTTGTAAAGTGTAACGTTGAAAGACCTGTCTGCAGCATAGGTCGGACAATGGATTGGTTGCTAGCTCGTTTTTCTATCTTGTTGTTTACGTTATTGATCGATGCATCTGGAGCGTCGGTGATCGTTAATGGAGAACGCGGAATAATATAAGAAATTGGGAAAGACATCATTCGTCCTTGTACAGTATCGGTTTTGGTTGCTCAAGTTGAATCCATTCATGATGACAAAGCGGGCAGCGCTTGAGTAACTACGGTGTCCTGTCTGTCTACCGGTCCACACTCGACACTCCAGACTCAAGACACGAAGCAATGTAGACAGCACTTGGCATCGGCCAGCTCCGCAGCACCAATGCGGAGTATTCAAGCTCGAATCTGACTCGTCTTAGCTTCCTCCCAGAGAACGGGGAATCCTCCATCCTGTTGGCTCCGCCAGGTTCATTTCTCCCTGGGGGAGCAGTGGGGGAGGAATGCACGAATCCATTAGTCGGAGACTTCAGGTAAAGCAAAGCGTTATCATTATCTCCATCATCCCTGCACACCAACAATTCTGTCCGGGTTCTGACCTTTTCTGACGGTGGATATCAGGACGCATCCTTATCACCCACCCGCCGCCAATCGTCGCGCAGTCCCGGAATCGAGTCTGGCCTCCACTGATAAGGGGGAAAGCACCAATGATGGAGCGGCTGTCCATGATAGTCATTCCGGGGGAGTCTTTCATTTTTATTTGATTTGCAATGGGCAATGGATTGCAGACTGTGCCGTCTAACTGACTAGCTGTCACACACGTGCGATTACGAAAATGAATCCCTTATCGTCGGCCATCTGTCTCGCCGGCTTTTCATTCGTATTCGACTATCTACGGTGTAGTCTCTACTCTGAATCATCGGTTCCAACCGTGTTGACCGGGATGAGGGCTGCGAGGTCGGAGGAGCTCAGACGCTTGGTATGGCCTTCTATGGCTGTATATGAAGCCGTGGCGCCCTGTCATGTCGTTTCGCGGGTCGTTCATCGACTGTTTCTCGACATCGATTGCTATAGTGCACTGTCTTACGCCCTTTACGCTGGATCTTGGCTCCATAACACTGCACCCACGCTTTTGTCTGGCTTGCGATCCACTGCAACGTTAGCGTCTACCTAGTGCATCTCAATTGGTATTGCTTGATTGCTTTTTGTCTCAGCATGGCCTCGGAAGAGGTCAAGTTTGTTGCCCCCCTTTCTCAAGGGTTCGGCTATGGAATCATCATAGGGCTAGGGTTTGCCTTTGCCCTGGTGATGATCTTCATTACATGGGCTTTGAAGAGGTATGTTCCATAGCGAGGCACTTGCATTGCCAACGGAGCTGCATGGGACCCAGTCTGATACATGCACTATCTAGGTATCAACATGAAGTTCAAACGTCCGAGATGTTCTCGACCGCTGGAAGGTCCGTTAAGTCAGGTCTGGTTGCGGCAGCAGTCGTCAGCAGCTGGACATGGGCTGCGACGCTTCTTCAGTCGTCTGCTGTCGCCTATCAATATGGCATTTCGGGTCCTTTTTTCTACGCTTCAGGTTAGGTTCTCAGGGTACTTGGACTGGTTCCATAACTGACAAGTCAATTTCCATAGGCGCCTGTGTCCAGATCATCCTATTTGCAACCCTCGCGATCGAACTGAAAAGACGGGCCCCCAATGCGCATACTTTCCTGGAAGCCATTCGCGCTCGCTACGGCACGGCCGTGCATGTCGTCTTCATCGTCTTCTGCCTGATGACCAACATCCTAGTCACCGCCATGTTGCTCACCGGTGGCTCGGCCGTCATGACTTCTCTGACTGGGGTTCACACAGCTGCCGCCTGTTTTCTGCTCCCCATCGGTGTGGTGCTCTACACTCTGTTCGGAGGTATTAAGGCAACATTCATTACGGATTACATGCACACGGTGGTTATCATTGTTGTCATCTTCATCTTTGCGTTTTCTGCCTACGCCACGAATGAGAGGCTCGGGTCCCCAGGGAAGGTGTATGATGCGCTGGTTGCGGCGTCGGAGCTTCATCCCGTCGAGGGGAATGCTCAGGGCAGTTATTTGACTATGAATTCGAAAGAGGGGGGAATCTTCTGGGTGATTAACCTTGTTGGTATGTGTCCCTGTTTAGGTATCCTTTCTCTAACTTGGGATTGTGCTAACGAGTTCATTGTAGGTAACTTCGGGTATGTAGGATTTGATGCTCGAAACTCGATGTCGCTAACATCTGCAACAGCACCGTCTTTCTAGACAATGGATACTACAACAAAGGTAAGCTTTGCTCCCTTACCCATGTGATCTAGCTGGCAATACTGACCTCCCAGCCATCGCCGCACACCCCGTACATGCATTCCCCGGATACGTTATCGGCGGTCTCTGCTGGTTTGCCATCCCGTGGCTCTGCGCCAGCACCATGGGTATCTCTGCCCTCGCCCTAGAAGGATCCCAGCGCATGAGTTCGACCGATGTCACCGCCGGCCTCGTGCTGCCGTTCGCTGCCACTGAGCTACTCGGCTACAGCGGAGCCGTATGCACCACGCTCATGATCTTCATGGCCGTCACGTCTGCCTTCTCTGCCCAGCTCATCGCCGTCTCCTCGATCCTTACCTACGACATCTACCAGGCCTACATCAACCCCGAGGCCAAGGGCAAGCGACTGGTCTGGATCTCTCACATGTCCTGTATCGTGTTCGCTATCGTTATGGCCGGGTTCGCCACCGGCCTCTACTATGCTGGCATCGGCATGGGTTACCTCTACCTGCTCATGGGCGTCATCATCTCCTCTGCCGTCTTCCCCGGCGCCATGACCCTCGTCTGGAAGGGTCAGAACTGGATCGCGGCTGCCTGTTCCCCGATATTGGGTCTCGCCATGTCCCTCATTGCGTGGCTCGTCACCACCAAGAAAGAATACGGCGTCTTCACCGTCGCAAGCACCGGAGCAAAGTACGTCTTCTCTCCCTCCCATTCTCCCTTTTGAACATCCTTCTCTTTCTCCTTCTCCTTCTCAATATCTAACCACAACCAGCTACCCCATGCTCGCCGGCAACGTCGCCGCCCTCCTCAGCCCCATCGTCTTCTCCCCGGTCCTAACCTATCTCTTCGGTCCCCAAAACTACGACTACGAGTCCATGCGCGCCATCCGCAAAGTCGACGACACAGACGTCGCCGCCGCCGCAGATATCGACATCGAACTTATCCCCGGCGAATCCTCCCTCTCCTCGCCACAAACCTCCTCTCCCACCACCACCGCGGAAGAAGACGACGAACAACGCAAACTCAACCGCGCCGCACTCTACTCCCGCACCCTCACCGTCGCCATGGTCATTTGCTTCTTACTCCTCTGGCCGATCCCGATGTACGCGTCTGGATATGTATTCAGCAAACGATTCTTCACGGGATGGGTCGTTGTGGGTATTTTGTGGTTGTTTGTGACGACGTTCGGGGTCGTTGTTTTTCCGCTGTATGAGGGAAGAGAAAGTATTGTGCGGACGGCACGGTCGATGGTGTTGGATGCCATGGGGAAGAGGCCCAGGGGTGTGGTGGAGGTGTTGGAGGCAAAGAGGGGAAAAGGGGGAGAGGGGATGTCGAGTGGGGTGGTGACGCCGACGGAGAAGGTGGGAGCGGACTTGAAGGAGGAGGGGGTTTAGTGTCTGGTGCTCATGTGTATGAATGGATGGATGGATGGATTTATGATGGGATGGGATGGGATGGGACTTATATGCTTGGGTTGTTATGGTTGGTTTGGATGCTGTGTTGGAGCCATCCCGCTGCTGTTTTTTTGCTTCTTATATAGTTGTAGTTTATACCCCCGTTTTGTCTGGACATTAATAATACTCACTACATCCATTTATTCCTACTTCAATGGCAACCTAAGACAATAGAACAAACTCCTCAATTCAATCCAATCAATTCCAATTAGACAACATAAACCCTAACCTTGCAGTAGCAGTAGTAAACCACAGACAGTTCAAGGTAAGATAAAAAAAAAAAAGTAGGTATCTCCAATCAATCATCAATCAATCAATCACAATAACACAAAAAATACACAGGCAAGGCAATAAAACTGCTCAAAGAAAACACACATAGAGACAAGAGCCCCATACTAAGGCAACAGCAACAAACAACCACCCCTCCCTTCATTACCACACACACACACACATCCCTCTTTAGGTACTCTTACTTATACCCATACCCCTGAGGTGGCTGAGTGCCTTGCGGCGGATAATAAGCCTGCGGGGGCGGCGCTGGGCCTGTGATTGCGCCAGGCGGGGGACGCGTATCGGGTGTGATATCGGGACGGTCACTGAAGGGGTGTTAGTGTTGATAGTAGGGTAGGTATGTATGTATGTAGGTATGTGCTTTGGATGAGGAAGATGGGGTTGCTTGAGTAGTGGTTAGAGGATAACATACCGGAGGTCTTGGGTGAAGCGGCATGTGTGGCATGTTACTTCCTGTTGAGGTTCTTAGTGTTAAGATAAGGGACAAGAGAGATGGGGTGATGGGTTATTTGGAAGGGGGAAGTAATAAGTGTACATGTGCATACCTTGTATTTGTGAAATGCTAGTGGGATTGCAGGCTATAGGGTCATAGTCGAATTGATTAGTACTGGGTGTCTGGCAGGTTCATGTTCATTCTGGGCAGGAAGATGGGAGATGGATGGGCTTGAGACAGGAGCCATAAGGCCTGGACTTGACATACAATAAAGCAAATAGTGAACCACGGCCTAGATAACAACTTCGTCAGGTCTAAAGAACAAGAGCACAGATTAAGTAGAACATACCATCTTGTAACGCAATGTCCGTTCCAATGTTGACCTGATTCATACAAAAAGCCTTAGTCAGATCAGGTCCAGACGACCAGGCAGGCAAAGCAGAGCAGCCAATCCACTCACAGTTATAGCAGTAAGCACGGACATTCTCGTATCCCTCCAACATAGAAGTGAATTCTAATTTTCATTAGCCCGATTACACACAAACAATACTTGACTTCCAGCGACATCCCCGCGCGACCTAGGAAGTCGACATGTCCTACAGAAGGCGCCCCGGAAGGAAGCAGAGGCGGAGATGATCCCCCGTCCAGGGTCCAGTGACGTACCATGTGTTCCGAACGTGATGCAAATGGCCATGGTGGATGGATTTCAGGACACCAAACGTGACAGTGTCTGTTAGATATGATGATAATCTAGATAGAGTCTGCGATTCAACTAGGATTCTGGGTCTCGCTCTGATGGTTGGGTTGTTGAGGGTTCATGAAGGGGCAGGCAGCGGCAATTCGTTTCATAGGGGCTGACCTGTGGCGTTGTGGCTTGGCACTTGGCGGTTGCGATGCTCATGCTTTTGGTGTACAGGGTTGATAACTTGATATTGTGCTTTCTGTAGTTAAAAATTAATATGACATGAATGGTTTCTATATCCTGCTATTTTGGTAATATAGCAAAGTGAGAAGACTGTCAGAATGATAGGTTACTGGTTGAGTAGAAAGGATATACTCATGAATACACATACTTCCACCGACAGAATGCTCTTGCTACAGACAACACGTACAAACATCAAGATCAAAATATTCATTTAATCCCTATTCACCCAACTCAAGACAATTATATACCCGAAAATGAAATGAAATGACATTGAAGCGAAAGGATAAACCCAGAGATATTAACAAAGAATTTCGCTGAAGAAAGTAGAAACGAGTCTAGTTGACCGCCACAACCCCTCTGACAGAAGCCTTGACAACCGATCCTAAGCCCGAATGAAGAAGCCCCGTGGACTTTTCTTTGATTTTGGCCCTTGCTGTTTCGCCTCCTTCACCCTGCTGGTCCCATTCCGCGATATTCTTCCACCACCTTTTGTTTTTGCCCCAAGACACGACGGCGGTCGGCAATGCGTAGAGAATCGGCTAGCATGCGGGCGCGAACCCTAGCGGGAGAGGTTCGGAGAAAGCGTTTATTGGGTTTTGAACAGGAGGATAGCGCAGTGGCCCAGGTAGAAGTAGATGAAGTGTTTCGTCTCTGCCGTGCAATTAGCGGACGCTCGAGATTGTCTCCACGAACAGGTTCGTACCGTGCGTCACGAAACTACCAAAATTCCTTCCAACCACACAGTGCCATGTTGCGCCCTTGCGCGAGTCGAACTATGGTATAGTTAGGTACTAGCGACGAGTGGGTTACAGGTCAGGAGGCGGGGTAGCGGACTTCTCGCTTGATGTACTGGGCAATGTCCTAGAAGCAATTAGCATATGCATTGATCGTGGAGTATAGCACAGTCCATGACAAACCTTCTCAATGTGGTACTTGTCCATGGCCTCAATCGCTAAGAAATTAGCTCACGTCACGCGGTTCGAGTCCAAGTCGTTCGTACCAACTTCGACAGCCTCCTGCTGCATATCCTCGGTCTGTCCTAGTGTCAACACCAAACCCCCACCGGTATCATTGCCCTGAGAGCCTCACCATATCGACCGACTTGATTTGCGCTGGATGGTCACGTTAGCTCTGGAGCGGACTGTGCTGCCCAAGTGCATCACTTACGCTCAAGCTTGTCTTTCTTTTCGGTGGCCATTTTGACGACGGGGATAAATTCGACGAGGAATTCGATAGACGAGTGAGACTATTGGAGGAAAGGAAAGGTATCAAGAGACGAAGAGGGGTGGTAAGTTCTGAAGCTCTTCGAAAAGTATGGCAACGGTCCAGGGATGTTTTGCGCGCGACAGTCGACCAGGGAATCTCCGCGAGCGACCCGCACGGGCCAAGTTTCCCCCCGTCTCGCCTCACCGCCTTCGGCACTATAAGATCGGCATCACGTAAAAAAAAAAATTTCTCAACTCTTTTTTCTTCCTTCTTCAACACTCCTCTTCCGTGGCATTGGGAAATCAGTAGCCACCGGACACAACACTCTACAATCATGGAGGAGAGTACAAGAGTCTTTGTCTCTGGTCTCCCGCCAACTTTTTCCAATGACCAACTCAGGAAGCATTTTGCTACTCGCTTCCAGGTCACGGATGCTCATGTTTTGCCCAAGCGCCGAATTGGCTTCGTGGGCTTCAAGAGCCACGATGTAGCCAAGGAGGCTGCGCGGTACTTCAATAAGACATATATGAAGATGTCGAAGATCTTAGTAGAAATTGCTAAACCGGTATGTGCACGCTGTTGGACTTGGACTTGGTATTTTCTATTCCTTCCTTCTTTTTTTCTTTCTTTCTTTCTTTTCTTTCTTTCGCTGTTGTGCACGCTGACCGGTAAAGGTGGTCTTGAGACTGACCCGTATTATCTAGATTGATGCTGAGCCTACCCGTAAAGCTCATAAACCCGATGACTCCTCGGAGAGTACACTCAAGCGTAAGCGGGATGGGGAGAAACCTCCACAAGATCCTAAAATGCAAGAGTACATGTCCCTGGTGGAACACCCCTCCCACACGAAGACGTGGGCCAACGACGATGCGTTCATCCCGTCTGTGGAGGACTCTCAGAAGCAAGACCAAGTTGCCGAGGAAGATGATACACCCCAAGACCTCACCTACGCCCAAAGAAAGCGAGCCAGGATCGCAGACGGCCAGGGAGATGAGAGCGAAGCCCCAGCCGCTGCTCATGAACCTGAGCCCATGGCCGTTGACGGGGCTGAGGAAAAAGAGAATGCGGAGCAACAGGACCCTCAACCCGAGGAGCAACCTGCCGTATCGGACTCCGATTGGCTGCGGTCAAAGACGAGTCGCCTCCTGGGCCTTCTGGACGAAGAGGAGCAAGCAGAGTTCAACGCTCCGCCAAGTGCTCCTGCTCCTGAAGAGCCGAAATCTGTTGCGAAGGTTTCTACAGAGTCTGATGACGGTGAGTCGCCAGATGGTGCGGATGCTGGTAAAACAGCGGAAGCACCCCCGCCGGTGGATACGAATATCGAGAACATCCGCCTGTCTGCGCGTCTCTTCGTAAGAAACTTGGCGTACGATATCAGGGAATCGGACCTGGAACCACTATTCACACCTTTTGGAAGGATTGAAGAGGTTAGTTTGACTTTTTATTTTCCCTTGTTTTCATATACCATTGCAAAGTCCCCTCGGGGGTTGCCCATATGATGATCATCCTGATAGGGACATCAGATGCAAAAGCACATGATGCGAACAGGAAAGAGAATTTTAGTAGATGCCTCTTTATATCTGAACGGCAACTTGCACATGATATCATGATTTGTTTTATATTCATTTGTCATGAACGATCACTAACGATCTCAGATTCATATCGCTTTCGATACCAGATCAAACACCAGCAAAGGATTTGCATACGTCCAGTACGTTGACTCAGATTCAGCCGTAGAGGCTTACAAGGGTCTGGACGGAAAGCACTTCCAAGGCCGTTTACTGCATATCTTGCCGGCTTCTGCCAAGAAGACGTACAAAATCGACGAGCATGAGTTGCAGAAACTGCCTATAAAGAAACAAAAGGAAATCCGGCGAAAAATGGACTCTGCTTCCTCCACTTTTAGCTGGAACTCCCTCTACATGAACGTGAGTTGTCGTGTCAACCATCTGAGTATACACCACCGCTAACAATCCATAGACTGATGCTGTCATGTCTTCAGTGGCTGAACGACTGGGGGTCTCCAAATCTGACCTGTTGGATCCCACTTCAGCAGACGCTGCGGTGAAACAAGCACATGCTGAGACGCACGTTATTCAAGAAACGAAAGCTTACTTCACCGCGAACGGTGTCAACCTTGACGCGTTCAAGCAGCGGGAGCGTGGAAACACCTCCATCTTAGTAAAGAACTTTTCATTCGGCGTCAAAGCTGACGACCTTAGGAAATTGTTCGAGCCGTACGGTCAACTCATCAGGCTACTGCTGCCTCCCAGTGGCACGATAGCCATCGTTGAGTTTGGAAGACCGGACGAGGCGCAAAAGGCCTTCAAAGGCCTCGCCTATCGAAAGGTTGGGGATTCGATTCTCTTCCTGGAGAAGGCACCTAAGAACCTGTTCGACCCGTCGATGGTGCCGCAGAAGCCAATCGCCGAGCCCAAGGCTGTCTCGCAGGGCTTCTCGACGGCGGACACTTTCGCGGCCGATGAGGCCGAGGACACCATCACGGCCGCCTCGACCCTATTCGTAAAGAACCTTAATTTCTCCACCACGAATCAAAAGTTCGTGGAAACCTTCCGGCCACTGGAGGGCTTTGTGTCTGCCAGGGTCAAGACCAAACCCGATCCCAAGAAACCCGGCCAAACGCTCAGTATGGGCTTTGGCTTCGTTGATTTCCGGACCAAGGAACAAGGTCAGGCTGCTCTTGCCGCAATGAATGGCTACAGTCTGGATCAGCATGAACTGGTAATTAGGGCGTCTCATAAAGGCATGGATGCCGCCGAGGAGCGACGCCGGGACGACACGGCGAAGAAGATCGCAGCAAGAAGAACGAAAATCATCATCAAGAACTTGCCCTTCCAAGCGACCAAGAAAGATGTCAGATCCCTCTTTGGTGCCTACGGCCAGCTTCGGTCTGTTCGGGTGCCTCAGAAATTTGACCGGTCTACTCGTGGGTTCGGTTTTGCTGACTTCGTAAGCGCTCGCGAAGCGGAAAATGCCATGGACGCGCTGAAGAACACCCACTTGTTAGGTAGAAAACTGGTGTTGGAATTTGCCAACGCGGAGGCCATCGATGCCGAGCAAGAGATCGAGCAGATCGAAAAGAAAGTAGGGGAACAGGTGGACAGGGTCAAACTACAGAAGCTCACGGGGGGAGGCCGCAAGAAATTTACTGTAGGGGCCCCGGACGAGGGAGAAGACTAAGCTCGACGAAGCAAGAAAAAGAGCCGTCCCTTTCGCCCTTCGCGCATAGGGGAACAAGACGGACTGGCAATGGTTTGGTTTTCGCGAAGGCCATCCCTTGCTTGGTCGAGGTTGAAGTCCGGCAGGCCGGCAGCAGGTCGCAAGCCCGACACGTTCCTGCTGCTGTCAGTACGTGCATAACGCGTCCTGCAAAGAGCCTCTTGTCACTCCCTCGCTCGTGCATCCGCCTGGGATGGATTGTTCTGTCTTTTAATGGTCTTATCCCCAATCTGGGGTTATTCATATCCTTGTCAAATTCTAGCGTTCCTTTCTTCTCCCTCTTTCACGTCTCTACAAACATGCTAAGAGCAACCCTAGATATCAACCAGATCAGGGTTAGAAGCTTGGCTTCTTACGACCTACATTCTTCTACACTGTTTTGTAAACAACTTCGCATTCCTCCACCAGAACAATGAGGTGGTGTTGCTGGCGACTGAGCATTCCTGATGAGGGTCTTCGCCACAACTTTTGTTCATCATCTCTCTTCTGTACCTGTTGCAACCAAGTCGATCAGGGTTCGTCTTTGGGGTGCATCCGAGAGAAATCCCCGAGCAGGTGCAGGTCGACGAAAATGTCCCCTCCCCCTTGCATCAATTCTCCGTCGGGTTCCATTCGTGCTCTTCCCTCCCTCCTGATTTGCTGCAACAAGGCGGGCCACTGGGGGAATTTCCCTCCCTCGTCGGTCTCCAGACGCGTGAAAGCACAGACCCAAGGGTGTTTCTCACGCTGTCGCTCTCCTCTCCCCACCTTGGAACCGAGTCGTCGTTGCCCTCGAGGGGGAGGGATACTACCTTCTTCCAAACAAGCAGCGTGATCCAGCAATGTAGTTACTCCTCTCTAGGGGAGGGAGGGAATGAGCTTCCTATAAACACCATGCTCTTCGCTCTCACATTCTCTTTCCCAGGTTCTTACATTCTCTTCCAGCATTTTGCGTTCTTGATCGCTGCTTTGCAAAACCCTCCAGCGGCCCTCTGTCTGGTAGGAAGCATTTTGCGGGCTTCAAGATCTTTCCGTTCTTTCTTTCCCTGTGGAATTTGTCATTCTTTTGTGCTCACGGGAATCCGTCTGTTCCCCGCCCTCCAGGTGGTTCTCGCTCTCATGGCTACTGACTGGCAACCCGGCTGTATGGTCCCCCAGCTTCCCCCAGCTCTGGAGAGTCTATCTGCCCATTCGGACCGGGCCCTTCAGAATACATCTGGGAATGTCCAGTCCTATTCAGATAGCTTAGCCTATGGCGATACCACCGTGAGAGATGACCACCCTTCCCAATATGCCGTCAAATACTCTCACCATCCTCCGGTCCCTGCCCACCCTTTGCCTACTGCCTCTAGTTACCATCATCCTCAGGTGCTAGCCAACCGGTTCCAAACCAAGAAGCTTCGACGGTTGCAATCCTTTGGTCCCAGCTCGGCTGGACCACGTAGAGGAAGGAGTTATCTGAAGTCCCAGAAGTATCTGGAGTATCGGGCACGACCTCGACGCGACACTGGGAAGGATGGAGAGCCAGTATGGTCGGATGAGCTGGAGGACGCTTTTCAACAGGGTAAGTCTGGGACAGAACCTCTCCAAGGGAGGGCTTAAAGAAGCTAATAGCGGTTCAGCTCTTGAGGCAAATCCTCCCATGGGTAGAAGAAAGTGGTCTGAACGCGGCAAGTCGTACGGACGCAACGAGTTGATTGCCGAGTTTATCTTCAAGGCAACGGGCAAGAAGAGAAGCAGGAAGCAGGTTTCGAGTCACCTCCAGGTTCTGGATTCGTTCCTCAAAGGGGATCCTGATTGTATGCCTTCCCTAGCTTAACAATCCCGGTCCATTTCAATACTAATGCTCAATCCTGCAGGGGAGCGACTCGTGCGAGAGCAAGCTTCGGACCGCTCTAGCAGCCAGTCTCACTCCATCGGCCCCAAGTGGAGGAGCCCGGTCGAGCTTCCCTTGTCTAGCCACTATGGTCACCATTTGCACAATCCTTACAACGACCATTTGCGGCTGGTGCAGCCCTACCCCGTGGAGTTGCCTCCGCCACACTTCGTTCTCAACCCCACGATGCGTGATCCTTCGGTCCAGAACATCCACGGTCTCAGCTTTGGGATGTGGGTGAATGCGCCGCACCGACAGGATATGATCGAGAACGCCTATCATGAATACACCCGTCTTCAGGGAGACCAGCGTCTTCCCGTGGCGCCGCCCACGCCCTTGGAGAACCTGGCAGGCTGGCGAACTAGCTTTCCTCATCTGAACTCGCTGATGGCAGACCTTGACCGTCCTCTCAACTGCGAGATCATCTACCTGGAGGCCAGCCTCAATCTGATGGACGACTTCCCTCCTTCCCGGTCCAGCCTCGGAATCCACATGGAGCTGGACTTTGCCCGTCCTGCCACGAACGATGCTCCCATGGTGAATCAGATGGACAACTGGATCTGCAATACGCTGATCTACGACAATGGTCAGGAAATGGAGGCTGCCTTGGGCAAAGAACTGGGCAAACCATCGTCGACCAAGGTGACGCGACTGTTTGAACCCAAGTGGTGGGCCCGGCTTTTCACCCAACTCACGCAGGAAAGAAGGCAGATGGCAGAGGAGAATCCGGGACACCCCGAAGCTGCCGACGAGCGATCCAGACAGTTCCTGCGCACCATGTCGGTGGTGCAGGAGATTCGGGCCACGCCCCCTTCCCGACGACACTCCGCCAACCCGTACGTTGCCCAACCGGAGGAGGAGAGCCAGCCCATGGCCATCTTGCTCTGGAAGTTCCGCCAGACACGACCGGGCGAGGTTGGCACCACCACTTGGCAGAGGCTCATCCCTCCGCCAGACCGCATCACGACCAACAGTCCGCGGCCAGCCGCCGCCGCCCACGACGTCCATCCTCTATCCCTTGATTCCATCCTACTAAACAAACCTACCCCTAATGTCTACCATGCTCTACCACCCCCTCCGCCTGCTCCTCCTGTTGTTCCCCATTCTCATCACCATCATCCTCCTCAACCTCATGATCTGCTCCAGCACAACGGCACGTCGCAGCCCCCTTGGCCCATGTATCCACCACCGCAGGAGAACATGTACTCGACGGGGCACTTTGATTTCCTGCACTCGATTACCAAGCCCGAGGACGGTCTGAGCGACAAAACGGCCGTCACCTCCGTCCTGGACCCCTTCCCACCGCTCCCGCCCCAAGCCACCAGCCAACCCGCAGCGCACCTCAGCGGCCCCAGCAGCGGAGGACCTGTGATGCTCAACGTGCCCGATATCCTCTCGCACCCTAACCTCGGATACACCATGGGCCATGAAAACCACTACCACGACAACAGCAACGTGTTGAACATCTTCGGCAGCGGATCGCATTCCATCGACGAGATGGGCCACAATCAGGCGGAATGGTCGACGCCTTCCACTACCATCCCGGACGGTGACGTCGGATCTAGTCACTATACGACGCATCTACAGTTCCCGTCGTCGGACAGCCACGTGCCTGTCTCGCGCGAGTCGCACCAGCCGAACAGCTTCGAGGGACTCATGGGACATGATGATCTCATTGACAAGCTGGTCGGGAATATCCCTGGCGATCCAGGTATGAATGGAGCCGGGCCGGACCATGCTAGTTCTGCGTATGCGGAAACCAGCGCTGTTGAACCAGTTCAATAGCTGTTTAGCTATGACTGGGGTTTTACATAATGATAATAATGGTTTTTTGTGATTGATTTGAAAAGTTATAATATCCAAGTTGGAGAATATTTTCTATCTTTTTTTCTTGTTTTCCTTTCTTTTCTTTTCTTTTCCTTTTCTTTTTTATTTACCTTTTTCTTCATTCTTTACTTTGGCACAGGCGTTTTGGGGGGGTGATACTCAGGGGTTTCGGCTGTTTTCTTATTTTCTAATAAGGACAAAATATTTACAATTAATGAATCAATTCACGAGGGTTTTGAGTCTACATTTATTCGTAACTGTTAAGAGTTCAACTGGCCATTACTTTCAATCACCTTCATTTGTTTGGCTTCTATTTCGGTGGGTATAGGTCATTCCCATCCCCTTGGATATCCTTTCTTTTGTGACTTTATAGCACAACGAGGTCAATCATATACTATAGCTTGGAATGTCTATATCAATCTTCTAAGTATACCTATACCTATCCATCTCCAATGTATATATACCGCGGTCTCTTTAGGTAGGTAGTCTACTCCATACCCAGCAATAGATCTACGGAGTGACCTGATCGATAAGATAAGCCCGCCAAGACTAGTTACCATTTCTCTTCTCCAACTCCGATTCTCATCTCCCTTACCACCACCCTCAACTACATCCTCGTCAACCCTCAATCCCCTCATCACCCAGCCCCGAGGGAAGCGGGGGAAAACAAAGAAAATATGACAACCTCCCTCGCTCGCAATCTCGCCTCACAATCCGTCCATCTAACCATCCACCCGCCCCCGCGATCCCTCTCCGAAAGCAAACTCGTGCTCTCCGCATTACAGAAATATGGCGAGGTGGTGACGTTTAAGAATCTTAAGGTTAGACACTCACCTTAATTTATTAATCCTTTCCTTTTCATTCTGGATTCGACTCGACTCTCCTGTGCATGTCTCTCCAAACGTATTTTAACTAACAAGGATTGGATTTAATCTAAACAGTACGATAAAACAAATACAAACCCCACCGCTCCCCGAAATACAATCGCGGTTTTTGAATCCCCTCAAGCCGCGAGGTCGGCGATTGCTAGTTCGCCGTTGAAGATTGCTTTGCCGTCTCCCTCCTCCTTGTCTTCCGCATCTTCCTCGACTCCGAATCCCTCACCGTCCCCCTCAAGTTTAAACTCAACCGATCCCAAACCCAACCCCCGAACGCAATCCCATCCCCAAACAAAAACCCTATTCTGCAACCTCCAACCCTCGCGCCATAACCACCTCTCCTCCCTCCACCGGAACCCCTGCTACGGGAGTTTCAAAATCGACAAGGAGAGTCACCAGGCGGTCGATTTGCGGGAAACGGGCGTTCCTGTTAAGGAGTTGGCGGATGTGCCCGTGAGGTGGAAGTTAGGGAGTTCGCAGGCACAGTCACGGGGACGATCTTCGCGGGGAGAAGTACAATCGCAGTCGCCATCGCCATCGCAGTCGCAGTCGAGGGGACAGGGACGGGGGGGAGAGCAAGGACAAGAGCAAGGACAAGCACGGGGGCAAGGACAAATACAAAAGGAAGAGGGGGCTACCGGGGAGGGTGTGTTTGCGTGGAGTAGAAGGAAGAGGTGTAAGATGGGTGGGACTTCATTGCAGGCGTTGTTTAATACCAAGGTTGGGGGTGAGGAGGGAGGCGAGGGAGGTAAAGCTGAGGTTGGGGGGAGGGGGAATAGTGATTGATTGTGATGCTGAGGGTTTGAGGGAAAGGCTCATTATGGTGTGAGATGGGGATTGCATTGCATTTCTGAGTATTTCTGCTTTTCTGCTTTTTATTTCATTTGTTCATGTTCATATACCCTCGTGTTCTAGATATGTTGCTTGTTTTTGATCTTGTTCTCGGTCTTGGTCTTCACCTTAACCCAGTCCTAATGCTCCGTGCCCTGTACAGGAGAACAGAAAGATGCACGGGATACACTGGTATAGGCGCCGAAGAACATCATTTATACTTTCAGATTATCATATCATCCATCCATCCATATCGACTATCCCTCTATCTGCCATCTGCGTCTACCATCTGTGAATCAAACCCTCACGTACGCTGTAACCATTAGCAATCTCCTCACCCAATAAACCCAACCAACACTTACTAGCATCAATCTGCATAATATGCGGAATCGCCAACCGGACCTTATTCCGATACAGTGCCGGCGCTCTCATCTGCAACGGATTCCCCTCAAAGTACACCGTCTTCAACTCCTTCTTATCCTTCAACTCGCGCTCCACCTCCTCAAAGCTCGCGAGCTGGTTATTCGATCCCCACAGTTCCTCCAGGTTCACGAGTTCCGACAAATGCTCGAGCTTGGAGACTTGGTTATTTGAGAAGTCGACTACGCGAAGGGATGGGTTCTTTTCGAGGCCGCTCAGGTCTGTGATGGCGTTGTGCGAGAGGTAGATTTCCTCGAGGTGTGGGAGGTTCGAGAGGCCGCTGATGTGCGTGAGGCGGTTCGATTGGATGGAGAGGATGCGGAGGTTTTGGAGAGAGTCGAGGTTCTGGGAAATTTAGATTTTGGTCTTAGGCTTGTTTTGCTTGAGTGAGAGATGTTGAGGGGGTGAGGGGAAGGGCGTACCTTGAGTTCTGTGATTTTGTTCTTTCCTAGCCAGAGTTCTTCCAGCGAGGTTAAGGTGTCGAGGTTTTCGATTTCCTGCATTGCCAACCAACCGTCAGTATCATCCCTTCTTCTTTATCCAAATAGAAGAAAAAGAGGAGAATACCCGAATTCGATTCGCTCCTAATTCCAAATTTCGCAACAACGTCAACCCCTCCACGCCCTCAATCGTGGAGATCTTATTTTGCACAAAGTACAGATCCGTCAGCTTGACCAGATGCGCAATGTTCTTGATATGCTTGATCTTATTGAAGCTGAGGTCGAGAGTCGTCAGGTTCAGAGCGTCTTCGAAGCCCTTGACGTGCGAAATCAAGTTATCGTAGAGATCGAGCTCGTTTAACGACGCCGCAACGTTCGGAGGGAGCGCGATTCGCGATATTTGATTCTGGCGAAGACATAATCTCTGTGTTGGATGGATGAAGGGCGTCAGTTATCATGATACTCAGATGCCTCTGTCTGTCTGTCTGACCGGCTGGCTGACTGACTGACAGGCGTTGGGATAGAGGAAGCGCATACCTGCAATTTAGAAAATCGTTCAAGTCGAAGAGCCGGAATAGACGATATGCGACAATGCACTAGATCGATATCCTATCCAACTTGTCAGAATTCTCCCTATCCTACCCTGCTAGATTTTTCCCCGCGACGGATCAACGCGAAGCGCGAAAGTGGCACGTCACCACCACAATCAAGACAAAAGCATACCTCAACATCCGGATCCTCACCCTCAAGCAAATCTACCAACCAACAAAATTAACATCCCTTCATCCCATCCCATCCCACCTACCCCCCTCCGTCTGGTCTGAACTAGAATCATACCTTCGTCCGCATCAATCTCCTCCACCGGCGGCGCGTCGGAATCCGAGTAATCGGGGTCCTCGAGGGCCTCTGGATTAGTGATCGTGGCCGTCGGCTTGGGTTCGACTCGTAGCTTTCCGTCCCATCCTTTGCTGTCCTTCATTGTGGCGGTGATTGCTGGACTCGAGTCGAGGGGGTTCTGGATCGGAGGTGGGAGGGAAGTTCCGATGCGGTGCGGTGCGGGGAGCTTTTTGACTGCTCGGGTGGGTCGGTGGAGGGATGTTCTTAGGGGATGGGTATCGTGGTACTGGTAGATAGGAGGTGGATATCAGAGGTGAGAAATATGAAAGGCGAAATGAGGGGGAGAAGAGCTTGGTCTCTGAGGGAGGGAAAGTGGTCAGTTGGAGGTGGGCGGATGCGCAGAATCGAAGTCCCGCTTCTCTGGCTCCGGTCGCCTAACGTCATTCTGGCATTCTCCGCTCTCAGCCAGCCCTACTAGACCTGATATCGTGGCCTATTCTCCAGTTTTACTGTCTCGGTCTTACTGTCCGTGGTATGGATAATACTGCTTGAATAGCACGCTATGAACAGCACATACGCCAATGATACATACATTGCAAGGTCACCATTATCATGATCTTGGATCGATGAAACTATGAAAGGACCAGAAACAGTGACGTGCACGCTGCGACATATATGTTGTGTCACCTACTAACGAGGTCTCCAAAACAAATCATGGCTGACAAGATGCGCTGGCTGGGTTCAGAACAGACAAGAAAAGGAAATAAGAACGGCAGTGTCGGGCCTTTAGGGGCGGTTGGGGGTGAATAGACAAGGGCAAATGAAAGAAAAAAAAAAAAACAAGACAGATGAGAGTGAATGGGCAAAGAGAGAGAATGTAAATCAACCAAGTGAGTATACACGAGATCAGCAAAATTTTCAGCTGATGGCCAAGACTGACTGACGCCTGCGGAATGCAAAAGAAGAGAAGAAGAAATCAAGGGGATGGGTTCAAAAGACCCCGATCAAAATCACAAGGGATGAACAAGGTATCTGCTCGCTTGGAGCGCGGACAAAAAGACATAACCAGGGGGGGAGTTGCAGGAGGGTGGATGAAAGAAGATGCGAGCAAAGAAAAAAGGGGGGAGTAGAAGAATCATACACACGCGGTATCAGTCCCAAAAACTAAGGATCTTCAACGCAGTTGGCCTGCTTTTCTCCCATGCCCTCAACTGTATTAGGGCAACTGTTGCGCGTAAAACAAAAGAAAATCGGTCGAGAGTTCATCTTTACTACTTTTTTTTGGCTTTCGCCCCTTCGGATGTCGGCGCTGGGGCGAAAGGGAAATAAAAACCAAATCAGGCGCGCTGTAAATGAAAATGCCAGACGGTCTAGAGTTACAGACATTATAGAGAGATGTCGAGAACTAGGCTAACGTCTTTCACTTGTGTACCGGCCAGATCTTCGAGAACGGGTATTAAATCAAGAAGCTCGTTATCGTGAGCGTCAGAGAACCAGCTGCTGATGGGTATCGCGTGTTGAGGGTGGAATATATATGATGTCGGAGAGTTGTCAATGATAATGGTGTCTTGAAGGTCACGACCAACTTGGGACAGGTCCTAGGATGGTGTCAGTGGGTAGATCATCTGGCAAGTGTCGGTGAAGTCTTACCTTGACATAGTTGCCTTGGTGGTTATAGCAACTGTCTCGGAATAGGCGGTGGTGGACGACGTTGTGAATGTCCAGCTGGTCCAATAGAGGATCACCGTACTTCGATGCGTTAGTAATGTTCCAATTAAGAAGATCCAATCGACTAACCTTGGAAACAGATGCCGTGAAGACTACCACCTCATACAATTCCCCGACCCGTTTCATAAACTGATCGACGCCGGGTCGCTTGATCACGTAGATGTTGTGATATTGACCTTCGATCTCGACGGGGATAGTGAAGTCGGCACGTTCAAGGACCTGTGACATGTTATTGAAAAGGCTCCATGCAAAATGTTCTTTCCCGTTCAACGTACCTTGAAACTACTATGGACGAGGGTCTCGTCGAGATCAAGAACCAAGCATTTTCGGTTTTGCAGGTGAGGTAGAGGCGGTGGCAACAACCATTGCTGCAGTTGTCTATCCTGTCCGACTTGTGCTTGCTTGCCCGTTTGGATAAGCGGCGGGGGAGGAGGCAGCACGGCAGGCAGTTTCATCGCATCTTCCTCGTGAGCAGGGTATTTTTCATCCTTCGGGCCAACTTCGTCGTCGGTGGCCGGAGCCATCGCCGCACCGCTGTCCCCGGAGACCTCCTCGGCTTGGTCATCGTGCGTTGGCGGCGGAACGGGGGTTTGACTGTCCTCAGGTTGCTGGGCTCGATCCTCCGTCTTCTCCGACAAAACGCCCGCGGCGGGTTCCTCCTTCGAGGGTTCAACGGGCGCGGGGCCTTCGACTTCCTTTTGCGAGGGTGGCTGGGGAACCGATTGGGGTTGATCGGTTGAGGGCACGGCGCCGTCCACCTGCGAGCGTTGTTCCGGGGCTTTGTTGACCGGCGTCTGCTCCTCATCCACGGGCGACGGGGCCTGGTCCGTCACGGTGGCATGGGGCTTCTCGTCCCCGCGGAAGCTGCTCGGCTCCTTGGATTCGGCGGTACTCGAATCGCCGGCGGTCACCTCTGCCTTCTCCGGAGTTGGCTGGGTCTGCGGGACTGACGGGCGTCGGGGGGTCTTCTTCGGGGGCACCGCAGCATCCTCGGGGTCGACGTTGGACGAGGAGCAGCAGCTCAGGAAGGCGAATAGTTTCGACGAGACCTTGTTGTTCTTCTTGTCGGCCTTTGTCGCGTCGCGCATGTCGGGGTTCACGGCCTTGTTCTCCTCCACGCTCGCTCCCTCCGGATTCTGGCGCCGAGATCTCAAACTACTTCCCCTGCTCCGGTCCCTTCGCCCCTTAAGGATACTCCTCTTCGAGCCTCGAAGAGTGTTCTCCGAGTCATCGTTGGCGGCGTCTTGAGTGTTTTCCGAGGTTGACTGTTTGTCCGCCTTGAGGGATGTCCGCGACGAGATGGGTAACAGCAGATGGTGTTTCTTAGGGGCATCGGCTGCGTTCGACGGAGCAGCGTTGTCGGGGGACGCGACGGAGGGTTGAGCAGTCGTCTCGGAGGGCTCTACACGGTTTGAGGCGGCCGCCGCATCGGTACCGGGGGCGCCATTACCCTGGGGGGAGGATTCTGGATCTACAGTAGGTGACGATGTTTTCAGTGAGGATGTCCTTGTATATTTGGGGGAGGAAGTGACGGCGACCGAGTCGCAGTCCATCGGAGAGACTTACTTGAGTCGGGTGGACTCGTTGCGACAGACATGGACGCTTCTCCCGTGGGGGCCTTTGAATTGGAAGGTGAAGAATCTCGCTCCGAGCTCCCTCCGAGCATTGAGGGTAGCAGGGCGAGGATTCACGGGACACGGCAACGAGGGCTGGTTTTTTTGTTTTGTCTTTCTTTCTTTCGAAGAGGTAGAGAAGAAAAGAGATGGGGGAGCAAAGGAATGGATGTGATCAGCAAATGGATGTGATCACCGCCAGGGTTGCCGCCGAGAGAGAGGGGGGAGGGGGGGGGGGAGGCGGGCTCGAAGGGTGTGCGAAAGTCACGCCTCCTGGATACGGGACTGGAGAAACTGGAAATAGGGTCGAAGGCAAGGCGACAGAAAGGTACGGGAGGTTCCAACCGGTGCTGCTGCTTAGCTCGCGGACCCGGACCACCGCCCTTAATTAAGACTAGTGCTCAGCACTAGGACTTGGTCGCAGGCAGAGCGATCAGAAGTGACTTGGTGGAAGCAGTGTCCCCGAGACGGCTGGGCGAAGCGACGAGGAAGTCGACGAACAGCGTATGCGACCGCGGGCAAGAGGGCGAGGGCGAGGGCGAGGGAGAAGCAGAGAGGCAGAGGATGGCAGGATGAAGGCGAAGATCGTGGAGGGCGCAAAGACTGAGAGTGCCTTGGGGCCGTCACGTGTCGGGAGGAGTCGTACGGGACGGTACCAGTAAATGGTAAATTGGTAAATTGGTAAATTGGTAAATTATGGAGGATTTTCTGGATGAAGAACTCGCAGACCAGTGGCTGGTTGTGTTTCCCTGAGTCCAAGGGCTGCCGTGGCGGTTCACCTGGACAAGGGGCAGGAGGCAAGAAGAAAGGAGGGGAAAAGAAATCACATACCGACGCGGGTCTGGACCGGCCAAATGGGAATCAGATTATTCGATTTGAGGGTAGGCAGGGCTACGGGAGACTACAGTACTGAGCAGGGCAGGAAGAATACATCAACTGGAGATACAGCATCTCCAACCTTTTAAAAAGGTTCCTTTCATTTTCATGTTTAGCCTTTGAGCGTTCCTGGTCCGCCATTCAAGACTCCTGATTGTCCCAAGTTGGGTCATATTCATGGACCTAGTATGTACCTTACTCCGGGGGAATGAAAGCCTGAGCTCCAAGATAACCTTAACGATCACACTCGAGCCACATGCACGAAGTACATACAGTACAGATTTCTAATCTTGTATTCCAAGGCATCTGTGCCTGCAGCTGGCTGTCGATGTATGTACCGTACTTCCTCATTTCTCAGGGACTGTGGCCCGTAGAGTCTAGATTGGGGGCCGGGAGAACGCCGGGAATTAACCTCCGTTTCTGCCAGGGGGGGATTTCTGCTGAATCAGAAAATAAATAAATAACTAAACATCAATCCAATTCGTACTTATACTTTGTATATTGACCTGCATACAATGGAGGGTTGACCATTGGGTATCGCCAGGGGTGTAAGTGTAACTACTGTAGATACTCCGTACTAGAGTCTAGATAGTAGAGAGCCATCCTCCTTTTCACCTCCAGCCAAGTTACGCAGCACAGCTCCCCGGAGATCCCTACTGACTTGGTGATACGGGATCTTAATCCCTCTTAGCCGGTTTATTTTCCTGCTAGTGACCTACCTAGTTCCCAGAGATCCTGGTCCGTCACCCCGCTAAGGTAGACTGGCCTCCCTTTCCCATCCAGTCTTCACCTCCCCAATTCCCGTCCTTGATTGGCCTCGATTCCCCTCGTTGAAGCTCTTCCACCGTGATACCGATCTGTCATCTGCAATTGGCCCGCCCCGGTCCGTCTTTCGTATTCATTAAACTCACCCCCTCCGGCGAGCTCAGGGAACATCCAGGGGAAAAAATCCAGGCACGACCTTACGGAGTACAGGACAGTAATAGGAGCTCACCTCGACCGGTCACTGGACAACTCCAGCCGCCGGGCAACCCAGTTCGGGAAGGCATCCATGCTTCCAAGAATCCAAGCAGCGCTAGTCATGCCCGGGTCCACAATAGTCCATCGGTCTCTGCGAAATTATATGCGCCGGGTGGAGATGGCCTCCAGGGCAACAAATCATGTCCCCGTTTTGCGACGACACCAGTCGGTCCGTGCAAGGGTTTGCTCTTTGCAAAGGATGGGGGACGGTGTTCTCATTACTCACTCCTACTAGTGGGAGGACTATCTTCTTCTGTATCACTCGGGCTTGGTGCGAGTCCGTCGCAAACAAGAGGATAGTTCCTGTAATACTTACCCTGCGTCAAACACGACAGTACATACGGTGTTACTGCTCAGGCACCCATCCCCAAACAAGGCACTCGACCTCAAGGATCTGTGGGGTTGGTTGGAGGTGACAGGGTAAGAAGGCGAAGGTGGAACATTCCACCCGGGCCATGAATGTCAGGCGCTTATTTCGGGGTAATGGGCGAGAAATCGAGAACTTGGCATTATTGGGACTGGACGGGGTAATAATAGCCTCTGTTATATGTGCGACGCTCGGGATCGGATGCACTGCGTGCTGTGTGTTCCTTGTGAGAAGGAGATTCTTCTGTTCCGCGACATTGAACTTACTTTCATACGATGCGTCGGTACCATTTATATGTTTAGAGAATGCCAATGGTGTCAAAGCTAATGAATAATAGGTCAAAGTACAGAGTAGTTAATCTCTTTTGCATATCATATCATCCATCCGATGCGATGGACAGTGGTGGTATATCTCAGTAGTATTGACGCAGTGTCTTGCGTAGCAAGTTGCATACGCTCTTATTCTACTACCTGGATTTAAGCCGCCTCGAAGGTTGTGCGGTGCCACCATATGCTAATCTATGACATTGGGTTGTGTTGGCCACACTGCGATCTGTCACCGAGGGAGAGAAAACAGCCTAAAGGATCTCGTGAACTTGGTGTGATCTGAAAGGGCTTTGGGATATCCCCTTTGAGTATTGATGGCAAGACTAAGAGGTGCTGGCAAAAGAAGTCACCAGAGAGTAATCAATTGCTCGAGTAGAAGCCGGCGATATATAAAGATAGGATGAGACAAAAAATTCATTCGACCCACGCGTGTGCTGCTTTCATTAGAAGAGGTTTTTTTATTTTTATTTTTATTTTTTATTTTTTAAGAGATGTAGTAAAGTTAGTCATTGATAGATTAAATGAGGGAAGATCGCTCATGTCCCTCGAGAGTGATAACATTTAGAACCATTACTCGGAGGAGATACTTCATGATGCTCGGGTATATGATAGCACTGTTAATACCTGCAGTGGACATAGGCCATGAATCCGGTCCGTCAGACATCAAGTTGGCACGTGTGGCCAAGTGGTAAGGCGCCGCACTCGTATGCGAAAGCGTGATATGCGGAGATCGAGGGTTCGAATCCCTTCATGTGCATTTATTTTTGCTTTTTCTTTTTACGTTCTCGTCGGAGCAAGGAAACTAACCATTTTGGACTGCGTACAGTTCAACCGATGCGCCTCACTCCAATGCCAGCCACAGTATGGTGTTGTTATTGGTCGTTCCTTTGTGGCCAAGTGAAGGCCACTCAGTAATGCGGAGTCAGTCGAATCCCTCCACACATCTTGCCATTGCCCTTTTTGTTGTAGGAACAGCCTTTTTGGTGCCGTAAAAATATTATCCTGTACTATACTATCAATTCGTAGTTCATGAATAGACCCGGTACTCTCGTCCAAGTAAACAAAACGTCATCGTGGACTCAGTCCGGGGACTCCGCACGTGAGCCACTCCGCAAAAGTGGCCCGAGGTCTTCACATGCAACCCCAGGAAACGTCAGCATCGCCCAGAAGGTGACTTGGTTCATCGCCAACTCTCCTTGTCAACCCCTCCTCATTACCACACCGCACCTTACTAGCCAACGCCTTCTTACAACTCCGTGTCGTAACTCTCAAATCCCCAACGCGTCTTCCTTGCAGGCGCTTCATTTTCTTCGCTCATGGCCCTCGACGCCCGGATGTAATGTGCCGCAAGGGCATCTGCAAGTCGAGAAGTTGCCCCCCCCTGAACGTGTCGAAAACCCCTCGGATCGAAAACAAGAATGGCTGCCCAGTCTACCTTGAGACGCCGGGAGGATCCTCTCGTGACGCTGTACAAATACTACGCCGACTGGGTCCGCTCTCGCTTCAAGCATTCGTCCAAAACCACCAAACTCATCGCCACCGTCGCGCTCCTCCTGTCTATCGTGGGCTCGGGATATGGTGGCTATAAACTGTTCCGAGAAAGGGCCAAGGAAAATGCTCGAGGAAGGCGATTGCTGCGCCGGAACTCCGGCATCAAGGGAAAGGATGGGTCTCGGACTATATACGTGCCCTATAGGGACTCCATGACCTCCAAGGTCAAGATCTATCCCACGAAAATGACCACTTTCGACGCGCATCGGAGACTCTTCCTGAACCCGCCGGCCTCGGCGCGCGCGAACGATGGCGAATCAGTCACTCAGATTCCTCCGCCGACCACGAAACCGGGGCTGAACTTGGCCTTCCTTCACCAGTTCCTCAGCCTGGGAAGCATCATGGTTCCCCGATGGGGAAGTAAAGAGACCGGTCTGCTGATGGGTCATGGTGTTTTCTTGCTGCTGCGGACGTACCTGTCGCTGCTCATTGCTCGGTTGGATGGTGAAATTGTTCGAGATCTCGTTGCCGGCAAGGGTCGTGCCTTTAGCTGGGGGATCATCAAGTGGTGTGGTATCGGAACTCTCGCCTCCTACACGAACGCAATGATCAAGTTTCTGCAATCGAAGGTGTCCATAGCCTTCCGAACCCGACTCACTCGATACATCCACGATCTATACCTTACCAACGACAACAATTATTACAAACTAATGAATCTGGACGGAGGCATCGGGCAAGGGGCCGACCAGTTCATCACACAAGATCTCACCCTGTTCTGCTCGGCGGCCGCAGCACTCTACTCTTCAATGGGAAAGCCGCTGGTGGATCTGTTTGTGTTCAACTACCAGCTGTACCGTTCCTTGGGACCTCTCGCCCTCGGTGGTATCCTCACGGGTTACTTCAGTACGGCGATTGTCCTGCGAAAGCTGTCCCCGCCCTTTGGAAAGCTCAAGGCCGTCGAGGGCAAGAAGGAGGGTGACTTCCGTGGTCTCCATTCCCGATTACTGGCCAATGCCGAGGAAATCTCGTTCTACGGCGGTGCCGACATCGAACGGGTGTTCTTGACGAGAAGCTTCAAAGATCTACAGCGCTGGATGGAGGGCATATACAGCCTCAAGATTCGCTACAACATGCTCGAGGATGTCATTTTGAAGTACTCGTGGTCCGCATTTGGCTACCTGATCACTTCCTTGCCCGTCTTCCTACCTGCCTGGGGTGGCACGGGCGGTGCCTCGGAGTTGGCCGATACTCCCGAGGCGATTGGCCGCGAACGGGGCCGCATGAAGGACTTCATTACCAACAAACGCCTGATGCTGTCGCTGGCGGATGCTGGCGGCCGCATGATGTACAGCATCAAAGATATCTCTGAATTGGCCGGCTACACGTCGCGAGTGTACACCCTTATTTCGACGCTGCACAGAGTGCATGCAAACGCCTACTACCCTCCACGAGGCTCTCATGCGGACCTGTATTCCCTAGCGGACGTCCAGGGTACCATCCACAACGGGTTCGATGGAGTTCGTCTCGAGCAAGTCCCCATCGTTGCGCCCTCTCTCTACCCGATGGGCGGTGACGACCTCATCGAGTCCCTGTCGTTCATTGTACACTCTGGAGACCACCTTCTCATCTCGGGGCCTAACGGCGTCGGAAAGTCCGCCATTGCCCGCATCGTCGCAGGCCTGTGGCCCGTGTATCGCGGGCTGGTTAGCCGACCGAGAGGGTTCGGTCTTGACGGGGCGATGTTCCTACCGCAGCGACCCTATCTCAGCGTGGGAACTCTGCGTGACCAAGTGATCTACCCCCACACCGAGATGGAAATGCACGAGGCTGGCGAATCGGACGCCAACCTCCAGAAGATCCTGGACGACGCCTTCTTGGGCTACCTCCCCGCCCGCGAGGGCGGATGGGATTCTCGGAAAGAATGGAAGGATGTTCTGAGTGGTGGCGAAAAGCAGCGAATGGCCCTGGCACGGTTATTCTACCACGAGCCCCGCTACGCCTTCCTCGACGAGGGGACGTCTGCCGTCTCCTCGGACGTCGAGGGCCTGCTGTATGAACGGGCCAAGGAGCGAGGAATTACTCTGATTACAGTATCTACGCGTGCGTCCCTCAAGAAGTACCACACCTACAACCTGACCATTGGACTTGGAGCCGAAGGAGAGCATTGGGAATTCGAGAGGATCGGCACGGCGAAGGAGAAGCTGGGCGTTGAGAAGGAGTTGCAGGAGCTACGCAAGCGTCTTGACAAGGTGGATGAGTGGAAGCAGCGTCGCGAGGAGATTGAGAGGGAGCTGAATAAGGTCTGGGCTCAGGAAGGCGAGTTGGCTCCACCTCCGTATGTGGCCAACCCTGAGGTGGTAGAGAGCCAGGAGTGAAGGGCTGGGAGATGTCTGATTGAATGGGGTGCCAGTGAATGTAAAGCGAAGTTAGAAGCAATATGGCTGATCTATCACTGTTCCGTCAATGTGAAATTCCATGAATATTGAAATCATTGAATATTCAATTGAATTCCACTGGTAAATTCTGGTAATTAAAGTATGGAAAGAGCGGGTCCCAGAGCCAGTCACATGACCCGCCCGGTGTTTGCACGCTTCGATCTACGAGTCCTTCTTCCTCCCGACGGAGTACTTCTAGAACTCCATTCCGTCCCTCATTTATACTCCCCTTCACCCAAGACCCTGAACTGACAGCGAGCATGTCAATTCCGCCGCTCTGTTAGGAGCTGCTATTTCCCTACATTTCACTCCAGTCCCATTCGACTCGATTTGGTGTGATATGATTAGCATCGTGGATCGCCCATCATGTCCTCCACTCCCCAATTAGCGCAATCCCCTGGGGTTGTTGAACAGGCCGTCATAGTCCCCATCAATCGTTCGTTTACGGATGGTAGCGACTCGACATGGCCCAAGGATCCTAAGTATGGGAGACCAGACGATAGTGTTTATCGGGAGAAGTTGGCCAAATTATGGTTGCAGAAGACCGGGGCTTATGAAAATGGTATGTATTTTTTTCTTTTCTTTTTTTGCTGTCTCTTTTCTGGAAGTGGATTTATTTGGTTCTTGCCGTCTCTGTAATTGATCGTTTGGTTATCTATGTGAGGTTGTTTGTCCGACATTTGGTGGGTTTTTCTTTGTTCACTGCCGCTTCCTCACTTGATTGGAAGCAAGCATTCAAGATGTCGTTGATTCTCTGTGTGGGCATTAAAATGACGGGGGTTTTTTTTATTTGAATCGTGTCTGCGCTCTATGGTTTTCTTCTATTTTCATCTCATCTTCAGTTCAGTCTACAAGATCCTGGCACCCGGAGAAAGTCGCTCAGATAATTGCTTGTCGTATCACATGACTTCAACGATAGGTCACTTGGATCGCTAACCATCTATTAAAAAGGTGTGCACTATATACTGGACAATCTACCGGAAGGCTACGCGCTTCTTGATCGACCGCGTATGTCGAAACCTAATATCGTGAGATTCCCTTATCCCTAGACCTCTATTGACCCAAGCTAACTCTGACACAGCGCGATAAATTCCTCTGGGGTCACCCACTCGGACAATATTTCTTCTCTCCTGTCCATTTCTTTCCCCATTTCTACTTTCTTATGACCGGGGGGACGACTCCCTGTCAATGTGCTCTCTGCGAGAAAATGACAAGCCTTTCTAAAGGTTGGTTCCCCATTGACACTAGTTATCGTGCCATGCTGATGGTGACCTCCAGAAGGACGGAAAAAGCCTGGACGTCCTGTAGGAAGCCATGTGATCGACGGCCATTTGGTGAGACCGGATGGATCGATCGGACCGGCCGTAAAAGCCGCACGAACACCCGGGAGACCTGGCCGACCGCCTGGCCGACCCCCAGGAAGACCATCGAGGGTGTCAGGGCCGACCGTGACGCCGGTAGGAAGACCATCTGGAAGACCATCGGGGGTGTCAGGGCCGACCGTGACGCCGGTAGGAAGACCATCTGGGAGACCTCCAGGACGGCCGTCGGCCGGGTTCTCATCGGTGACACCGCGTCCGATAGCCGTTGACAGCGAAGGGACACCGGACGTGTTCAAGTCGGCAATCGTGGAACTCAAGAAAAGGGGAAGCCTAGCAAAAGACATCATCGAGAATAATAGTATGGACTGGCGGGCTGAGCAAGCAAAAATGGCCGAAATCATCGAGGGATTTAGCATGCAGCCCGCATACCTGCCACGCATCGGTGAAGTTGTGCTCTGGATGCCTGATTTCGAGGGCGAGCTGGCCTGGAACTCGGAAACAAGGCACATAGAACCCTATTCGACCACCGAGAAGCGATGGCTGGGAACTCCTCAATGGCGCGCGGGCATCGTGGGTCAAGTCCCTGAGAAAGATACGGTGCTCCAAGATCTGCACAGCACCACCCACAAGGATTCGGGGGTGAACTACTCAGGGTTCCGCGTGGAAACGTTCCCCGACCCGCACAGCATCGACAAAAGCTACTCACTCCACTACAAATACGTCCCTCTCAAGTGCATCAAGCCGTTTAACTTCTACGAAATGTTCTTGCAAGGCACCCCTCGCCATGATCTACACCCCTCCATCGAATATGCCATGACCATCATGTCCTCCTTCAGCCTGCTCGATAAATATCACTTCAAAGGCACTTGGCCCGACGCTTCGATCCACTGCCGGGGGATCTTCCTCGGCGCCGAGCTGCTCGTCGTCGGAGACGTCGTCCGACTGAAACCCAAAGCCGCCCAGCCCGACCCAAAACAACCGCACACCGTCACCGACGTCATGGTCATCGACGAGATCCGTCTCGACCTCATCCATTGCGACGACCACCCGAAATCCGAGCACCTAGCCGAGCGCATCGAAGTGCGCATCCGCGGGAAAGTGTACTCCAACAGCTCTAAACGCGCATACTACGCGCGACCTTACCTCCTCCAAGACCCCAAATCCATGTCCCCGGACGAAGTCTCCGAGGCCTTCCAGTACATCGGCATGGGCGGGTATGGGTCATGGTTCCGACTCTTGCCCGGTTCCAGCGTCGAGGTCTCCCAAGACATGATCCTCGGCCGATGTTACGAGCCCGACGCCATGCAGCTCCTCTTCGGCCGGTTATCCTTAGGTCTGGATCTCCACGGCGTGTTGAACGGCCGCGCCTACTCGCAGCAAGCCGATCAGCGCATCGCGCCAGGTCGAAACTGGTTCTGGGGCGACTTCCGCACCCAGACACTCGCCATCGACTCTCTCAACGGCGAAGACGTCGGCTACTACAGTGACACCCGTGACATGGCCATGTGGCGCGCCAACCTGCGCATCATCGACGGCATCGCGGGGTCGGCTGATTTCCGAGAAGCCAAGATCCCGGGCGACGTTGGGCGGCCGGCCACGAAATCACGGTCCAGCTTCGCCGAGGTCGGCAAACTGAGCATGCTGGTCAGCACGGGTCTCGGGGTAGGGGATACGAGTAATAACGTGAGTTCGGCGGAAGAGGAACCGTTGGATTCAGTGGAGATGATGGGTATAGAGGGTGGCAGTGGGGGCATTGATGATGAGGAGGAAGAATCAGAATCGGAGGACTTTACTGTCCGGATGGATCAACTCCGTGGGGGAACCGAGGAGTCGGAGGGAGGCGATTATAGACCGGGTCTTTGATTTTGATCTTGATTTCGGGGTTGCGCTTGATCTTGATGGGATGGGCTAGTTTATCTTGGTAGGTGGGGGTGGTTTGTAGACTATTTTCAGATACCCTGTTTTCTTTCTTCTTTCTGATCTTCTGTTTAGAAAGGGGTCTTTATTCTTTGTTCTCTTCTCATTTCTTATCTTATATTCCAACTTATCGGGGTTTAGATATCTTTTTTATTCTTTTGTTTACATGCATTAGCAGGGCTTTTGATATTAATCGGGTAGCTAATAGATACCGTTTCTTCCTCTCTTCCTGCATGGTGTGTGTCGCGTCTGTCTGTATATCTTTCTGTCTGTCTTGTCTTGAATTCGTGGACTAGAAAGACCTTTCTGCGTACTTAGGTAGATAAGAAACCCATGCCTATATAGACCATGCATACGAAGTACAAAAAGCTACTGATGCGCAGACAGGAATTCGTCTCTCCAACAATACATACACACATACATAAACAGAAACAGGCGCATATAAGTAACAAGATAGATAGATAGATAGATACAACAAGAATCACTCATCCACAGAGAAAGAGTGAGAGAAATATCAATACGTCTTCCTCAACACCTCCCTCGAAAACTCCCCAAACGACCTCCCCTCCTCAACCTCCTCATTCAGATTCGGCTGCGTGAACACCGCCAACGTGTTCCGTGCGATCCGCGCCCCGGTTCCTTGGGGTTTCGCACCCTTCACGAAATGAGGCACAGCACGGAATTTACCCTTAGTGATTAGTTGTAATGCTTCGCCTGTTTGGAATGCGAGACTGTCTTTGGGGATGTTTACTTTCACGACGTCGCCGGTGCGGGATTGGATGTATAGGCCTGCTGAGGGGTCGGGGGAGGTTGGGAGTTCCGGGAGGGGTGAGGTAGAGGAGGGCGTGATGGAGGAGGTGGCTTCGTCGAGGAACATTGCCGATGTGAGGCCCGTGAGACAGCCGTGGTCGAGGTGCGTGGCGCACCAGTCGTCGTCGTCGTCGTTGGTCTCATTACCTTCTTCGGAATTGGCATTGGGGTTATCGTTGGTGTTTGCGTCGTTAGAAGGAAAATAATGAAGCAATCGCGCCTTGGTCGTGAGACTCGTCCTCACAACATGTTCCAAATACCCAGTCTTATACCCCTCGATATTAGCACTTGCGTACCGATCGCAGGCGCGCGCGACCAGCGCCGCGGTGTCGATGATCAGCGTGCACAGCTCCTCGAGGCTTTTTCGGAAGGTGGGGAGACGGTCAGATGGCGGCCAGATGTTGGGTGCTGTGTAGCCGGGGAGATCGGGGAAGTCGGAGGCTGGAGCGCCCTCTAGGTCTGGGTCTTGGTAGAATGCGCAGTTCACGTAGTAGGAGCCCTTGAGGGTGTCGAAGTGGCCGGATCGGAGCGTTTCTTTGCCGCAGGACCAGCCGACGAGGTAGTTTGCTGCCGGGCTGGTGAGGGATTCTGGGGGAGGGGTTAGTGGGGTTGGTTTGAGGGTGGGTTTAGGATGGGAGGCAGAGGGGGGAGGGATATACAGACCTAGTTCATCGGTGGAGAGCGCGGCCAGATATGAGGCGTTGGAGAGGACCTGTGCGCGCAGACGCTGGAATTCGGCGTCGAGGTCTTTCACGACGATGATGCCTAGCGAAGACGGTCCGAAGGCTTCGGTCAGGGTTTCAAAAGAGACAGTACCTATGAGGGAAGGAGAAGGATTAGGATTAGACTCAGACTCAGACTACATTGTAGACAGGTAGGATACGCACCATCAATCAACTCTTTCAAACTCACCGTCACGGCCTGAGCCTGCGACACGCCTTGCAATCCCATTGCGTTGAGACTCTGAACTTCACAAACAGACAAGATGAGAACAGCAGACAGAGCAGTCGAAAAAGGAAAAAGCAAGGAAGAATGTCAAGAAGAAAGAAAGAAAGAAAAAAAAAAAAATCTACCCCTCTCTCCCCCCACGCGGAGCCATTAAAAATTAATAAAAGACAAGACGGCCCGCTCCGACGCTGATGTTAAACGGTTATCGGCGGGTTTTTTTTTATCGCCCAGAATTGAATGATAGTGATTGCGATGGCGATTGCGCTGGAACTCGCTTGGTCAACGCACCATTGATTGTTAATCTGATCTTGCTGCTATGCATGATTGTAGACCTCACAGGGACAGACAGAATTGACTGCTTCGTCTTTTCCCTCATGGATGTTTCTGTCGTTTGTTTTCGGAATTGCCCGACGCTCCGACAAGGGTCCAAACGAGCCTTGCCTGATCTCGACCCAAAGGATCCGTAGTCTGGAGAAACTGGTCCAACGGTGTGTCTAGTGTAGAGTACCTCTCCACACCCCAGATATGGCCCCATATACTAGATAGCGATAAGGCTATTGGTTATCTGGGAGGCTAGGGTGAATGGAAGATGATGGTGGTGGACTGATCAAGTGTCAGACTGGGTGGATGCAGTCCCTGTGGTATTGAATTGTAGATGTTGTCAATTAAAATGTCGAGTATTGCATTTTCAGGGATAAAATGGGGTATTTGGATTGATGGAATTGAGGGGAGAAGTGAAGGGGAGATAGGCGTCGAAGGATCGTCTTGGCGGGAGAATATCGAGTGTCAACATTTAAACGAAGCAAACGTCCTCCACGTCCACGATATTCATATTCTATAAAAATAAAGAAGAGAGAGAATTTATTCAACCTGGTATATCTAGAAAAAAATCATACATCATACCCCAAATTATTATAACATATTATACAAACATCATCCCTATATCCCTACACCATCCCCAGTAATATATCCATCACTCACTCCTCCGACTCACAGCCCTCAAAGTCCCAAACGGCAAAACGTCTGCGATCCTCTTCGCCCCGGTGAAAAGCATACAGAGACGATCGATCCCGCATCCCCAGCCCCCGGTAGCCGGTAAACCCCATTCCAAAGCCTCCAGGTAACTTTCGTCGACCTCCTCCTTCTCTTTGGCCGCCTTGCTGTACTGCACCTGGTCTTCGAACTTGCGTCGCTGTTCAAACGGCGAGTTTTCCTCCTCGTACGTGTTCACTATCTCTCGGCCTTCGATGAAGAGTTCGCCGCGCGCGGCGACGCGTTGGTTCGTGATGGGGTGGATGAAGGATTTCGAGAGCGGGGAGAGGCATTCCGGGGGGTTGATGATGAAGGTCGGGTTGATGCATTCGGGCTCGACGTAGGTGCCACAGAGCTCGTCGAGGAGGCTCGGGAGGGTCGCTTTATCTGGAAGAGGCAGGGAGAGGTCGCAGAAGAGTTCCTTTATTTGTTGGTAGGCATCCGGGGCTGAGAGGTCGGGAAGTTTGCGGTCGATCTTCTCTTCGATGCCGGTGATGAAGTCGATGCGGCGGAATGGCGTGGAGAAATCGGCAGTGGTTGGTGTCAGAGTGCCGTTTGAGTTGAATCCGTGGATATGTTGCGCCATGCCGGAGAGGAGGGTCTCGGTTGTGGTCATGAGGTCTTCGAGGTTGGTGTATGCGTGGTAGAACTCGCATGTTGTGAACTCTGGATTGTGAGTCTTGTCAATGCCTAGATGAGATGGCGTTGGTCAGTACTGCATCACGAAGGCTTCATCCAGACCCGGGTAACCTACCCTCATTGCGAAAGGAGGGCCCAATCTCAAACACTCGGTCAAAACCGCCTACCACCAACCGCTTCAACCACAGCTCCGGCGCAATCCGTAGAGACAATCTACGTCCTGGGAACTCCGTCGCCAGGGTATAGAACGGACGAGCGATTGCTCCGCCGGCAACAGAGCCGACGATCGGAGTGTTGACCTCCATGAACGATCGATTGACAAAGAACTGGCGAAGATATTGAACAATCGCCGACCTCGCCCGGATGATATCCGCAGTGCTTGGATCGGCCAGGAACTGGACATGGCGCGGATACGGGGAGTTCTCGTGCTCCTTCGCGTCCAGAGGCACATCGTGCAGACAGGGAGACAGAAGCTGTGGCAGCTGAGTCGCCACGACCGTGAGCTCGCCCCGTCCAGTCCGGTGAGGTTTACCCGTTACAGCTGACAATCGTTCAGTCTATGTAGACATAAAATGATACGGAAAAAAAAAAGAAGAAACATACAGAAAGCATCCCCTCGGCGAAGGAGCCGGTAGAACTTCTTGAACTCCGCCGGGGTGGGGATTTCATCTAATTCACGAAAATTGCACATAATCTGGACTTTATGACCATTTTGGACGATATCGAAGAAGATCAATTTGTTTCCGGCAAGTCTATAGGTACGTATCCTACCTACTAATCTAAGTACAAAGGAACAAGAACGAGGCAAAGCCAGGTGAGGCCAAGACCTACCATTAACGATGACGGAGTCATCTTCTACTGTTTCATTATTGGCTAGATGGCCGTATCGGGTGGTGAAATCCGAACAACTCATCGAGCGCTGGTCCGCTGCCAGACGAGGGTATGGCTCGGGACAGGCTTCTCGAACCTCTTGCAGTCTAACCTGGTAGGCTCTCTCCGGGGAGGCAGCAGTGCTGCTCCTCTTGGTGTTGATAGAGCCGATCGAGAACTTCGGGGCTCTAGGTTGGTTGGATTTATGATTCAAGTGAAAATCCCGCCGCGTGCCGAGGGAGATAGATGGTCCTGATCTTAACACGAACTGTTAGCCAATGCGTTCAATGAAGCGAGAAGTGACTCATGAAAAACAATTCGATTCCAATCAAATCAGAGGTAGATTCCGAGTGTTACTCATGACTTGCAGAGCAAGAATCAATGCAGCGGTTCTGAAAAATATAGGGATGTGTCTCGTCCTATGATTGTCTGGGGGAAGAGGGAAGGAGCAGGGATTGCAAGCAAGCGGGTTCTTACCTGGACCAAAGACTCCCCCCGCTCAACTGCGAAGCCCACCGGGGGCGAATTGAAAGCATATTGAGAGGGAGGAAAGACGATCAACGACAATTGAAGACAACTACGTCGACAAGGAACATCACGGTTCTGTGTGCGGGAAGAGAGAAAAGCAAAGAAAAAACGCGAGGAAGCCGAGCGGCCCAAGAAAACTCGGCAGGGCGGTGAAGGAGGTCCAAGCTTCCGACCTCACCTTCTGCCCGGTACGTAAGTCCGTCCTCAAGTTCATCCTCGCATCTTGTCTTGCACTACCCATTCTATCGCATTCGTGAGTATTGATCCAACCTTCTGGGAATCAAATGATAATCGCTTACACCCAAGCTCTACCCCCTTTAGCGTGGAATCCCTCCTATTCCATAAATCACCATCACAATGTCTTTCCTCTTCGGCGGTCCCCCCAAGATGTCCTCGGCAGAGAAGATTGCTGCCGCTGAGACTGAGATCGAGATGATCTCCGACATGTTCAACCGGTGAGCTTAGCCTCCTCTTTACCAGAAGTCCAGCTTTTTATCATACTCCTGCCCACTCAAAACAAACAACCCCTGCGCTTTGCGGAACATAACCCGCAACAACCATCCCCATCAACCAACATCCAACCAACCAGCCAGCCAGCCAGACCAATGACTAACGCATCCTCTAATCCCAGTCTCACCCAATCCTGCACCAAGAAATGTATCCCCGTCGACTACCGCGAAGGTGACCTGAACAAGGGCGAGTCCGTCTGCCTTGACCGCTGCGTTTCCAAGTTCTTCGACGTCAACGTCAAGGTCAGCGAGAAGATGCAGGGTGAGGCCGCCGGCCGGGCTGGTGGTATGGGCGGTATGGGCATGTAAAAGGGAAGACGTGCGAAAAATGACTACTATTGATTCTGTATAATACATTTTCTTTTTGTTTGATGAACAAAGAACATGAGGCTGAACTGAAGAGGCCTTGATTGATGCTTAATTGATTCTTGTGATAATTACTATCAAGGGGGCTTTTGGGCATAAAGGATGTATTCGATGTGTAGGGTTTGTTTGCATAGAATTGTTTCACACTAGATGGTTGAGCTGTAGAAACTTTATTTCGAAGCTATGTACATTAGAAGAGATATATGTAGGAAAGGTCTTATAGTACAGATGTCAGCAGTAGTACAGATGTCAGCAGGACAATCAGGTTGAGAAGCCTATCAGTCCGCCAAGCCAATTCAGCCAGGAGTGGCTCTGTTTTTCCTCATCACCCTGTATCAACTCTTGCACCCTCAATTCCATTTCGTTCACCTGCCGTTCAAACTCCCCGAGCCCCGTCTCGACATCCTCGACTCTCGAGCCCAGGACATTGAGCTCGTAGTCCAGCTTTGCACCTATCATCTCCACGCGTCTCATGTGGTCTGTGAGCGACGTATGCTCCTCCGTCAGCAGGTCGCTGGATCGGTCCCGGATTTCTTGATACTGGTTCAGCCGGTCCATGTATTCGGCATTGATCTTCTCGTGGCTTTGATATAAAATCCGATTCAGGTCGTCGACGGAGTCGACTTGCTTCTCGACCCAGGGAACGGTGCGTTCGCCTAGCTCCTGGATGCGGGAGCTGAAGATCCGCGCATCGTTGGCGAGCATGTCTTCCTGGGCAACGGCTTCTTCGAACGTGGCATGGGACTTGTCAAGGAGGCCTTCGTTGGTTCCGATTTCTTTCCAACTCAGGACAACGTCCTCGACGATACTGAAGGACAGATGGCGGGGGCAATGGCGATCCTTTTGCTCAGATTCATCTTCGATATTGAGATCCGGACAGCTCTGCGGCCGACGCAACGACATTAATCCCAGCTCGAATGTCTGTTCTCGGTCGGCTGATACATCGGTTGATCTTGTTCGCCAGCGCTCCAGATCTTGGAGCTCGTTCTCTGGTCGGGTGAGAGATACTTTATTGGACGACTCGGAACCATCGTTGGGGGCGGCCGGATCGATCGTGATAGCAGGGGTACGGGACTCTGACGAGATTGGTAATAGGGTGTTCAATGCTGGTTCACTCGTGGTATCGTCATGATGCAGTCGGGTCTCGCTTTCTTGGGCACCTTCGGCCTCAATCTGATGGAGACCGCCATCAGCACTAGGTTTGGGTAATTCCGTGTCGCTTTCTTCCGGGATATAGGCCGCGTCACTAATAAGGTCCACGCCATCTTTCGTTTGCTTTGGCAGATGTGACCGAAATCCAACCGCATCTTTGAACCTGCCGAACCCTATCCGTGCGTCGGATACTTTCCCACTGACACCGCGACGAACCATCTTGCCCAAGTTCTGATCCTTTTCGTCGAGCGCGCTTGCAGGTTCAGGTTGTTTCATTGGAAGATCTGGGCTCTGTAAGGGGCGATCACCGCCTAGATCCTCGTAAGAGCGTCGTTTGCGGCTTGTCCAGACATAGCCGCCTTGGTCATCGGTTGTGAACATCATATCAGCAGCTGGCGGCCCGCCCATGAAGTTATCGTCACCCTTGCGCGGCTTCCCTCTCCACAGCCACTTTGCTCGGGCCCCTTTCACCAAATGCGCAAAGTTGTCCACATCCAGCGTTTCGATATCGGCAATACCGGCCTTCTCGCGGCCCCGGACCATGCCCATGACCATCTCCCCACCGTGTCCACTTAGCTCGGCCATAGTTGATTTGACGGCGTCCGTCCAGCCTTCGGAGTTTGCCGCCTTTGCAGTGACCCGGTGCAGTCTATCGAGGGTTTGGCGGTCCAGTCTCCGCGTTCGTTTCAGCTTCTGCGACTTTTGAAAGCTGCTGATCCCCCTTTTGAGATTGTGTATGTCGAACGCATCCTTCCCGACCGGCGCACCAAAAGCATGGAGCCGGTTTCGAGCTCCCATCAGAGTCCCGAGTAAAGCTGCGACGGAGGTTGGACCTAAGGCTCCATCACTGGGCTCGATGTTATACAAATCTATCCCGATATCGTTCCACCAGTCACTGATCGCGGCCTCTGTCACGTCACATAACAGTCCATCCACATATTCCGGCGCGAGGTTGCCGTACATCAGTAGCGCAATCTGGCATTGCGTCACGAGCTCAATGACCGCACTATACAAGGGGACTCGCTCGCTTGTCCGATACAGCTGATGGAATTTGGCTTCGGTCGCCGCCGCGGGGGGCTGGAGCTTCAACCCCGCACGACCTGAGCAATTCAGCCGCTTCAGATTCTCATTCACAATGAAATCATCCTTGTGCTTGAGCACATCACCACCAGGCACGGGTATGACCGTCAGCGCCGACGGAAAAACGCTCAGATCGGTCACCATCAACGTCCCCAGGTGGGTGTCTTTCCTGCGTGCTTGGCATTGCGTGACGGCGTTGACGTACAGTCGTAGACGAGGGGACCAGGTCGATTCGTCGGTGGGAACGCTCAGCACCCCAACCGTAACCTTGTGCGACGTGTCTCCGGTGTACGTCGTGATTATAAATGTAGGGTGGATCCTCGAACAAGCCCATTGCTCAACAATGTATATCTCGTAGCCCTGCAGTACCGTCCGTCGGGCGAGTACGATCGTCGAAGGGTCCTCTTCGAGGTATCGGAGCGCGACGGGGTCGGCGAAGACGAATTTCTGGTGGCCGTGGCGCGAAGGTTGGATTTCTGACCCGTCCGTGAGGATGGATAGGCTTTCTTTCGCGGCGATCGAGGTCCGCGACGATTCATGAGGGGTTGTAGCAGGGGGCGCAGCCTGTGCGCTGTTCTGCGTTGGAGGAGGAGGCATGGCGGAACGACGAGCGAGTTCCTACCATAAGAGAGTCGAAGAACTGCTCATATCCTGATCGGTGAGGCCGAGAGAAGCAGTAAAAATACAGAAATGAAACCAACAACAACAAATTAAAACAGATCAATCAGTATTCAGAGACCGAGCTCGGAATGAAGGGGCGGAAAAGCGTTGGGGACCCTCCCGGGGTCTTCTTGTACAGTCCAGCAAAGCAAGGAAACAATCGTGACATATTCCGAGGGGACGAGGGGTGGATTCTGGATGGCTAGAAGAACAGGCAGAAGGAGGAAGATCGGGGCTGCGGGTCTTCCATGGCGAGTTGAGGAGACAAGTCGGCGTCCGCGGGAGTTGCAGGGGAGAAGAGGAAAATGAGGGCCGACTAGATAGGGAGGATAGGGAGATGTTGAACCACCGCAATCGACGTCACAAGGCTTTCTTTCTCCGTCGGAAGCGGTGAGCGGGCCAGACCACAGCCACAGTCCGTATGGTTACTTGGCAAGAGGATAACTACAGTATGGCTACGACAGCTGTTTGACTAGGTTCTGATGGTAGAAGGGACATGGAAGAACAGGATTTCTTCCACCAATGGAAACGTAATTAAAGTATGGAGATGCTCCAGTGTCTGTGCAGAACGCCAGTCAACATCAAAGATTGGAAATCTGCAGGAAAAGGAGTTGCCTAGTTGCATGCAGCCACAACTCAAAGAATACCTTATTGCAGGATCCGCACTTCACAGCCACAGGGACCGAGGATATCAGGACTGGATAAAATGTGGAAATTGACATCGTACGGAGTAGACAGCTAGAGACTGGGGAATCTACGCGACAAGATGGAAAATCTCTTCTCTACAGGCCTCCAACATGGGAAGCAACAGCAGTGAAAAGAAGACCAAGACGAGAGTGATGCATACAGGTTCTTCAGAGAACCATGCCTACAGACTCAAGCTGAGCTTCAGAGCATCTGAAGTCAGGGCACTTTGTTTTTTCAAAAATTCCCAGCCGATCCGAAGACCAACTGGAGCAGTCAACTAGGTAGTTTTCAACTAGCAAAAACACGGTCTCGGATAATTCCTCACTGACACGTGTAAAACCCTTGCACCAGGATGGAGAAAGAAAGAAGAAAAGAAGTGTAAAAGGGTGGAGGGGGGAAGGAGCCTTTATACCCGCGCCAAGACCCAAAATCCGCGCTAGCGTAAGCGAGCTCATTCACCAAGGGAGATGATTGGCTGATGGGACTTCTGCCTGGCACCTGACCTTCCCGGGAAGAGATACCTGAGTACCTGAGGCATTCCAGCTGGAAGATCCCGAAGTATTCTATTCTTGGGTGGCTGATCACTTCAGGGAGAGTACCTACGAAGTGTCTCGGCATGATGCTACGTCTCTCACCGTTTACATGGCCCAAGTCAGTTTCATATTATTAGTGCCCACCAGAATAGCTGCCAAGTTCACGGAACCGAGTAAGACGATGTGGGACTACTCTCTCCTAGTAGCTTACTCCGTATGAACCATAGCTGGGCACCAGGTAGACACTACTAATCAAGCCTCAGGCAGATTGTATCTGTCAAACGTCTAAGATCTCAGGACGAATACCCTGGGAATCATCCCTTGCAAAGTGGTGCAAATAATGACAAACAGCGCAACGGCCGGAAGGAGGGGTAGCCACTGCAGCAACACGTGATGTGCCATGTCGTAATACTAGCGATGCTGTGCGGCCCTCCGCAATCTCCCCGTCACCTGTTGAACTGCTTCGTCCCCGTACCGTTCCAAGCCGAACGTGAATAGCACCTCTGTGTCTTTCTCTAATTTCCTCTTCCCCTGAAGCTATATCAGTCTCACTGCTGCTCACCCCACTGAGACCATCCAGGTGGTCCCTTATGGCTATTGCCATACCGTCCATTGACAAGCGGTAACTGTCTCAACTCCGCTTTGAGCGCCTCGGCCACCATGGAAGCGGTCCAGAAGGAGCATGAGCGACTATCAAAGAGGCTGAAGGCGTCTCAGAGCATCAAGAATGTTCAGTCGACCATAGAACTTCTTCAAGAAGCACGGAATGCCATTGCGGCCGGTTAGTACAATGCCCGGGAACGCTGCGCTGCGGTCTCTCGAGTTGCGCAACAACTAACCGGACCTTTTGACACCAGATCCCGATCAGGCCCCGATCACTCTAGCCAAACTCCAAAACCCAGTGAAATCCTCCTTCGATGCGATAAATGACAGCCTCAAAGAAACCCATAGTGGTCTTAACAAATATTCCAAGTCGCTTGATAAGGTCGGTTGTACCACGGGATTACTCGGATCGGCTTTCCAAGCACATGCTGACTCGAAGTTCAAACAACAGCTTTTCAAAGATAGACCTCTCCCAAGTACCGAACATGACGCCCTGACATCACAAGAACACCTGATCAACCGAGCGATCGCAATGCACCTATTGCGGGAAGGACAGTTCTCCGTCGCTTCTACCTTCCTGTCGGAAATGACGGAAGCCAGAGCACCCGAGGAGGAGGGAGATTCCAGCTCCAGCGTCACGGACAATGCCGCCTCGCTCCTTCATCTCGAAGAAGTACCGTCAAGTGAGGTTCGGAAGCAGTTTGCCACCATGTACCACATCCTGCATGAAATGGAGCAGAACAAGAACCTGCTTCCGGCGATTCAATGGGCGCGGGACAACAAAGAGGCGTTGGAGGTCCGAGGCAGCAACCTGGAATTTGAACTGTGCCAGTTGCAGTTTGTATGGTTCTTCCACGGCGGACACACGCCCGAGGCGCCTCTTTCCGCGGGTCGGCAAGCGGCATTGGAGTACGCCAGGCGGGAATTCCACGGCTTCATGCCGCGATACCTGCGGGAGGTGCAGCAGCTCATGGGCGCGATGGCTTTCTGCCCGAACCTCGAGAATTCCCCGTACAGGGGCATCTTCACCAATCCGTCCGCCTGGAACGACGTGGCGCAAGCGTTCACTCGCGAGTTCTGTTCCTTGCTTGGGCTGTCTGCGGACTCCCCCTTATACGTAGCCGCCACGGCCGGTGCCATTGCCCTGCCCACTCTACTGAAACTGCAGACGATCATGAGGGCGAAGCGCACCGAATGGACGACAGAAAACGAGCTTCCGGTGGGTTATGATTGTTCTTGTCTTTACGTTCCCGGAGTTTTAGCTAATCGTCTTCCCTCTAGGTTGAGATCCCGCTTCCGCCGTCGTACCTTTTCCATTCCATCTTTGTTTGTCCCGTTTCCAAAGAGCAGACAACGGACGAGAACCCGCCGATGATGATGCCGTGCGGGCACGTCATTGCCGAGGAGTCGTTGAAACGGCTGTGCAAGGGCAGTCGCTTCAAGTGTCCGTACTGTCCCAACGAGAGTCATGCTCGGGAAGCACGAAAGGTCTTTTTGTAGGACTCCAACCACATCAATGGGAATTATTTGACGGCGTCAAGAGACGGAGTGGATCACCGCCCGTGACGGGGAAGACCCCGGGGAATCAGGGAGTCAGGATACGAGGCGTTTGAGGGCATACGGCGTTTTCTCGGCAGGATACATTGTCAGGGTCATTATCAACTAAACATATCCATTGCATACAGTACACTTGAATGCTTGCAGGCTTGATCACCAGGTACTAAGTACGGACCACACCGGACGTAGTCATGAATTCTCATTTGCGCATGGTGTCATTATGGATCCCACGAAAGGGGAAGTGGATCCGTCTGAAATATTCAGAATATTGATGGCGTCGATGCGAATCGGAAATACAGATACCTAGGGAGAAACGGGCTAGTATGGGAGGCCCCTCAGCAAACCGACCAGGTCCCCCTGAAAAACGCCGTGTCCGAGAATTGAATTGACCGATCACATTCCCTTCTTTGCCAGTGACTCAGCCCCCCTGGTCCCGGATGCATCCAATTCACCGTCCATTGCTGCCATCCTTGTCCAGGTAGAGAGGAGAGTCCCTGATTGGTCCGGAACTCCTACCTAGACCCACACCCCCTTTTCCCGTGACACTCCCGTGACCATCCCGTGACTGCGCGCACATTTGGCGATTGGCTTTACGCGTGCATTACCACCCGTTACGCGTTGGCCCCTCTGGCAGCCTCAGATTGGAGAGTTGCGAGTAGAGAGTGTGATGTATAGATCATAGAGGACACAAGACCAGGTCGTCCTGACCAAATAATAGCATAATAGTGGATATTGTTTCGTTTCTGCGCTTTCCCTTCACTCCAGTGTTCCATCCTGTATCTGACACCCACTCCCCCCCTGTTCATTCATACCTGTCAGGGGCAAACCGTACGCTGTACTTGTATTCCCTCGTACAAAGCTGCCCTTGGCCGTGCAATCTCTTGGAGAAAAAAAAATTCAATTCAATCAAACCTGCATTTTCCCCCTGGATCTTTAATACTCCCCCTCGAACTCTTCCTGCCAACCTACCTCCCTACCTATCCATCGCCCTACATTCCTCAACCTCCCGTCAATAACGACAGATTTGACATCCTCCAAGCAAAATGCTGACCCAACAGCACCCACGAGTCAACCGCATGTTGACCTTCAAACGCCAAACCTCCGCCTCGGCCGATAACCTCTCCTCCAAATACGGCGCCGGAAAGGCACGTTTGCGAGGTCGCAGATCCGCCAAAGAGCCCCTCTCGATGCCAACCCCTCCACGTCGCCCAGAGGAGAGACAGCAGATACGCTCCAGGTCCAGCCCTATCACCCCGCCGGAGTAAGTCGCAGCCCTTTCAAGTCTAAACTTGCCGACATGTATACTGATATGCATGGTTGTGTGTCTCCAGAACCCCCGGACCAGACGTCATCACCATTGCCGTCGGGCTCGAAAAACGCCTCTTTGCCGCACACAAGGAAATCCTCTGCGTCTCGTCGTTCTTTGCCACGGCCTGCTCGCGGGCCCCGCTCACGCAGCCGGGCTTGCTTGCTGAACCGCTCGATCTTCCGGACGAGCAGCCCGAGGTCTTCTCCTGCGTCTTGGAGTACCTGTACCGTGGCGATTACTTTCCTCGTCTCACGCACAACATGCGTCGCGATTCCTGGGAGCTCGGGGATGCGGGTACGGATCGTCATGGACAGAGTCACGGCGCAACCGTCTTCATTCCTGAAATGGGAGCGGAGATTTTGAGGGATACGGCTGTTTAGTACGTTCCTGCCCCTGTTGCTTTGAGAAATACATGCATGATACATGCAGCTGCCATATCATGCCTCATACATACATCCCTGCATCCCCACAAAGAACACTCGACTAACGTCTAAACGCACAGCTGCGCCGCAGACAAATACGGCCTCGAGATGCTCAAGCGTCTGGCGCTGCGCAAACAAGGCCTTCACACGGGCATCCAATGCCACACGATCCTGACCAGCGCGCGCTTCGCCTACGCCAACACCCCCGACAGCGAATCCAAGCTGCGTGCGCACTACCTGGCACTGATCATCCGCAGTAGAGACACCTTTAAGCGCAGCGGCACTATGCAGATGGAGATGGAGCAGGGCGGGAAGCTGTTCTTTGATCTGTTTGTGGCGATGTGTAATTTCATTGTGAGTTTCTCTTTCTCGGTCTGGATATAAATATCCTGGATGTTGCTTTCCTAGATTTGTTGGGTGATGGTGCACGTTGGACTTGACGCTGATGTTTGAGCCTAATAGGACGACACTATCGCGGCCCAGGACCCGAAGTTGGCACTGCCTGCTGCTTGATCTCTTCGTCGGTTGATCGGTTGACTGCTGGCTGGCTGATCGATGGGGCTCGCTCTACTGGCTTGGAGTGTTCACCGTACCACAGCCACTCAGGCAGGGCTAAGGTATCCTCATGGACGGGCTACTCAGGTCGATCTCTACTCTGTTTCTCTCTTCTTGCTCTCTTGTTCTTTGGCATCTTATGTTGTTGTCTTCTTTTTCTCTCTCTCTTACATGTTCTCATCTCTGCTTCTTCTTCATTCCCCCTTGTTTTCTTTTTAGGTTTTCAGATCGGGTTCCTGGTTTCATTTAGGCGGATAGGTTATCATCGAGCGTGGGTGTATGCTGGCTGGGGGTTTTCCTTTCTTTTGCTTCTTCCCCCTCTTGTCCTTCTTTTCTTTTCACTTTTTTGTTTTGATATCCCCGGACTTTCGTCTTTGTGTTTGTATCATGAAATGTATCATATGTCCCCTTTCCCTTTCTCTTGTCCTCGTCGTCCCCTCGTCTGGATTCTCTCAGCTCAATGCTTCTCGGGTAAAGCAGATGGGATCTCTTTTTTTCTTCTTTTTTTTTCTTTCTCTTTTTAAAACCGAGGACTAGACTTTTCCTATCAACGATGTTGTCGAGTATCGACACAAGCATCATGGAAGTCGTTCCCCACCTGACTGGCTCTGAGTGCACTTTACCATTTATCACAATGTTTCCATCCAGCTAATCGCATTGACCCTTGGATTTAGCGGTGGAAGGTAACAAGGTACTGATTGACTCCTTTTCCCTCAACCTACCTTACTCTTCTGGAATTCCGTGATGCTTACTCTCCTGTCTGGCTGACTGGCTTGCTGGCTGGGGAGGATTTTTCGGAAATTTTACAGCTGAGCTTTACTCTTTTTCTTCCTTTTTCTTCCTTTTCTTGATATTTTCTTGAAATTTTTTTTTTTTTTTTTTTTTTTTTTTTCCCGGTGGTTGGTTGCGGTGTGGATGCAAAGCAAAATCTACATTATGATGGATTCTACTCTATCGAAAACCTGGTGTTTTTTTTTTTTTTGTTTTTTTTCTTGCTCGTTTATGTGGAAAAATTGTCATAGTATGTAACTGTTAACTGCTAACTGTTAAGAAACGATGGTGATATTTGAATAATAATTAATTTCATGATTCGTGAAAGAATAACCAACCTATCTAGGTACCCTAGGGTGTAATTAAGGAGGTTACTTTCCCCCTTAATTGGGCTCAAGGGGAGGAATAGCCACTCATCTCATTATAGACTCTCGACGAAGGAGGGACGGGTGCGTGGTATCCCGTCATTGATCAAGTTCCGTGGGTGGGATGGCTGGCTGGGTGACTAGATTGGATTTGGATTGATCTAGATGACCAACCCTCTTGCTTGTGACTGGTTAACGCAACTAATCATGACGGGAGACGATCTGGTCGATGGCCGATGTGTCAAGTCAAACGAACAAGTCGTAATGACCGACTAACCTGGTCGAGAGTTTGAGAATGGCTAGGTGGTTGGTTTTGGTCTTTTCTGGTACCTGAGACTGTCGTTCCGACTTTGATGGATGTGAGGAATTGATTGCAGGGTGTCAGCGTCAGTTAGTTAGCTGACAGTCTGGATCGTTGTTTGTTTATACACCGGTTCCTGGAAATGCAGCGCCGCCTTTGCTCAACACAACCATGCCGCGTTCACGAGCAATGTAGCCTTTCATGAGGCCCTGAATGAGATCAGTACCTGCGTGCACTCAATGAACGAGAAAAGGTTTTCTGACAACGTACCTTGTAGATGAGATTAGACAGCAAACACTCCACCTCGTCGATGTCGACACGCGTTCGGTCACTTGCATGCGTGCCGATACGGATGGCAGCGGCGAACTCGGCAACTGGAACGCGGGTCCGTCGGATTGGTGGCTGGTCATCTTTGGACTCTTCGAAGCCCCCTGCGATGAACACCTTCCGGAACAGATTGCGTAGGGCGATGTCCCGGCCTCTCTCGAGAGGGAGATAGATACGTCTCTTCACGAATTGGTCTTCGCCGGCGGACATGGCGGTGTCGAAGCCTTGGAGATCTCCTTTTCGGATGCATTCGCAGAGCGGGCGGAATAGTTTCTCGAGTCCAGGGAATGAAGATAGGAGGTGTTCGCTTGGTAGTGTATGTGTTATGACTAGATGGCAGGGTACTAGGTATGTGAGAATCAACCTAGATGATGGTTAGTATGAATAGATAGGAACGAGTTACTGACACTCACTCTCTGTTCTTGAGAGCGTCGCGATGGCACATTCGCCATGCTTCTGCCAAGTGAGATTCGGCCTATCCAGAAGGATCAGAATAAGTTCCCAGAGACAGCTGTGTCATGGCGACTACATACCTCCTCGTAGTTCTCATCCAAGAAATTGATGACCCCAACGTAGTATTTGAAGGTAACGATGTGCGACTTGGGGAAGGCATCCAGCTCCGGGAGGTCGGCCGACGACGCCTTCAGCGCACGCAGCAAGTTCTTGGTCAGGCCGACGGAGTTGAGCTGGGCAGGTTAGCAAATATCCATATGCAGTCCGAGAGGCCACCCCTACTTTGAAATACGTCTTGAACAGCAGATTCGTCATGTTGTAGATACCCCACTTCCGCGATTCCTCGAGAGACGATCTGCGAGAGCACTTAGCATGAGATGACCAAACCCGTCAGACCACCAGAAGCAACGCACCGATCACTGAGACACAACGTGAACATTCTGTTCATCATCCATGCGGCCGATTCCAGCTTGGCGCTCTTGGTGAAGTCCGCCGCGATATCCTCCTGCAGGCGATCCCCAAACGAAACGGAGTTTTGAGACGATAATTCGGCGTCGGCTCGGATCGCAAAGGTTCGCAGGTACTTGCCAACCACGTACAGACATGGCACGGTCCAGGCCTGGAGGCCCGAATGCGAGTAGCCTCGAACTAGGGTATTGGATACCTCCCGCCACGCGTCGAACACCTGGACCCAGCTGGCTTGGGAGGGGCTCTCGTCGAACTTGACGAGCTCCCCCGCAGCTTTCCAGTACGCCGTAAAGATATCGATCCACGCGGTTTGTTCTTGTCGGGGAAGTTTGACGCCGCCGGACTGGAAGAGGGAGTGACGAAGATCGGAGGATACATGAGCGGCATTGGAGAAGTAGTAGAACGACAGCAACCGGTTGGGATTCGCGGAGGATGCGACCGGGGTAAGGGCAGCTGCTAGACGAGGACCAGAGCCAATTCTCTGGCCTTCTTTGAAGTCGTCGAAAATGGAGGACATGGTGAGATTCGGGCACTGATGACCATGGGAATAGCGGTTCGATTAATGTTGGAGAGACGGGACTCAAATGAGGGTCATGAAGGAATCCCGCGACGTGCCAAGGGGGAGCAACAAAGAAAGTCGATTGACTTCATTAATCGACTACGTATAACAAAGTCCGGAGGTGGGGAACCAATGCGCCCCCACCGCCTGCCCGAAAGTCTCGCGATCAGCCAGCGGTGGCTGAGTTGCCATATACGGACTAGCGCTGAGCCAAGCCACCGGTCGCTTAGGCGAAGGGCGGCAGCCCTAACTCAACAAGTTCACAAATCTCCATTTTTGCGACAAGACCAACCCGGCACACCTTTCTCGAGACTCAACCACAACACCGTCGACAAAAGTGAGTGCTACCCTGTTCAATCTATGTAATCGTTAATTTTCTCGGGAGAATTTTTGAGCTAACAATTAATTCCAGATGGGTGAGTGATATTCCCCTTTTTCGATTGATTTTTCCCTTAGCCTTTCCCTTTTGGACGATCGGTTGCGCTGCCTCCTTGCGAAACGTTGAAACGACATATACAAAGACCGACAATTTTGACGACATTTGGGTGATGGGAATTTTGAAGTGGGAAGGAGGAACTGGCCGAGATGGATTGTTCACCCGTGACGGGGTACGCTGCAGGAATGAGTGGGTTGGGGAATTACGATCGCACAGACGCAACGAAATGATCTTCAGTCAAATTTCACAAGATTATCGAGACTTCACAACATCGACCTGACAACGTTATCGCATGGAGAATCAACGCAGCCGACCGTATCGATCAGATGGAGGCATTGTCGGAATATTTCCCGGCGGAACATTGAACTGACTGGTTGTCGATAGGGCGTCTCACCGAGTACCAGGTCATCGGGCGTCATCTGCCCACCGAGGCAAACCCCACGCCCAAGCTGTACCGCATGCGCATCTTTGCGCCCAACACTGTTGTGGCCAAGTCGCGGTTCTGGTACTTCTTGACCCAGCTCCGTAAGGTCAAGAAGGCCAACGGTGAGATCGTCAGCCTCAACGTGGTATGTCTCCGACAGAATCTCGGTCATCGAATTGATGACGATGCATGGAATCACACAGGGCAATTCCGCTGATATTTTGTCCCACTAGATCAACGAGAAGCGCCCCCAGAAGGTCAAGAACTTCGGCATCTGGATCCGTTACGACTCGCGCTCCGGTACCCACAACATGTACAAGGAGTTCCGTGAGATGAGCCGCACCGACGCCGTCGAGGCTCTCTACCAGGACATGGCTGCCCGTCACCGTGCCCGTTTCGGCTCCATCCACGTACGTGCTTTTTGATTTCTGATGAAACTTCGATCATCGTTCTAACGCAGACCTCTCCAATAGATCCTGAAGGTTGTTGAGATCACCAACGCCGACAGCATCCGCCGCCCCTACATCAAGCAGCTCCTCCAGAAGGACCTCAAGTTCCCTCTGCCCCACCGCGCCGCCAAGCCTGCCGGCAAGAAGGTCTTCGCTTACTCGCGGCCCTCTACTTTCGCGTAAATGTGAGGTTCGGGGGTTTTGGGGAAGGAATGTGCGATTGAATGACTATGTTATGGCCTTAGCCTGCATGAAGGACAAAGATCGCGCGGAGAACACGGCGTGTATCTACGGCCCAGACAATGGGATGGATGGTTTTGATGTCTCTTTAGTCCTGTGCAAGCGACCCTTTCAAGTTATCTATAAAAAAACGGGGTTCAATTTTTTTTCTCGAGTTCAAATTGT